TATCTTCCATGTAAATATATGTTTATAATAATTTATTTTCTCTGCTCTTTCTGTGAATTGGAAAGATTCATAATTTTTCAGAGCTGTGTTGGTGAATACTCTTCCATTCTTCTCCCCATTTCTGTGACAAGCAAATATACTCACTAAAATCACAGTAACACATTCTTTATCTCTCTCCTCCTTTCCTTATTTCTTTGCTTCACATTTGTTGCCATTTTTTATGTAGGACCTGAAAATAAAAACAGCTTTTATCGGCTAGATAAGTCGTGACTATATAATGTATTGTATGTATGTATATAATAGTTTAAAAACATGTTTTCACTATTCATTGGTGTGAAAAAAGTAAGAAACAAAACATGAAATCACGATTTTATTTGTATAATAATACAAGACATTCATATATATGTTGCATTTAGCCGGCCGAACGGCTGGACCGATGAGGCTGACATTTTTTGTGGACACTCAGGGGTGGCCGGGGGATGTTTTAGGCTAAAAAATTTGACATTTTTTCTTTAATCATTTTTTTCAAATTTTTTTTGCTCCACGGGTAACGCCAGGCCCTTAAGCTAGTTTTTTATAAACATGGAATGTAAAAACTTATAGTTTCTTCCTAGTTTTTGGAATTTGCAGTTCATTTTCATAAACTTTATTTTCTACAGAACGATGCCCAGAGTTTTTTTTGTGTATTCAAGTTAGTTTAGTCGAACACTTTATATAGCTCAGACCTTGTGATACATATTTTTATATTTTTTTTTGAAAATTTATTATCATATTTTGTATTGTTCTTAAAGCGTATTAGTTAAATAACAATTAAGTCAATACGTCCAACAATTTCTTCATTTTCTTTTATTCTGTAAAGGATGAATCTATATTTTTTGCACAAAACGTTCTAAAGTTTTAGATTTTTTAATGTGGTCAATTTTTTATTATAACCTATTTACAAAATACAAAATAAAATTCAGTTATCAGGTAAGAAACCTGTTAGTGCTCGAAGGGTCAAACACACAGGACGACTTGTGAAGTTGTGTTACACGTGAGTCTATGTAAGAAAGTCCCATGAAACAAATTTATGGGGAAAAAACATGGAATTACAAACTTTGGTAAAATTGTCTCAATTTCCTAAAGTCCTAAGCCAAAATGTAACTTTAAATAAAGTCTTTGGTTTCGGATTTCTACTTTATTTCCTAAGACCTTTCATTTGGGGACTTTTTTCAACAGGAATTTCTTTGCGGTTATCGTTAAACGTACACATTCGGATAAAACATGCATCTTCCCTCCTTTATTTCTCATCTTCTATTTTAATCTCATAATTTCCACAGTCCCAACAAAAACAACAATAGTTTTTTCAAGAATTAATTTTCTTGAATTAAAATGATTTCTCTTTAAATTACGCGGAACTAACAGCAGAAACTTTCATCATAATGAAAACTTTTCCCATTTCAGGGGATATTAGTTCCAAACCTAACACTTGGCCTATTTCTAACACTGAGTGTTAGAAATGGGCCAAATCTGCACAGTTATCTTTTTCAAGTGTATATATCTTTAAAACCAAGACGAGTAGAACAAAATTACACCATATATTTATATTTTCATTTTCGAACATATTCCCATTTTGAAACAATTACCGGATTTCAGCTCATGTCGCGTTTTCCGAACATGTCCTGGTTTTGAGACAATTACCAGAATTCATATAAATGTCAATTTTTAAGCATTTACGCACTTACGTAACAAAACAAGATTTTTTCATAAGGTAAAATATAAACAAAGTAGAAAATAAAAACAAACTGTTCTTTTATAATTAAAAAATCATTACTGCATTGAGAAATCAGAATATTAATATCATTGTTCTTACACTTTAGATTTTACTAGAAATGTGGGTAATTGTTTGTTTAAATTGCTTGAAAATAATTTTTGTTTTCATTGATTGTTTTTGTAAGTTATTAAAGTAAGTTTTGATTTGACTTGCGCATTATACTCAAAAACGGGAAAGTGGGTTTTGTCTCGAAAAGGCGACAATGTTTGAAATTCAGGATATGTTCGAAAATGGAAAACCTGACATTGTCTAGAGAACGTTAAAGAGATTTAACATACTAAGAACTCCTATTATAGTTTTGATTTAAAAAAACGTTTAAAATTGGGAATTGTTGTTATAGCTCGTCATGTTTAATAAAATGTTGGTTATAGTTTTTATCATCGACTTTTAATCTGGATAGGGCCGGGATCCCAAAAACCCAGTCTTTCAATTTTTGCCCATTTCTAACACTCAGTGTTAGAAGTGGGCCAAGTGTTAATTTGGGAACTAACGTCCCCTGAATTCTTTCTTGCTAGAACTGGCAACTCATTTTTTTTCTTCTATTCTTCTATTCTTCTATTCTTCTATTCTTCATTCTTCTATTCTTCTATTTTTCTACTCTTCTATTCTTCTGTTCTTCTATTCTTCTTTTCTTCTCTTCTGCTCTTCTTCTATTCTTCAATTCTTCTATTCTTCTATTCTTTTATTCTTCCATTCTTCTATTCTTCTATTCTTCTATTCTTCTATTCTTCTATTCTTCTTTTCTTCTATTCTTCTATTCTTCTTTTAATCTATTATCCTATTCTTCTATTCTTCTATTCTTCTATTCTTTTACTCATCTTTTTTTCTGTTTTTCTATTCTTCTATTTTTCTATTCTTCTATACTTCTATTGTTTTTTTTTATTAGTTTTATATTTTTATATTCTTCTATAATTTTTCTATTTTTCTATTATTCTTTCATTTTTTCTTTTTGACGGTTTTTGTTAATTTAATTTGTCTCTAGCTGAAGCCGGTTTCTTTATTTATTTTAATCTAATATTTGTTTTAGTTTACTCAGAACAGAAACCCCTTACGTTCCTAGAACTTCTAGTTTAGCATATATTTATTGAGTTGTGTCCAAATGTCGTCTTCTCATATTCTTCTTTTTCCCCGAGATTACAGCTTTAACTAAAGGGTGTCCCACGAGACTTGACACTAGGTAAATACTTTTGTCTTCTTCCATACTCTTTATAAGATATTAAAGACTTTTTGCAGTTTATTTTATTTCAAAAATCATTTACTCAAACATGTTTTACTTTGAAATCAATTTTACTATAATCTGACAACCATATAATATTTTTCATTATTTTATTGGTATCAAAAAAATTAACAAATTCAGGAGGAAGACATTATAAAATATTCAGCAACTGTCATGTTTCGTGGGACACTTTGTAGTATTCATTCCGCCAGCTTTTCTTTTTTTGAGTGTTTAGTGCTCAAGGACGTAAATAAGGATTTTCTAGGGGTGGGTAAATTTTAACGTTCCCCTCCCCTGACCATTCATGATTTAAAAATCGATTTTTTGGTAAAATTTACCTGTGTTACTTTGTTTAAGTTGATTGAGTAAAATGATCTGCGCGCGAAGCGCCAAAAAGTTTATATTTTTCCTCTTCCTGATAATCATGGACATGGAGAATGCCAATGGAGATCAAGTTTCTAAACGGGGATATTTATGTCCCAAAGAATCTTAAGGGATAGGGGACTCCCAAAATTCTAGGGGGGGGGGGTAATCCCCAGGATTTTAAGGGGGGGGTACTTTACCCACAATAACCCCCCTTTTTTACGCCTCTGTTATTATTATTATCTACGAAGCAGTGTTCTGAATAAGAATGTACAGCATATTGTGAATAATGAATTCTTTAATCAAAACACTTATTAAATACAGGAAGTTCTGGCATTTCCAAAATGTGGTCTGCTTTTTTGTGATTTTCAAATTACTTGAGAATTTAGTTGCGGGGAGGGGATATCCTGCATTAGGAAGTTCAAAGCTGGAGTTTGTAAACATCTAAATATCAAGTAAACAATTAATTTAAAAATTTCATGCATTACAAATTGTACCATTTCTTTGAAAAACCCTATGTTTGTAAAGTGTATAGCTGTTGTAATTATTGTAAAATGAAAGATAATTGAAAAGTTCTTGATATTTGCAAAATGAAATAATAAAACCATAAATCCAATTTCAGAAATATTCATTGTTTTTTTATATTTCGACATCATCATGACGAAATTGACAAGTTGCAAGAGTTTGTTTGTTTACACAGCATATAGTTCCATGATGCGTGTTGACTGATCAGACTAAAATCTAATCTATCTGACGTAAATCGTAAATTAAAAATTAATTTCCTTTTTTAAAGTTTTTTTTTTGTCAAGAAATCAAATTAAAGGAATTGGTATATTCCTAGAGAACGATTTTTGGACCCCCCCCCTCCTATCAATTTTGTACATGGGTCTGACAGGAAGTGTTTTAACTTAACCTAACCCTTGGCCGCAGCGCTCGGCCCCCTAGCCTGTCCTAGCCGCAGCGCTCGGCCCAGAAAGTGTCTTAACTAACCTAACCCGTGGCCGCAGCGCTCGCCCCCTTAGCCCATCCTAGCCGCAGCGCTCGGCCCAGAAAGTGTCTTAACCTAACCTAACCCTAAATAAACTCTGAGAGTTTTTGTTTGTTTATCTTTATAAGAATAAGACTAATAAAATAACGGTTGAATCGTGTCTAAAAGGGTATTCTACAATTTAAAAGACGTGTTAAGCGTAGAAAGCTTTGACTCATTAAATATCAAAAATATGTTTTAAAAAATTTAACTTATCTTTGTGGACTTACATTTTTTTTTTGAGGGGTCGAGAGTATTCAACCCCACCCCCTTTCCAACGAATCCAACCCCACCAATTGCAAAAAGACAATTAATAATTTAAAACTATTGAAAATTTTGTAAGGATTCGTGAAAAATCTTTTAAGTTAGATTTCCCTGAAAATTGCCCTCAATATTGAATCATGAATTTCTAATCTTTATTAGTATTAGCAAACATATTTTCAAGAATCTACGAGATAACGATTATGAATAAAGGAAATAAAATCTGGATTTTGGGAAGAATAGAATTGCATTTTAGCATTTATTTGGTGACAAATCTTTAAATACATTATTTAATCATAATTCAGATTTTTGTGGTAACTATTAAACCCTGGAGCATTTTTTTCAGAAGAATACTAAAACTTGCATCAGTTGTAAACAAACTAAAGCGAGTTTAGTGAAATAAAACGAATAAAATGGGAGGAAAGGTTTCGTATGAACTGGAGGTAGTGTTAAGAAACTTAATTTTATTTCTTTTTTTACATTCCAGGATTTTAGACTTGTGTGTACATGGCTTTATAAAATTTAAAATTTCTTTCTCATCAGTTTCTTATTATTGCTTTTTGAAAATCTTGCCTCTGACAAAAGATATCGACATTAGACAAACCGGAATGAAAACACCAATATCGACTGTTCGGTAACAACTATGAAATATGAGAAGGAATGGATCGCTTTCACTTTTTTTTTAACTGATCGTTTCGTTTTGTTAACGACGTAGAAAAAACGATCGTTAAAGACCCTCTATAAAAAAAACCATGTCAGACGACAATCTTTAAAATTTCTTACTGTAAAAAAATGAAGTTAAAGTCGAAAACCCTTGGGTAATCGAAAAAATTACGTTCATTTCCCTCAACAAAAAACAAGTGAAAAAAATTGAAATTTTAAGTAAAAAACTCATATTAATGACAATATATTAAACGATAGTTTTTTCAAGAAAATGATCGTTTCGTTTTACGTTTATTTAATGTTTAAAACAAATGGTTCGTTCATTGTGACCCAACGTTTTTTAAAAAACGCCACGATCGTTATGAGAAAAAACTTTAAACTATCGTTTTTTCAAACTCTGTAAATATGAGACAAGATTTTAGTGAACGTGTACTACAAACAAAGAAACTGATGAAGTTTTATACTCCTTATAATTATCCTCTTATACACCTACGATATTTAAACCTTAGACTATTTAAAGTCTACGAAATCCATGGTTGCAAAAATATAAATAAAAAATCGGAATTTATGACAAAAACTCATTTTCTTTCTAAAGCCGATATTCTTAATCTTGTAATTGAACGCAAAATAAAAAAAATATAATGCTTAACACTATACCTGAAGCAACAGAAGAATGTAGAGACCGACGAAACTGAAGTTGAGGTTATTGAGTCAAATGGGTTTAAGTCAAAGACAAAAATCACTCGAAATCTGAGCTACAGGTGAGAAAGAACTGAAAGAGAAGCCAAAACAATTCTTCCCCCGAGCCACTTTCTTCTCAATATTTAATCCGAACCACCGCCTAGCGATATTCTTCTTATAAAGTAAACTGAATTCATAAGTTTTTAAGCTCTATTTAAAAAATCTGGTCACGTTACGATTATATTTATAAAAGGCATGAATATAAAAATTGATCTAAATATCATCCTTTAAATTATGTGTTCTCCTTAATTAGGCTTATACTACAGTAATGTTCTAAATAACCAGGAATAATATGAATTGATAACTTTAGAGTCATCTTTGACCTTAGAAATATTTTACAGCATTCATTGTAAATAACTAGATTTTATAAGTAATATTTTTTATAAAATAGTCTTAATCCTGCCATTTCTAAAATGTAGTCTGGCTCTCAAAAATACCAGAGATATCAAGAACTTTGTTTAAATTTCAATTTATTGAATAAAACCATGAAAAAACCTTTATTTAGAACGAAATCATTCCTATCTTTGCTAATTATAAAAGCACAAAAATGGCAGGATTAGTGTTATTTTGTGATTATTGTTAAAAAAAATATTGCTGAATCAGGAAGAATGCCGTAGACTATTTCTAAGATCAAAGACGACTCTAAAGTTATCAATCAATTAATATTATTCCTGGTTATTTAGAAAAACTGAGGGAATTTTTTAAACCCATAATTATAGATACATCCGTATTTCTGGTTACAATACATATACCATGGTTAACCTTACCAATAATTAACCCTAAATTAACCATACATCGAAAGAATTCATCAAATGTCGTATTCTTCACTTTCTGATAATGGAATGCTGCAGATATTTAGTTTTTAATAAATAATTATATGGAGCTCTTTAAAACTGTTCCCGCATATTCATCCCTATTTATTTATTTTCGCAAATATTGAGATTTACGTAAAATAGTATAAAGCCCATTGAAAAATTGTTAAGACGACATTTGATAAATTCTCTCGATGTATGGCTCATTTAGGGTTTAACTGTTCTTCAGAGACGATGCAGGGAATTTATACTGTCTGTTTTCTTGTATTACTGATTTCCTGCAAGTTGCAACTATATAACCGTCTTTCTTTCTTTGTTAAAACCCTTAAATAAACTCTTTAAATACATACACGGCCTAATTAGGGGGAAGATTATAATTAAAATGGAGATCTTGTTTCCGGGAAATTTTTTTCATCGTTAAACCTTTTCTGGGGTAATGTCACTGTAAGTTACCGCAAAAATAGGTTCAGTTGTATTGACGTTCTTTGGATACAAGTAAACAAACAACACCAAAACAGACATATATATATATAGATGTGGTGCTGGACGTGAGAGCTGGGGGGCAGGATTCAAGGATCCCAGTTTTAAATCCAGGTATAGGGTTAACAATATTTAAATCCAGGTATTGGGCTAACAATATTCAAATCCAGGTATAGGGTTAACAATATTTAAATCCAGGCATAGGGTTTACAATATTCAAGTCCAGGTATAGGGTTAACTATATTTAAATCCAGGTATAGGGTTAACAATATTCAAATCCAGGTATAGGGTTAACAATATTTAAATCCAGGTATAGAGTTAACAATATTTAAATCCAGGTATAGGGTTAACAATAATAATTTTGCATATTTTTTCTCTTTTCTTTTGGAAACCTGTATTTTCAAAAAAAATTATTTAAACAAATTTTAACTACACCATTTATATATGTATTTATATCTTTGTGTGTGAATAAATCTTTATAATAATAATAATATTTAAATCCAGGTATAGGGTTAACAATATTTAAATCCAGGTATAAGGTTAACAAAATTCAAATCCAGGTAGAGGGTAACTATATTTAAATCCAGGTATAGGGTTAACAATATTTAAATCCAGGTATAGGGTTAACGAAATTCAAATCCAGGTATAGGGTTAACAATATTTAAATCCAGGTATAGGGTTAACAATATTTATATCCAGGTATAGGGTTAGCAATATTTAAATCCAGGTAAAGGGTTAACAATATTTAAATCCAGGTATAGGGTTAACAATATTTAAATCCAGGTATAGGGTTAACAATATTTAAATCCAGGTATAAGGTTAACAAAATTCAAATCCAGGTAGAGGGTTAACTATATTTAAATCCAGGTAGAGGGTTAACTATATTTAAATCCAGGTATAGGGTTAGCAATATTCAAATCCAGGTATAGGGTTAACAATATTTAAATCCAGGTATAGGGTTAGCAATATTCAAATCCAGGTAGAGGGTTAACAAAATTCAAATCCAGGTAGAGGGTTAACAATATTTAAATCCAGGTATAAGGTTAACAATATTTAAATCCAGGTATAGGGTTAACAATATTCAAATCCAGGTATAGGGTTAACAATATTTAAATCCAGGTATAGGGTTAAAAAAATTCAAATCCAGGTAGAGGGTTAACAATATTTAAATCCAGGTATAGGGTTAGCAATATTCAAATCCAGGTATAGGGTTAACAAAATTCAAATCCAGGTATAGGGTTAACAATATTTAAATCCAGGTATAGGGTTAACAATATTTAAATCCAGGTATAAGGTTAACAATATTTAAATCCAGGTATAGGGTTAACAATATTTAAATCCAGATATAGAGTTAACAATATTCAAATCCAGGTATAAGGTTAACAATATTTAAATCCAGGTTTAGTGTTAACAAATTCAAATCCAGGTAGAGGGTTAACAATATTCAAATCCAGGTAGAGGGTTAACAATATTTAAATCCAGGTATAGGGTAACAATATTTTAAAATATGGGGGAAAAAAAAGAAAATATGGAGAATTTTTAAAATATCTCCGTCAATTTTCTAAATGGCAATTGAGAAATGACTGTTTAGAAATTTCAAGTTACCCTTCTTTTAAAGAAACCTTTTAAATTTTGTCTGATTAAGAATAACTTATAGTTCTGACATATTTATCTGCCAAAAACGCATTAATAGATAATTTTGTACGCAAAATGTTAATGTTTTAGTTATGTTATTATTTAATGTTACAGAGAAAAAATTAAAAAATTTTATTTGAATTTTTTCAATTCTCTTAGTTATAGTACAGGGTGTCCCACGAAACATGTCAGTTGGTGGATAATTTTGAATGTCATCTTCCACATACTTTATTAGATATTAAAGACATTTTTGCAGTTTATTTCTTTAAAAAAATGTTTAACTCATATTTATTTTACTGTGAAATCAATTCTACTATGATGTAACTGTCATAAAAAAAATGTTATTAGTCTCTTTAGCATTAAAGGGAGTGACCGGCTATGTACGGTAGTTGAACTGAGGACGCAGTGTTGTGGAAAACTTCTTTAGGATTCATTTGAGACATATTTCACTTTTTAAAAGTCTGTAAATCCTGAGAATCAGCGCAAATTCGACGTTCAAAACTCCTGATTTGGGGGTGGATACGCTTTCAGAATTAGTTTTTTTTAAATTATTAATTAACGACGACATACAATGTAAAAATATTCAACAATAAACTACAGACGTCATGTTTAGGAACATTTTGAGAAAATAAAAATTAATCTTATCATCGAAAATAAGTAATCTTATTCAATTATTAGTTTCTATTATCTCATTATTCTAGTTTCTCGTTATTCACAAAGATGTTCGCAGCTTTTCTATAATTATTATTGAAAAGACGACATTTAAAGAATTTGAAGAAATCTGCGAATAAATTCAACGAAAATTAGAAATTAAATTTAATAATGAAAACGAAATAATCGATTTTAGCATTGATTTATTGACAAATTTCTTTTGTGAAATATGTTCCTAGCCATCTAATTAGATTACGGTATAATTTTTACTTTATTTTTCGTTGTCGTTATTTAAAAATAAAAAAAAACTATTTCTGAAAGCGTATCCACCCCCAAATCAGGAGTTTTGAACGTCGAATTTGCGCTCAAACTCAGAATTTACAGATCTTTAAAAAGTGAAATATGTCTCTCAAATGAATCCAAAAGAAGTTTTCGACAACACTGCATACTCAGTTCAATTACCTTACATAGCCGGTCACTCCCTTTAAAAAACTTATCCGATTATGGAATAAGACATTTTAAACTATTCACAAACTGTCATGTTTCCTGGGACACCCTGTAGTACTGACATCTGGGAATACTTGACATAAGTTCACACTGAAATTTGAACTGTGTAAACTAAAGTAAACTCCAGTAAAAGCATGGATGCACCTATTTTTTAACGAGAAAATATTAGATTTCTCCAGTTTCTTTTCAACATTTTAAGGTCATTTTGTTTTAACATTTTGGAATCGTAATACTCTTAATAATATATCTGAGAAACCGAATAATATTTTATCTAAAAAATGTGTTTATAGAGGATTCGGAGACATTGATAAAAAAGAAATAAACCTGACAATTGAGATTCCTCCAGAAGCCGAGGGAACGGCGGGCAGAAAAGGAACTTTTGTTAGAAAAGAATATGTCTTGTAAAATAAATAATTTAGAAATATCGTATTTACTATTGTAAAACCATTCTGATTTAAAAATAAACATTTGAAGTCAAATTACTGATAATAATTCAAACTTACAACACTTCATTTTTTTTACAATAATGCTTGTTTTTTCACAAACATTTTAACATAATTTGAAATATAATTTTCTGTTGACAAAACCTAAGCAAAACAGCTTAAATGATAATTGTTCTTAAAGGGAGTGTTAGCGAAAAATGAAAGGGGGCTTACGGCGATAATTAATCGCTTCTGATCGATACTAATCTTACTTCTATCTGTTGGGTCTATAAGAAGAAAATTGTTACATACATTGTTTTTCGACGCATTTGTATATAGTTGATATTTCATAATATTTTTTTATTTTAGGTTTTTTAAAATTAATATTTCGCTTACAAATATTATGAAATATCAACTATATACGAATACGTCGAAATATAATCGATGACTATAGGTTGTAATATCTGAATGCTTTGTTTGGAATTAAATATCGATTTTCTTACGATCCGAGTTGTATGTTGCAACTTTTTCAATTTGTAAGGAATCTACGTTCTTCGCTACAAGATGTTTTTAACCATTTTCTCCTGACGCAACAGATAGAAGTAAGATTAGTAGCGATCAAAAGCGCTTCTTTTTCGCCGTAAGCCTATATTCACTTTCATTTTTTGCGAACACTTCATTGGACCCTTAAACTGCCCCTGCTGTTAGCACTCCTATCGCTTTGACTTTTTAAGAGTATCATTTGTATTTTTTACTTTGATTGTGTTGTGTACCTTTTTAAGCTGTGCAAAATGCGGTCTTCCTTCTCGTTGTATCTTTAAGACTGATGGAGATAACAAACATTTGAAATTTTTATTAATATTTAAAAAATTGAAATGGGGACACAATCCTCATAGATCGCAATCAATCTTAAAAGGACTGTAATTGGGTAATTTCAAGCGGCCATCTTGCTAATAAAAAGAAATGAAGAAACTCAAAGAAATAAACACTTTTCGAGTAAGAAAAACGACGGTATCTTCCACATTTTCGATCAGATTAAATTTTCAATGGTACCAATGTAAATCCGGCATTGCCATCTTTGCATAGAAGATCACTTGAAATTGCGCTTACATTCCCTTTAAAGGTGGAAAAATGGCACTTTTTGGAAATCCAGAGACTCCAGTGCAGTTAAGTGCTTTAAATAAAATACTTCTAAACAAAAATGTTGCTCATTGAACTAATTTCGTGTTGAACAAAGACTATGTTGTACAGTATAGAAGTAGTCACTAAATTCCTTTGTTTATTGGAACATAGAGTAAAAAATTTAAATCCATTTTCAAAACTCATTGAAAGTACAGCCAGTGTTTTTATCTGAAATTTTGTGTTATTTTTCGAGTTAAGAGGTTATTAATTTTCTGTAATGAAAACTCTGCATTCATTAAAAATCGGAAATCGAAGATTATGTTCATAAAGTCTCTTAATTCTTATGTTTTTTAAACCACATTTAAGAAAATCTCTAGTTTTAAACTATGCTTTTTCTCAGTATTCTTCCTACATTGGTGATATTATTACAGGGTTACACAAAAAAAGTAAAATTCAGAAAAGACTGATTTTGATGTTTCCGAATAGATTTAGATTTTGCTTTTTTATCAGGTTTCACGTAGTCTTTAAATTCTAGATTAAGTTGTTACACTAGAAATGACATATATGTGTATCGAAGAAAAACAATTATAAAAAAAATTATTAACAAGTTTTATGTACAATATAAATCTATATATACACAATAAACAATGTAATGGGCATTCCAATCATTTTACCGAACAAGAGATATCAATTAATAGTATATGATAGATGAGAAAACAGTTTAGAAATAATAGACTCCAGGATATGTTCTCCAGGTTCCAATATTCTACAACTCTCTGTGCACCAGGTAACCCTGGAGAGGCTCTAATGAGCAGAGAACCTGGAGCACCAGGATCTTCGGAACTCTTCTTTACTCTCGTCTTTGCGTTTATAGATCTCTTATCTGAAACAGTAATTTGAATAACTGCGGTATTAGTGTAAGAATTACTTTCCATTACTAAAGCCGATTAAATTAGCTAAATATACTTTGGTTGTATCAACATCGTTACGGCTAAACCTATAAGGACAAACAAAATTTTAGGCAGCTCGCACGACCCCAAGGAAGGTTTATGGAGGGGAAAGATGACACATTTTTTCCGCAAAAAGACTCGACATTTATCATTTTGAAAATGCACAAATTTTAACAGAATAACGACTTACAAAGAAAAACGGCAGCTTGAAATGCCCTAAAGGACAAGTTAAATCTTATTTAAAAAATCATAAATTAATACTGCTTTCGTAAGTCTGAGGCCGAAGTTGAAGAATTTGAGCCGCGGCTCAAATATAGTTGGTTCCACTTAAAATTTTATTCAATGTTTCAAGATTTAAGTCCCGGCGCTCAATTGAAACTGTTTTAGCGGATTTGAGACGCGGCTCAAATTTATTAATTTCGGACTCTGGACATATAAAAAGATGTAGTTTTGGCGTTATTTTTTTTGGATTAAGATATTAAACTTTAAAAGGGTACTTCAGTTCACTCTATAAACTTAATTCAATAGAATGCATGATTGCTATTTATATTCCACAGGATCAAACGTGAGAACTTTTTATAGAAATAAATTAGTTGAACTTTTTCCGTCCATTTAAAAATTGTTGGATTTTAGGTTAATCTATCTTCTATGTTTTTAAAATTGTTTTTGTCTAAACCTTTGAATATGATCGGGGAGAAGATTTAGAAGAATACGGTCTGGAACCTGAGTTTGAAGTCCCAATTCTAGTCCCTAAACCAGCTGTTAAAGTCCCTATCCTGGTTCCTAGACCGGAAGATGAAGTCCCTATCCTGTTCCCTGGACCAGAGGATGATGTCCCTATCCTCGTTCCTGAACCGGAGGATAAAGTCCCTATCCATGGACCTGCTCCTAAGGGTAAAGATGACCCTATCCTAGCTCCTAAACGCCGACGAGCAAATCTTTGTTCTGCATTAGATCTTGCCTTTTCTCGTACACAACTAGAAATAGAAATATTTAAAACTTTAAGGTTCAAGGAAACAAATTTAAATTTTTTAAATGTTTTTTTAATCATAACATTCAGCAGCAAGAAGTATTATTTGTATTTTATATAATTGGGGGAAGTTTATAAATATGTAATTTAAAGAAATGAACCAAAGGGTCCAACACATATATAGTCTGAGAACAAATTATAAATTGCGTGTGTGTCCAATTTTATTTCTAATTCATTAAACCATGTGAATTTATTGTTAAAAATGCTTACTTATATGCTGCTCTCCACAATACAAACTGGTGTAACCCATTCTTTTTAGCAACCTAGAACATAGGGCTTACTTTAGTTTATTTTGCATTAATGCTAAACCTGAGAATACATCAAGTAAGACGACTATAAGACTTCGAAAAATAATATAAATGTCGTCTTCTATAGATACGATTCTGTAATAAAAGTAGAATATTATTCTAGCGTAATTTGCTGAACAAAGCACAAGAAGATTTGGAAAGTAAAAAGTAAAAAGCAGTATTGAGGGGAGGGGAGGGGGGTTGCAACGTTTAATGATTGTTTTCTCTTTTGTCTTTACCTTTCTTTTTTTCTCTAGTAGTCTAAGCACCCTGCAAGGTTCAGCCAATTCAAACTTTCGAACTAGAGCCTGGTCTTTCACTCCAAGGATCGGAACTTCAGGAACCAGGAAATTGTTAAACTTTTCAGGAATTGGAACCTGCTCTTGTATTTCAGGAACCAGAACCTGAACCCCTCCTTCAGAAACCAGAATCTGCTCCTCTCCTCCAGGAACCAGAACCTGCTCCTCTCCTCCAGGAACCAGAACCTGCTCCTCCCCTTCAGAAACCAGAACCTGCTCCTCTCCTTTAAAAACCAGAACCTGCTCCTCTCCTTTAGAAACCAGAACCTGCTCCTCTCCTTTAGAAATCAGAACCTGCTCCGCTCCTTTAGAACCCAGAACCTGCTCCTCTCCTTCAGAAACCAGAACCTGCTCCTCTCCTTTAGAAACCAGGACCTGCTCCTCTCCTTTAGAAACCAGAACCTGCTCCTCTCCTTTAAAAACCAGAACCTGATCCTCTCCTTCAGAAATCAGAACCTGCTCCTCCCCTTTAGAAACTAGAACCTGCTCCTCTTCTCCAGGAACCAGAACCTGCTCCTGCTCCTCTCCTTCAGAAACCAGAACCTGCTCCTCTCCTTCAGAAACCAGAACCTGCTCCAGTACTCCAAGAACCAGAACCTGTTCTTGTTCCTGACAGGCCTGAACACAGTCAATTTTAAGAAAATTTGATTACAGAGATTGTTTTTCGCAGTTTTTTCCCGTTTTAAATGGTAAATTTCCAAAATCAAAATCAAATTGATTTTGAGATTAGATGTTCTTAAGTTGACCAGCCATAATTACCTCCCCTGAGGTTCATCATCATTTGAGTTGCCACAAAACATTTGACGGTTGTAAATCAAAAAGCAAGTTTAATTGCAATTTCTTACAAGATAAGTAAGTTTGGTATACTTGGTCTTACATTATTTCTAGTTTCAAACATCATTTCTACAATATTTGTTAATGTGATGTTTGTAAAATTTTATGTGTTTTTAAAGGTTTATAGTTATCCTTACTGTTTGTATTTGAAGAAATGAAAATATATTAGTAGTTTATACCTTAGTGATGTTATTTTCGCTCTTGGTTTGCAATAACAGCCATTTGGAGGGGATGTCACTGGAGTTGGTCGAGGAGGTGTTCATTGACATAATGGAGGGAGTCAATGGAACTGAAAAAGATCTCAATGACCTTCCAACCGACTTCTCTGGTGGAATATTTCGGAGAAACTTTGTACGAATCCGCTTTTTCTGTTGAACATTAAATCCAGTTCCAGGATTTAAATAACGTTTTCTAGATTTAAAAACAATCTCTCCCCGTTCCAATTGTTTTATCGGCATCTGTTCCAAAGCAGGTGGGACTATTTTGGCACATTTTACAATTCTGTCAGGTTCCATGTAATCTTTATCAACTGTTAACCCTGGAACAATGTCTAATCTGGAAGTAAAACTAGAACTTTTTGATAATGGTTTAGGGAACTCTGTTTGGTTGGATTCCATTTTGCTTCTGAAGGTTTTAAGATGTAATTCCAGACATCTTTTCTTAACTATACATCCTAATTTCTTAAATAAAACAGATGGAATAAAATATTAAACAAATTTGAACATATTATTAAAAGTATAAAAATGTGTATAAATAAAAGATGAATTAGATAAATTAAGAAATACATATATTTGCTGTCATTGTTTAAAAATTTTCTGATTTATTTTACAAATTACCCTTAATTACCCTTAATTACCCTTAATTACCCTTAATTTTGTAATATAAAAAATATTCAAGTTTTTTACCTTAATAAATGCAACGATATATTCGACCGCCTCGAAAAGTAAACTCTGAACATTTAAACAAGTTTTCGCCAGATTAACACTTCTCTCACTAGGCTCAATCTGTTCCTCCTCCAGCTTAATAAATAATAATAGTTAACTAGGTGTATTTTAGATTAACCAAAATGTTGTAGGGCAAATCTTTCTAGAAGTGACAATTTCAAAATGTGGTCTGTCATTTTTGTGTTTTCAAAATTACCCAAAGATAAACAGATTTTAATTTATTGAATAAACCCAAAATTTTCAAATTCTGAACAAAATCATTTTTATCTTTTGGAAAAGAACGGGACTAGGGTACGTTACTTTGTGATTATTGCTTCTAAAATTAGGTTTCAAAATGATCGCAAACTTTTTCAAGGATAAAAAACGCCTTTCAAGTCTTCTTTCAATTGTAAGAAATTCTGTTTTTTAAAGAATATCGCAGTCGTAAAATAAAAGATAAAAAATTTAAGGTAAAAAATGTAGGATGATAAATTTAAGATGAAAAATTTAAGATTGAAAACTTATAATAAAAAAATTAAAGTTGAAAAATGTGGGATGGAAAAAAGATGACAAATTTAAGTTGAAAAATGTAGGTTGAAAAGTTTAAGATAAAACATTTGAAATAAAAAATTTAAGTTGAAAAATTTAGACAAATTGTAAGATGAAAAATGTAAAAAAAAAATTAAGATAAACATACATATTAAGATGAAAAATTCAATTTTCTGTGAGCAGGTATTTACCTTGGTTCTAAATGTTTGAATTTCTTCCACAAGTTTAGAGACATCTTTACCAGAATTCTCAGCGAGATGAGACTGAAAAACATCAAAATAAATTTCAATTAAACAGAGTTTGAGGGGTATAGATGTGTGAGATATCTCTAACATTCTGCTCATAATTTCGGACAAAATGTTGGTTATTTCGAAGTGCCTTCTGTACTAGTTCGATATTATGAAGAGAATGTTAGGATTGATTCAACAGTGAACTTTTTGAACCGTTATGGAATTATTACAGTGTAATTTTGGAAACTTCCCTGATGATAATTGATTTTCCAGTATTTATAAAATGTAAAGATGATAATTTTGATAAAATATTTTTACTTGAAAATGTTTCTGAATAGATCTGATATTTTCAATAAGTTCCTTTTCTTTAGAACTTCCACTTCTCCAGTCTTGAGTAGGATACAAAGACTCTTGAGTAGGATACAGACAATCTTGAGAAGGATACAAACACTCTTGAGTAGGATACAAAGACTCTTGAGTAGGATACAGACAATCTTGAGAAGGATACAAACACTCTTGAGTAGGATACAAACACTCTTGAGTAGGATACAAACCACTTCGTTTTCTTCTATTCCCCCGAAGTTCCAGTCTCTAAACAAATTGTAAAATTAATTGTTCTGGGGTCGAAACTTTTGTAAGAAAAAGCGCTAATCTACAACGCTAGATCTCGTCATTAACTATGGCAGCTTTAAAATTTGAAAGATAAGGGCTTGATACCTCAACGTTAGTTGTCCCTACAGGGTTCCGGGAGATAAAGGATAAATAAAATTAACCACAAAAAAATGATTAACAGTACAAAAGTTCTAACCTCAGAGCCGTTCTTTCCCTAACAACGTATGAACAGAGCCCGTTCTTTCCCTAACAACGTTTGAACAGAGCCCGTTCTTTCCCTAACAACGTTTGAACAGAGCCCATTCTTTCCCTAACAATGTCTGGACAGAGCCCATTTTTCCCTAACAACGTATGAACAGAGCCCGTTCTTTCCCTAACAATGTGTGAACAGAGCCCGTTCTTTCCCTAACAACGTATGAACAGAGCCCGTTCTTTCTCTAACAACGTTTGAACAGAGCCCTTTCTTTCACTAACAACGTATGAACAGAGCCCGTTCTTTCCCTAACAACGTATGAACAGAGCTCGTTCTTTCCCTAACAACGTTTGAACAGAGCCCGTTCTTTCCCTAACAACGTATGAACAGAGCCCATTCTTTCCCTAACAATGCATGAACAGAGTCCATTCTTTCCCTAACAATGTCTGGACAGAGCCCATTTTTCCCTAACTACATATGAACAGAGCCCATTCTTTCCCTAACAATGTGTGAACAGAGCCCGTTCTTTTCCTAACAACGTATGAACAGAGCCTGTTCTTTCCCTAACAACGTATGAACAGAGCCCGTTCTTTCCCTAACAATGCACGAACAGAACCCATCCTAAAGACGTTCTTTGGGGGACGATAGTTTGATCGCTATAGTTAGAGACATAACGGGTTATGAACTTGATGAGAGTGTAAGAAATTTTTTGTTGAAAATTAATAGAAATATATTTACGTTCAAGTCACAGGAAAGAGATTAAATAAGTAGGGAAGGTGGAGGAAGGTTGGCTTGTTGAGCACTAATATTTTGATCCACAAATGATTCCAATTTCCAAATATAATCTATATATAAATTTGGCTTGTCTGTTTGTCTGTTTGTTTGTTTGTTTGTATCCAATAAACGTCAAAACGGCTGAACCGATCGGGCCCAAATTTTTTGTGTGACATCTAGGGACCCCAGGGAAGGTTTATGAAAAATCAAAATTTCAAATATTTGTCTCTATCAAAATTCGATCGTCATTAAATTTTTAAAAATTTTGAAAATCCGCGAAATTTTTTGTAAAAATCCGCGAATTATTTTTGTTTTGTTTTACGATGTACACAAAGAGAACATGTTCACAACTAATTTGGAAGATGGGCGCGAAGCGCCCTCTAAGGCTAGAAAGAAGGGCGCGAAGCGCCTTGAATTTCTAGTTTATTAAATTTGTTCATGCTACAAGAGCCGGAGGATATAAGTATAAAAAAAGAAAACTCTAGATTTAAAATTATAAACTCTTGAAAAAAGACCAAAATTAATCAAAATTTTTAAAATTTACAAATTTATAAAATGTCATTTTATTTCATATAAAGTATTTTTCTTCCAGATATCTAAGAACAGCCCAATAAAATGTACAACAAGAAAAAATGTAGGAAATGTTTCAGACAGCCCATAGTCTCCAGAAAGACAATTACCATTTTTTTTGGACAAAATGTAGAAATACGAAACTCATACAGGACAAAACTCTTGAAGGGATAAACTAATGAAAGACAAAACTCATGAAGGACAAACTTATGAAAAAAAAACTCTAAAGGACAAAACTCATTGAATACAAAACTCATAAGGGACAAACTTATGAAAAAAATTATTAAGGACAAAAGTCATTAAATACAAAACTCATGAAAGACAAAACTAATAAATGGCCAAAAATCATGTAGGACAAAACTTATAAAGGACACAACTCATATGGGACAAAATTCATGATGGAAAAAACTTATGAGCGACAAGACTCACAAGAAAATTCTCAAGAATCCTGCAGTAAAGATTCAACTTTAAAGATGGTTTTTTTATCTTTCCAATAGTTTTCATGGCATATTTTTAAGGTTCCATGAGAAATATTCAATCAAACATTGTTGCTTAACACCTGATTTAATGAAAAGACGACATCAATGAGACAAGCTACTGCAGTATCTAGACACTCAGATTTATTAGGCAGGTTTCTGGGTACTCCCATTATAAGTTCAGATTTCATCGCCATTTTAGAGATAATTTTTCTAGAGATAATTTTCTGTTATTGCTATAATTGAAACTGTGCAGTTGCAATCTATTTCAACAATGCAATTGTCCAAAACCCTCAAGTGGTAAACCCTGAATTGATAGGAGTTTCCGTAAATTTCTAATGCAGTTTTTAAAAGATTTATTGTTTAGTTTCAATAAAATTTTTAGGAGGGTTTCACAAAATTTGTCGCATTCGCGGGGTTTTAAGTTAAATTTTAAACAACATTTTCGGGTAGTTTTCACAAATTCACCTTGTAGTTTTAAGTTTTACTTAAACAACATTAAATTTTCGGGTAGTTTTCACAAATTCACCTTGTAGTTTTAAGTTTTACTTAAACAACATTAAATTTTCGGGTAGTTTTCATCAAATTGTTGTCTCGAAGAAAAAAATTAAAACCTATACTTTTAGAGAATTATGACTTCGATCAAAATTATTGAAAAAAACAGAAAAGTACTATTATTGGCCAGGAACATTTTGATTCTTCTTAATCTTTTTTATTGTTTTGTTTTGAATTTTGAGTTTTAAATTTCATACGGAACACAATTGTACGCAAAGTTCAGTTTAGAATGTCTACAATATACCCCTATGAAGTACAAAGATCAAAAAGTATCTGAAATATTTTCTGCAGTGTTCTATCTCTGGGCGGTAATGTAAACACAAGATGGATGTCGAAGCCTGACATGGGATCCATCTTTCACATAAATAATCAATGAAATATTCTGGTCATAGGAAACCATTATGTGAATTATCAAAATTATCAAAATTAATGCTTTTAACCTACTCGGATACTAAACGAACACTGAGGCATCTATTCTTGTTTACAAATTCCGCCCAGAGAGAACTGGTTTCAATATGTACGCAGAGTATACGCAACTTGGATTAACTTTCCTTGCATTACATTCTTGTCTCCAACTATCTCCGTGTACTGCATACTATTTTGAACTAGTTTTGGTTACTGTCCGTACCTCTTCAACTATCTCCGTGTACTGCATACTATTTTAAACAAGTTTTGAATTTGAAGTATACAGTTTCCCTTCCCACAGGCCACAAAGGATGAGACTGTAAAGACGACCTAACACTTTTGAAATATTTTTCAATAGGACTCCGTAATTGAACAACTCGGCTTTTATAATATAAAAATGGAAAAACCATGTTGTTATAGTAAGCTGTATGTACATTATAGTTTTACCTATTAATTCAGTTTTTCTGACAAGTATTTTCTAACTACATGTTAGTGTGACATGTATTAAGTAACTACCCCTCTACAACCGGGAGATCCACTCAAGACGGGTTAGCGGTCAATTTATCCGTCGGTCAAGTGAACCCAGATAAAGGAAACATATCGCGCATTTATCAGCATTCGTCAAAAACCTATCTTTCAAATAACATCCAAGAAACGTTCAAGAAAGCGAGGGTCTATACATCAGAGATTTAGAGAGTAGCAGAGATCAATTGAAACCTATGATATGCGATATTTTCAACAGCAGGTTCTTTTGTACACGACCAATCAGCAGATATCTGTATTCTGGGATCTTATTCCTTTGGATACGAAATACAAAATCTTCAAAAATAGACTATATTCATACATTTTATCTTTCATGTTAAAAATTGGAGTATTTCTTTAAAAGTTGTAAAACTTAACCCCTGAATGTGTATTATATGCAACAAGTGGCCGTTATATGGCAGTCAAAAACCTTGCATGAAACTGTAGCATGGCGTGCCGGTACACTTAAGGCCTGCTTATACTATCAAGGTAGAGCATATGTGCAGTCTCGTTAGTCTGTGGTTTACATAGTTAATAAAAATGGACCAAATTCGATAGCAACTTACGATTATCAATTGTGTATGCTCAGTGAGAACCGTATAAAACTCCGGAAGAGAAAGAAGAGTTTTAAACTCTATTTGTAACTTTATTTAGTCAAATAAACATGAGACCCACAGGTTAAACAGATTCATTTTACTTAAAGAGACTGATAGGAAAAATGAGAGGGTGGATAGTCTGAAACCTGAGAATCGATCAGAAGTTGATTGAGACCTATAAGAGTTCTATGTATTCCTGTCTCGAGAAATTGATATAAAACTGTGTCAAAATTATACCAAAACGTGTATATGTAAGATTTTGTATCAGAATCGTAGTATTTAATAATTTTTCATTTTTAATAGATATAATTGTTAATATTATTAACACGTCCGGAACATGGGACCAGAGGCCGTTCCTTCCATAAACTACATTGGTCGACAACTTGACGTCTCCTATATTGGTCGTCTATTGTACGGAGAAATATCTACCTATCACATACGAATTAAGCACTAGATTTAGAGTTCTAGCGGCCACCAGATCGTTCCAAAATTACGTGAACTACACGACCACTTTCAATGGAGAGAACGGGCTCAGAACTCCAACCGATGGCAGTGCAAAATTATTGTCACTTGTGTTGGTATAATTTTGACACAGTTTAATGTCAATTTCTCGAGACAGGAATATCAGATAGATGTCGTGTATAAGGTCCCGGCTCCTGAGTTTCTCAGGTTTCAGCCTAGACCCCCTTTCATTTTTTCTCTACATTCCCTTTAAGTAAATAATTTAATAAGTCACGAGCGTAAAACTGTTTTTTAACAACGTCAAATACAGTAATGCGTAAAATGTCGTCTTTTTATTCCACAGTTTTCTGGTTCTCACTGCAAGAACTAAAGTGACAAGCTGAAGATGTAATTTTAAGTGACATGTCCATGTCTATAGAGTTATACGTCTGATTTACATTGAAACCCTAAAAGGTTTGTATGATCAAGTACAGGGTGTCCCAAAAACATGGGAATTCATTGACGAATTGGATATCGTCTTTGTTATGAATTAGCATTGTAATACCTAATTTCAAAAGCCATATTATCATGTCTGCTAGAGTTTATTTTATGAAAAGGGGAAAAGAGTGTAAAGATGTGTCTATAATGTCTCCGCAAGATGAAAAGATGAACAGTGAAGACGGAAAAGTTTACTCTGTTTGTATATTGTAATTTTCTTGTTTTCCTAAGTACAACCGTATGCAGTTAAAACATAAACAAACAAAATGTGAACATAGCAGACGAAACTCTTACAGATTACAGCTTTCTCAGTAGGTATTACTATACTAAATCAAAGAATTATCTTAAAAGACGATATCGAATTCGTCACTGAATTCCCATGTTTATTGGGACACCCTATACAATAATACATGAGATATACCATCACCGTATTCTCTTTGAAAACTAGGCAATAAAGTGCCATTGGGAATTTGGCGTCAGCAACATTGGTGTAAATTGTTAGAATTAAACACTTTTCAAGCTCATTTCCACATTCTAATTGAAAAGATATAAATCGATATTATTTTTCTTTCTAAATTATAAAAATTATATCTTTACACTATCTGGACTATCTTTGACACTGCTGATAAATGGTGTACGGTTTAAATGAAAGTTATTGGTAATCAGTTGAAAAATACACTAATATCCGATCTATGATGTTCATCACTACGTCTTGGGAGTCAATTGGTTGTTACAAGTATTTGTAAAAAAAAACTTAGCCTCATATAAAGCATTTTATCTTAATATTAAGAAGACTATGCAGATCATTTGTAACCTATTCCGCAACTTTTAATTTTTTCTTTTTTGTAATTATTAAAACATTTTCCAACTAACTTTAAGCTATTTTGTTTTTAACTACAAATAGTTTCGAGTCTAAACTATGTTTAGAGCCCAAATAGTAGTATGTAGTATTATATGTCCATTATTCATAACCTTACTCGTAGCTCTTCCAGGATGTCCCAATAAACATGGGAATTCAGTGACGAATTCGATATAGTCTTTTTTAATTTTTTGATTTAGTATAGCGATACCTAATGAGAAAGCTGTAATCTGTGAGAGTTTCGTCTGCTATGTTTACATTTTGTTTGTTTATGTTTTAACTGCATACGGTTGTACTTAGTAAAACAAGAAAATTGCAGTATACAAACAGAGTAAACTTGTCCGCCTTCACTTTTCATCTTGTGGAGACATTATAGACACATCTTTACAGCCATTTACTGTTTTCATAAAATAAACTCTAGCAGACATAATAGTATTATGGCTTTTGAAATTAGGTATTACAATACTAATTCATAACAAAGACGATAACGAATTCGTCTCTGAGTTCCCATGTTTTTTAGATATCTTTAGTCTTTTATTGTTTCAGAGAAAACTAACTTTTCCTTTATTAAAATGCTCAACTTCGCTACTACTACTAGTTATTTGAAAACCAAACTTATAAACAATTTTTGTCATTTTCAGCCTAACGTGATCAGGACCTTTTCAGTCTAACGTGACCAGGACCTTTTCAGCCTACCGTGACAGGACCTTTTCAGCCTACCGTGACCAGGACCTTTTCAGTCTAACGTGACAGGACCTTTTCAGCCTAACGTGACAGGACCTTTTCAGCCTACCGTGACAGGACCTTTTTAGCCTAACGTGACAGGACCTTTTCAGCCTAACGTGACAGGACCTTTTCAGCCTACCGTGACCAGGACCTTTTCAGCCTACCGTGACATTACCTTTTCAGCCTACCGTGACCAGGACCATTTCAGTCTAACGTGACAGGACCTTTTCAGCCTAACGTGACAGGACCTTTTCAGCCTAACGTGACAGGACCTTTTCAGCCTACCCTGACAGGACCTTTTCAGCCTACCGTGACCAAGACCTTTTCATCCTACCGAGACCAGGACCTTTTCAGCCTACCGTGACCAGGACCTTTTCAGTCTAACGTGACGGGACCTTTTCAGCCTAACGTGACAGGACCTTTTCAGCCTAACGTGACAGGACCTTTTCAGCCTACCGTGACAGGAACTTTTCAGCCTAACGTGACAGGACCTTTTTAGCCTACCGTGACCAGGACCTTTTTTTACAGCAATTCGATAGGAAAAACTAATTGTTAATATTATTTCATAAATGTTGAATCACGACATAAATTACATCTAAAAATTGATAAGTCATTAGTTAAACATATATATTATAAGACATATTTAAAAATAGAGTCAATATACATTACATTCATTACATGTTATTATATAATTAAAGCATTTTAAGGACTTATGTATTACTTTTGTTATCATTATTCTGTAGATATTCAAAGATCTAAGAAGAGAAAATTCATCAAGAAAGTTATGGATGATTAAATAACTGAAGCAGATTACACTGACAATGTCCTGCAAAATCCGGATTTGGCAGCATAAAAAACATAAAATTTGGACTTTGATCACTTAACAGCTGATCTCTGAACAGCTAAGCACTGAAACACTGATCTCTGAACAGCTGATCACTAAAATACTGATCAAATAACAGCTGATCTTGAATAGCTAACAAAGTTGTTATTTATTGATTCATAAATCCTCACTAATGAAAAAAAGTCCTTTGAAAGGATGGTGTTAGAAAAACTTTTTGGTCCATAAAGAGTAAACTTCAAAAAGGTCCTGAAATTAAAGAATTATGATTAGCTAACATAAAGTTATTTGATAATAAGGTGAATGTCGTCTTTTTTCTAATATATAATATGGGAATCTTGGTTAGTTTTGTTAGTCAGTTTTTATATCCAACTAGGAACTGCCCTACGACCAAATAAACAATAAACTTTTCAGGTTTAAAAGAACGATGGAAGTAATTTTAAGTGTCCATTCATCTAGAGAGTTGCATGTCAGATCCATTAGGTTAGTTTTGCCTCATCAAAAATGAGAAGATATCCATGATTTTTGAAAATTGATTATTTTTATTTTCACTTGCTAGAATTTTGACACTTATGACCGATTTCTCCTGCAGAAGAACCGAGAAAAATTGTCCGAATTAAACCATTTAAGCAAGGTAAACAACAAAAGACAACATGGTCTAAATTATTAATCAGAAAATGGTAAAAATTGTAGCACTGGGAATACGGCATGCCTCTTTTTGAAATGAAGGGTTCCATACAAGGGCAGTCCTTTAAGGCCTTCAGAAATTATCAAAATTATACAATAAAATTGATTGGTAACATTATATGTACACTATTAAATTAACTCCAGTAATATCAAGAATGTAATGCAAGGAAAGTTAATTGCAGTTGCGTATACTCTACGCGGAATTTGTAAACAATGCATAAGTGTTCGTTTAATATCCGAAGAGGTTAAAAGCATTGAATTTTGATAATTTTGATAATGCACATAATAATGTCCTATAACCAGAATATTTCATTGATTATTTATGTGAAAGATGGATCCCATGTCAGGCTTCGACATCCGCCTTGTGTTTACATTACCGCCCAGTGACAGTACACTGCAGTACAAAAGATGCGTACACTTCTGAATTAACTTTCCTTGCATTAAATCCTTGAGCAATATAGTCAATGGTCAAGTGTGTGTACAAATGAGAATAAGATATCCAATTATTTTTAACAAATAAATCTGGGAAATCTCAACAGAATTATATTTATTATGAGAATACACGGAAATTTTGTTGTTGTTAAAAACATCGCTGTAGAACAAAAAAAATAAAATTCTTTAAAATTAATTAAAAATGTTGACCTCAAAACCAGCAAGTTTTAGAAAACTGTTTAATTGGCTCACCCAGTCACTTCACGCGTGTACACGTGTACATGTTATAGAATGATCTTGATAAATTTGAGTTCACAAAGAAATCGAAAAATTTTACACCTTTATTTAAACATTTTGGAGATGTTAATAATGGATGTTTTTGCTAGTGCCTTCACATACACATTTCTTTGGTTAACGTCAACGAACAGTTTTTTTTTCGTTGGCTTACATCTTCTACCAGGGCTAAACCATTACATTTTAAAATGTTTTTGATTTTACTTGGTTTTTGTAGAATTCTGGAAACCCTTGGTTATTATAGCATGCTACCATCAAAAACTGAAAAACTGAATAAAAAGGATTCCCAGCACTAATCTTGGCGAGGTTTATAATCATTAAAATATAAAAGAACTTCTCCCTCACATCAAATTTTCTATTTTCTATTTTCTAATCTCTCTATCTTGGCAACCTGATACTGTAAACTTTTGATTTTTCAAACATTATTTGATCACACTTTATTCATAGTTCTGAGTGTCAAAAGTCTCCGGCACCTGGTTTCAGGATATAAAATACAGAATTGTTTAGATTAGGGTCTCCAGCGAAACAAAAATTTCGGAAAAAAATTAAAAATGCGAAATTTCGCAATAATTATCTTTTTTCCCGTTTTGCAAACCTTTTCGTGAAAATTCATTTTGCGAAAGAAACTATACTAAATTTTGTGAGAAAAAAAGTACGAGACAATTTTGCGAAAAAACTGCGAAATTATTGAGAAAAATGCGAAATTTTCGCGATACCATTGCCCTATTTCGCTGAAAATCCTAGTTCAGATTGTTTGATTAGTTTTCTAGACCTGAATAACTGCCTCCACGATAATTACATCCTGAACGAGTAGCTCCCTGCCCAGGATCCAGGTTATCACGTCCAGGGGGATCAAGATGGAGAACCAGCTGACCAGCAGCTGCAGGATCTTTATTGCTCCGGTCACTGCTATACCTTTACCCAGCAGAGCTGTGGTTAGTCCGTTCACTACAGCATCAGCTAGATCCTAGACCAATAAACAAACATGAGAATGAGGAGATTACTTTTAATCGTCTTTGATACACGCAGCACACCATAAAACTTTTGTTTTATCACCAACAGAAAAAGTCTTAAGATTTCCAAAGGGTGGTCTCCCATTTGATTCCATTCAATGTGATTTTTTTACAGTTTACGGTTTAATTTCATTTGGAAAAATCGTTAGGACAGTTCAGTCACGGAATTAATCCGGAAAAAAAGTTTTCCCAAAACTGAAATCAAATTTGAGAAAAAAAAAATCATGAATCTAATAAAAAAGGGAAAGGAAAAGTGTCTCAAACTGCTTATACAATTATTTTAAACCCTCTCATTTTAAAGAACAGGATAGAAATAAAAATAACCAAATAATTCATTTCAGAAAGCACAGAATTTTTTCTTTAATTTGAAGAAAAATAATTCATCAAACATTTCGATTTTTTTTTGGCAATTTTCTTCCTTTTTTCCATTCTTTTGTTTCCTACTTTCCATTTTCTTTCTTTGTCTTAGACAATTTGCCCCCAAAACCCCTGGAAAAAAACTGTAAATCCAAATTACAAATCACCTGGACTGTTGCCTTCTCCTGTAGATTATTGTTTAGGTATTTATGAAGATAATCCGCCGGTAAATCCTTCCTCAAGTAATTATTGTATTATTGTTTCGGATTTTTATAGAAATAATAAAACTGAAAAGGGGATTTTTGTAAAAAACCGACTAAAAGGGAGTAATTCTTTAAAAATCTGACTAAAAGGGAGTAATTCTTTAAAAATCTGACTAAAGAGGAAGGAATTCTTTAAAAATCTGACTAAAGAGGAAGGAATTCTTAAAAAATCAGACTAAAGAGGAAGTAATTCTTAAATCAGACTGAAGAGGAAGGAATTCTTTAAAAATCTGACTAAAGATGAAGGAATTCTTTAAAAATCTGACTAAAGAGGAAGGAATTCTTAAAAAATCAGACTAAAGAGGAAGTAATTCTTAAATCAGACTGAAGAGGAAGTTATTCTTTAAAAATCGGATTAAAGAGGAAGGAATTCTTAAAAAATCAGACTAAAGAGGAAGGAATTCTAAAAATTCAGATTAAAGAGGATTTCTTTAAAAATCAGACCAAAGAGGAAGGAATTCTTTAAAAATCAGACTAAAGAGAAAGGAATTCTTTGAAAAAGAGGAAGTAATTCTTTAAAAATCGGATTAAAGAGGAAGGAATTCTTGAAAAATCAGACTAAAGAGGAAGGAATTCCCTAAAAATCGGATTAAAGAGGAAGGTATTCTTAAAAAATCAGACTAAAGAGGAAGAAATTCTTTAAAATTCGGATAAAAGGGGAAGGAATTCTTTAAAAATCAGACTAAAGAGGAAGGAATTTTTAAAAAATCAGACTAAAGAGGAAGGAATTTTTAAAAAATCAGACTGAAGAGAAAGGAATTCTTTAAAAATCGGATTAAAGAGGAAGGAATTCTTTGAAAATCAGACTAAAGATGAAGGAATTCTTAAATCAGACTATAGAGAAAGGAATTCTTTAAAAATTGGACTAAAGAGGAAGGAATTCTTAAACAATCAGATTAAAGAGGAATTCTTTAAAAATCTGACTAAAGAGAAAGGATTCTTAAAAAATCAGACAAAACAACGAGTATTTGTAAATATCAGAAAAACCCGGAATTATAATTACGAATAAAACAAAGGACTGAACAATCTAATTATATATATTTGATTAATGAAACCATAATCAATCAATACAAACTTTGGTTCTACCTTTTTTGAGAAAATAAAATTGCCAGAGATATATTTTAAATTCGCCTGATAAACTGTCAATTCATTTCGGATTTTTCGGATTATGACTGTATAGTTTTGGACAATGTTAGTCATATAAAATGACTGAATACGTTGCAGGAAGAGATTAAATGCATAAATTAAATAATTCTATTTTTATTTCTCCAATTAAATGAATATTTTTAATAATAATATTGAAAGAAGACCTAAGCGGAAAACGAGAAAACATCCAACAATAAAGTGTTGTAAAGAATTAGCTTTTTCTATTAACAATGTACAGTAATCCCCATATAGTTGTGAAATAGGAAGACGACATAAACACTCAACTTCCCATTCCACAGTTTGATGGGTCGCATTGTAGATGTGCTTAAGTTTAAAACATACTAAATATATTCAAGACAGTAATTGCATTCATCACATTTTCACCCAACTTTTAAAATATACTCTTGGTATATGTACTGCTACAGTAAGAACCAGAAAACAGTAGTATAGGAAGACGACATTAAAACAATGTTTTTGATGTTGTCCAAGCAAGTTGTTGTACCAGTCGCTAAAAAATCAATGTTTTTTATCAAATTGGTCTGTGTGCACTGCACAATTGATGTGTTTCATGTTTATTTGTATCACAACTTTAGTTCTACAATCACCCTCCTATTCAACAGTTTTAAGTATTTCACTGTATAAGAGTTAAACAATTTGTATGGAAATTATCAGTTATAAATCTGAAATAAAATGGTAACAGTTACAAATATAATGAAATAAAATGTTATATTTCAAACTCTTTGAATACTCTTAAAATTAGGTTATTTGATATCAATTTTGATTTGACAAAAAGCTCACCTCGTCTCAATTGCATCTTTAAGTTCTTGAGCTTTCTGTGGCGTCGTAACAGCAAGTATAGAGGCAGCAAACGCTTCATTTAGAACACACAGATATATCAGTATACAGATCTAAACATAGTATATACAGATATATCAGTATACAGATCTAAACATAGTACATACAGATATATCAGTGTACAGATCTAAAAACATAGTATACATAGATATACCTATACAGATCTAAACAAAGTATACACAGATATATCAGTATACAGATCTAAACATAGTACATACAGATATATCAGTATACAGATATAAACATAGTATACACAGATATACGTATACAGATATAAACATAGTATACACAGATATATCAGTATACAGATCTAAACACAGTACATACAGATATATCAGTATACAGATCTAAACATAGTACATACAGATAAATCAGTTTACAGATCTAAACATAGTATACACAGATATAAACACAGTATACCCAGATGTATCAGTATACAGATCTAAGAATAGTACATACAGATGTATCAGTAAACAAATCTAAACATAATGCATACAGATATATCAGTATACAGATCTAAACATAGTACATACAGATAAACCAGTATACAGATCTAAACATAGTACATACAGATTTATCTGTTTACAGATCTAAACATAGTATTGTTAAAATAAATTCGAAATATAAGGAAGACGATTTTTCCGACTCAAATGCCGACGTTAATTCTCAATGTTTGTGTACACAGGAAGCAAGCACACCACATGTGTCAAATCCCCGCTCACCTTAGATCCCCGCTTCAACCGGCAGTCAGTTACGAACACTCATATTCACAACTCCATCTCTACCCTGGCTCCTCCATGATGATGATGCAGATACTCAGCGCAACGCACCTGTAGATCTGCCCCACCAACATGAAGCTCTACATCACCCCCCCTGACTCCTCCATGATGATGATGCAGATACTCAGCGCAACGCACCTGTAGATCTGCCCCACCAACATGAAGCTCTACATCACCCCCCCTGACTCCTCCATGATGATGATGCAGATACTCAGCGCAACGCACCTGTAGATCTGCCCCACCAACATGAAGCTCTACATCACCCCGCCNAAACATAGTACATACAGATACATCAGTATACAGATCTAAACAAAGTACATACACATATATCAGTATACAGATCTAAACATAGTACATACAGATAAATAAGTTTACAGATCTAAAAATAGTATTCACAGATATACCAGTATACAGATCTATACATATTATACACAGATATGCCAGTATACAGATTTAAACATAGTATACACAGATATCAGTATACAGTTCTAAACATAGTATACACAGATATATCAGTATACAGATCTAAACATCTAAACAGATATATATACAGACCTAAACATAATTTGCATAGATATACCAGTATACAGATCTAAACATAGTACATACAGATAAATCAGTTTACATGATCTAAAAATAGTATTTACAGATATACCAGTATACAATAAAGGTGATCAATATTGGAATCAAGCCAACTGCCCGCCAGGGGTTGCTGAGTTTTCACTTAAAAATTATTGCAATCTAAAAAAAATTCCAAATCGTCGTTACGTTGCGAATTGACGATTTGATATTGGAGAAATCCCCGTAAACCCCCCAAAAAATAGTTTGAAAAATTTCATATTATACATCATTTACCTAGACATTTTATGCTAAATAAAAATCTAAAACGTGCTTTTAAAAATATTAAAAATTAAAGAACTAAATAACGGTCAAAAAATCTGTTTTATAACTTTTGAACGTTTTTGAGGAATTTTCCACCTCTAACTCATTCATTGTTTATTTTTAAAGCACAATTTACAAATTGGAATTCAGCATAAAATTTCCAAGAAAATTTCAAAATATTTTTTTGAGGCCTTTTCGGTTATTTCTCCGATATTAGATCATCAATTTGCAAACGTATGGATGATTTTTAAATAATCTTTTTTATGCCAATTTTTTTTAAGTGAAAACGCAGCAACCTCTGGTGGGCGGTGAGCTGATTTCTCAAAAAATCACAAATCAATCATATCAATGAAATCAATACAGATCTAAAACATACACATGAAGAAATTCATCTCTAATTTTGTTTCCTAACCCTTCACAACCTGATGGTGTAAACCATTCATATTTCAAACTTAATTCATAATCAACTTAATATCCCAAGGTCTCAGGATGTAAAGACTACGTGAAAAAAAATATCGGATTTGGTCAACTCTGCTCTGGATAATTGCTCTTTGACTCTTGGGGATGGAACTGATAAGCCAATGTGCAGAACTGGCTTAAAAATGACAAAGAAAGTGTGAAGTGTTTATATTATTTTATTTGGGCTTTAAAAGTTAGGATACATATTTTAAGGAATAAATGGTTGGGTCTGTACTATAAAACGATTTTTGGACCCCCCCCCCCTCCTATCAGTTTTGTACCTGACCACTTTTTGTTTCAGTAAAATATTATTATTTATTATTTATCATTTTAGAGTTTGGTTAGGCTAGGCTAGGGCTAGGCTAGGGGACCAGGACAGGCTATCCATGTGTTACATATGAGATCCATGTCCAGGGGGTGGGTCCAAAAATCGTTCTCCAGGAAATTACCAAATGGTTTGATTAATATTTCACAAAATTACACTGTTTGTATTTTAAAAACCATAGAATGAAAAAATTCCCACCTACCTTAAACATGTTTAAATCACTTTATTCAATACAGTCCAGCCCCGCGTCTTTTGATTAACTGTGATGGGTTTGTTTACATTTTAGAACCAGTTTCTAATAATTCATACTGCAAGATGACATAATAATTTCTAATCATATTTTAGAAAATAAAGATAATTAGAAGATTTCCACATTTTCTCGTTTTTGGTTACGAAAAAAATGCTTGGGATTGATACAGAGTGTCTGATTAAAACTGTAAAAGAAGACTGAAAATCGTCGTAAACTTTATGATACGTACTTAATTTAAAAGCCAACGAAGTATTTATAGTTTGTGGATTAATTAGACGTGTTAGAGTCTTTACTAGAGATTTTCTCTTAATGTGTATGTTTATTTGGACACCCTGTGTACTTGCAACCCCTATGTGGAAAAGACATTATATTACACCACAAAATGTAGAGGAAATGTTAGGAAGGGGTTTCCTTAACCCTATCCCTGCTGGGGTACTTGAAAACCAGGATATTCTGGGGGGGGAGGGTTAAACTTGAAAAGAAGTCTCCATCAAATTTGTCCAGCTTGCACAGTGCACACTGTTCGTCCTTAATTTTCCTGGGGGGACGACCCCTCCCTTTACCCGCCACTAAATAAAAAATTTGATATTTTAATTTTATTCCGTTTTCCCCTTTTCTTGCACCGATTCTTTTAGTTCTTATAATTCCTTCTCTAGTTCGTTTGATCAATACTCCTCCGTACTAAGTATATTGCTTGATTCAACACTTACTTCAGTAATAGTTGTTCGTGCTGAATACCGTGATAATTTTCAGAGTAGATTTTGGTTGATATTTTCTTTTAAGAGATAAGGAATTGAGTCTTTGCCACAAACTCAAATTTTCAAATCCCTATATCTATGGAACCTGATTTTGGGGACTTTTGATATTTCAAATTTGATGCCACAAAATTCACAGTTTGAAATATCTAAGGTCTACGACATTTGGTTGCACAATTATTGGTATGAATTCTAACTTGATTTTGGAAACATGATTTGTAGATTTTATTCATCACATCTTCTATCTAAATTCTTTGCTTTTCTATGTATATACGTATATTTATATATATTTATATCGGACACAAACTGTTTTGTGTGACCTCTGGGAATAATAAAAAATTTGTCTCTAAAATTTTTTATTTTTATAAAATTTTTAAAATCCACGTAAAACATTATTAAATCCGCAAACTTTTTTGTCATTGTTTTATATTGAAAAAGAGAAGATGGGCGTGAAGCGCCCTACAAGCCTAGTTTGGTATATTTTAAGGTGAAAAAAGGTATACTTATTTAACTCTATCCATGTCAATAACGAAATTTCTTACAAAGCTTATGTAATACGGAGATTTTCTTCTTATTTGAATTTTTAAAAAAAATGTTATATAATAAATATGTTTCTAAATATTGTGAATTTTCACAAATATTAAGTTTAATTTAATGAATAGTGAGCAGTAGTAGTTGAATTTAAAAGACCTTGGCGAACCTCTCTTGTGCGCTAGTTTAAGTTGAAAAGAAGTGGTTCAACTAAGCCTACGGAGTTCAACTAATTTTCTCTCGTTGTTTATTGAATTTGATCAAAAATTAAAAAAAAACAATCTTTTAATAACTATATTTGACAATTTACAGATAACTGGAATAAATATTTTGAATACTATATTTAATAATTAACAATGTTTGGTATTTTTGAAGATAAGAATGTAAAAATATTTTAGTACAAACTCAGTACAAGATTTCTTTCTAAATATTAATAATACAAACTCAGTGCAAGATTTTAAATCAATTTCTTTCTAAATATTAATAGTACAAACTCCGTACAAGATTTTAAATTAATTTCTTTCTAAATATTAATAGTACAAACTAAGTACAAGATTTTATATTTCTTTCTAAATATTAAGAGTACAAACTAAGTACAAGATTTTATATTTCTTTCTAAATATTAAGAGTACAAACTAAGTACGAGATTTTATATTTCTTTCTAAATATTAAGAGTACAAAATAAGTACAAGATTTTATATTTCTTTCTATAAGTACAAGATTTTATATTTCTTTCTAAATATTAAGAGTACAAACTAAGTACAAGATTTTATATTTCTTTCTAAATATTAAGAGTTCAAACTAAGTACATAGGGTTTCCACGAAATGGCTATATTTTTTGCGCGAAATTTGCGCTATTTTCGCACAAATGTTTTTCTGGCGAACTTTTGCGCAATTTTTGCGCATGAAAGACAATGAGTTTTGCGCTATTTTGCGCAATTTTTATTGTACAAATTGCGCAAAACCGCAAATATTTTTTTGCGAATTTTTTCGTATGAAACGAAAAGAGTTTTAAGCATTTTTTTTGCGCAATTTGCGCAAAACCGAAAATATTACGCAAAACGTAACTTTTTAAACAAATTGACGAAATTTGAAATTTTATGCACAGAATTAAACAACTTAAGAGTTATTCAACTATTACATACAAAAAAATGATTAACAAAAAAGTATGCTTAAAATACACTCAATTGGTTACTTCATTTTACAAAGTTTAAATTATTCAAATAGAAATTGAGAGACTGAGAAACTTGGCAATATTTAAATCCTATTAAATTAATTTCAAGTGACCCTAAATGCAAAGATGACAATTCACAACGGTACCCTTAAAAACATTGCCTGATCAAGTATGAATTGTATTCTTAAATTTCTGAAATCTTTTTAATCCCATATAAAATATGCAAGAAAGTAACCAGTGCCTGAAGAATCAACTTTAAAGAAGTAGGCGTGGCCAAAGCTAAAATTGTCCAGACTTTTGGGTTGCCAGGTTTGAAAAGGCTAAATTGAGGATTCTTAAAGGCAACTTTTAGTTCTCTTACTTTTTGATGCTTGAATTTACAGTTTATTTCCCAAGTAATACTAATTTTAATACTAATTTGATGCATTTATTTTAATACAAATTTAGTACTAATATCACTTATATCACATATTGAATGTACAACAAATAAAAATTGAACTATTAAGTTTTTTATTTAAATTAAATATTAAATATTATTTGTTGATTATATATCAAGCTAGTAATGTATATTACTAGGTTTATTATACATTAAATCTTTTCTTTGTACAATATAACAACAATGAAAAGGTCGCCGTCTTAATAATATTTTTTCTAGAGGATTTTCAAAATTTTACAAAAATCAAAAACTTTTGGATATACATTTTGTAATTTTGAGCATCAACAAACCTTCCCTGAGGTCACTAGAGTTGCATCAAAACATTTGGGTCCGATCGGTTCAGCCGTTTTGACGTTTATTGGAAACAAACGGACAGACAAACACACGATTAAGCAAAGTATATATATATATTTCATAGAACTTAGAAGATAAATTAATAACCTTAATAAACTTTCAATAATAAACCAAACTATGCAGGAACCCGAGAATGCCCGGACACCCTATTCTGTCCCCTCCTGATCTATCTACGGAGAAGTGGAATTTTCTATCTTTAGATCAGGAAATCGAGAGAACGGGGAAAAAGAAGACTTTTCGGTAAATATTGTTTGAAATGAAATTGTTTATGTTATTTTTATAAAATTATGGTCCTTTGCTCCACCTCTCAAATACAATCTTTTATAACAATGTCGTTGATTTGTAGAGTAACAATATAAATTTATTTATATAGGTCGCAAGATCTTTTTAAATATATTGGTTTTCATTATGACTAGAGATGGGCATCGTTTTTTAAACAAAATTTTTAAGATCGAACGAAATTTTTCGTTAAAAGGGGTGTCGTTGAGAAAAAACGAACGATGGATGAGCAAAATGGATTGTTCAGAAAAATGAAAAAAAATGAAAATTTTATAATAATATCGAACGAAAAAAAAAACAATTAAAAATTGTTCGAACGAACAAAAGATTTGTTTTTACTGGACTTAACAAACGATTTAATTGAACTATTTTTCAGGGAAAAAACAAACAAAATAGATGGAAAATTAACGATAATTTTGAGAACGAATGAAATCAATTTTTCTAAACGATTGAAAAAAACGAACGAAACGGGTCGTTCACAAACCATGAACGAACAATATTAGGCCCATCCCTAATCGTGACAGGCTATAACCCACAAAAATGAGACTTTATAGAGACGACTGTACACAATTTATTTCATTCATGGTTCCCTACAGCTGTTTGTTAATTTATCTATTTCTTTGCTAAATTATGATTTTCATATCATTAAAAGAAAATAAATGGTTCGTAATATTATTAGAGTTTTAGGGGTCAAATAAAATCTCATGGTTTGACACTTGTGAGTAGCTAACCATGTAGTTAGTGATGGGTATCAATAATTTGTTTTTTCCCCTAACACTTGTATGAGTTTTTGACTTTTAAAAGGCACCACGCAGGCACAAACATTGGGAGCTTGTGAAGGTTCCAACATTTCAAAACTGTATTCTGTAAAAGTTTCCTTTTTTAATTATCTCAAATTATAAGGAAAAAACACGAATTATAAAAATATAGTTTTTGATTAGCATTTATTTTCTCTCGGAAAGTAAATGTCTAAAATAACTAATTTTGAGTAAAACTTCTAGGCTATTCTGAAACCTATATGTGGAATTTTGAGTAAAACTTCTAGGCTATTCTGTAACCTATATGGAATTTTGAGTAAAACTTCTAGGCTATTGTAACCTATGTGGAGTTTTGAGTAAAACTTCTAGGCTATTCTGTAACCTATGTGGAATTTTGAGTAAAACTTCTAGGTTAATTTTGTAAACTATGTGGAATTTTGAGTAAAACTTCTAGGCTATTCTGTAAACTATGTGGACAAAGGAGTCCAACTTTTTTTTTAAAAACGAACCAAGTAATTAACTATGAAGTCTAAATTGAGAAAAAGAAAAGAGTATTGATAAACCTGTAGAATTATTTAGAGCAGTCATTCGTCAGATTGTTACATCAAAGAAGCTTAGCTATGGAATAGTGGCAACACTTAAGGTGATCCTAAAGGGACTGAGTCCAAATCTTAAGACAACACATCATTTTTTTTTATTTTTAAGTAAATTCGATGTTTTTTCAAAAAATATCGTTTAAATTTTTATAATTCTTTTTTTTTGTTTTCCTTTAATTTAAACTTTTCAAAATTCGTTTTTTTCTTCAGGGAAAGCTTTTACTAAAAACAGATCTTCCGAGAGAGCTGACTGAACAAGTTGGACAAGTTCTAGATTGGAGTTTACCTGAACCTAAACAGGTAGATTTTATACATCGTCGTTTTATCATATTCTAAATATTATTTAAAGGGACTGTTGGTCAAATGTAGAGTGATCAATTATTCATAAAGTGGAATTATCGATTTACAACTTTACTTTATCAGCTTTATCTGATCATGAATGAAAATGTAATCATGTTTTTCTTTTTTGAAAACTGATTGCTCTCAATTATCAATTGTGACTGGCAGATTTGTGCTGCAGAATGGAGGAATTGTCAGAATTAAACACTTTTCAGTCAAAAAACCCAATATATTTTCCAAATCATTGATTAGATAAGAATTGCAAGGGTACCGTTGTAAACCGGACATGCCCGTTTATTTCTTTTTAATGGAGTGTTGCCTAAACAATTAATTTAATTTTAGATTCTCTAAATGACTTTTTTTTTTTAGAGTATATTTGATCTAGAACTTATAAAACGAGAACAAGCTGATAAGGAGGGAAAAAATGAAGAAAAAAGAAAAAGAGAGAATCGCAAGAAGAACAAACAAACTAAAACTGAAAACAATGAAAAACTGGAAAAAGATTTATCCCCTGGAAATGGCGGGAAGGAAAGAAGAAAAGATAACGCGGAAACAAACGAGGAAAATATTGAAATAGAAAAGGATGGAAAAGGAGAGAAAGATGATAAAAAGAAGAATTTAAAGATTATCTTGAAGAAAGAGACTCCGGAAGCAGAACCCAAAAACCAGGAAGGAATTAGAAGTACAGAAGAGATCAGTTCTAATGAGAACATGGAAAACAGACCTAAACTAAAACATAAAGAAGAAACAACATTGAGAGAGAATTTGTATCAAGATTTCTTATCTAAGGTGACAGTAGGCCCCATAAAACTGTAAAAAAGTAAAGAAAATTTAAGCAATCTAATGTGTATTTTGTATTATTATTTTAAAAAAATGGTTTTACCAGTAACTCGAAACACATTTGCCTTTTTTTCGGTGTTAGGTACTTTCCCAAAGGAATTTACCCAAGGGTAACTTCCCAAGTGACAATTTTCCAAGTGGCAACTTCCCAAATGTGCAATTTCCCGAGCAGCAACTTGCCAAATGTACATTTTCCCAAATGACAATTTCCCAAGTGGCAACTTCTCCATGAAGGAAAAACGGCTTTTTATTTTAGAAAATACGTAAGTTTAAAAAAATTCTTTCAGTTTCTTGCAGTTAGTTAAGGCAAGAACATGTTGTTGGCCTACACCCTTTCTTCAAATGGTAAAAATTAAGCGATCCTTATTATTATTTACGGTTAGGTTAAGCCTTCTGAGGCTAGGATGGGACAGGGGGCCGAGCGCTGCAGCGATTACTTGTTAGAAAAATAAAGTACATTATTTAAGATTAAGTTAGGCGTCTGATCCGCCGCAGGCTACAATGAGGGACCGAGCGCTGCTGCTAGGATGGGCTGTGGGGGCCTAGCGCTGCGGCTAGGATGGGCGAGGGGGCCGATCGCTGCGGCTATTCCTTGGTTTAAAGAAAATATAGTAAATTATTTAAGGAAATTGTTACTTGGGAAGTACATTTGGGAAGTTGCCACTTTTCCTTCATGGGGAAGTTGCCATTTGGAAAATTGTCATTTGGAAAAATGTACATTTGACACGTTGCCGCTTGGGAAATTGCACATTTGGGAAGTTGCCACTTAGGAAAATATCCTTGGGAAGTTGACGAAAGGACTTTGGGTTAAGTCCCTAACAGCTTTTTTTCTTTATATTTATATTTGACTATTTAATTTCATAATTTAATTCTATCAATCGTCATTCAAATCCCATAGTTTTATGGGTCTCACTGTAACTAATGACTATTGCTTTTTAAGTGTGATTTCGTTTTTATTTATATTTTTATGAATTAGTTAAATCACCATTTTAACTATTCGATTTCGGTTTCCAATTTAAATCTCTATTTTCAGCATTAAATACTTTTTATGGCATGTCAGCGAACCGTATAACGCTTGATCTCGATAGCCACTGTTGCAACTTTTAAATTTGAGAAAATAAAAATATGCTTGATCCCAAAATTGATATTTATTCCTTCTGATTTCCGACCACCGGACAATCTAGAGAAATTGTTCCAATTATTAATAGACGAAAGAAGATACGGATACGGATAACTCCTTAATCAATTAAGGAAATAACAAAAGAAAAGTTTTGACCTGAATAAATATGATAACGGCATAATAATATCTAAAATGTCTATAAAGGGACTGTAAACGTGATTTTAAGTGACCTGCAACATGCAAAGATGGCAATACCCGATTTACAACGGTACCCTGGAATGCTTTGTCTGATCAAGTATGAAATAGATATCAATGTTTTAGTTTCTTAAGACTATTTATTTTCATTTGCGGTTTCTCTGTAAAAGTGACTCACAGAAGTAAACACTTTTCAAATCAGAAAACTGACGGTAACTACCAAAATTTGAGGAGATAAATGTTTCAAGGTTTCAAGGTTTCAAGGTTACCGTTTCAAATCAGACATTTCCATCTTTGTATAGAAGGTCACTTGATATTACGACTTCAGTCCCTTTAAGCACATATTCTTTGTGTATTACCTGTACGATCTATGTTAAAAAATACTTTTATGAGATTATTTCTTTATTTAAGGTGGAAGGTGTAGCGGTAGCTGGAGATGAACATGAATCAGATAAACTTATGTCTGGTCTTAGGTAAATACATATTTACATCTTGCAAAGTTGCACACATCCTATTAACTTACTGAACAAGTTATAGAATCACATCTGGGTTCCATCAAAACCCTGACACAAAGGAATTGAGTTTTTGCAACAAACTCTGATTTTCTAATCCTTACATTGTCCCAACCAAATGTCGTAGACCTTTGATATTTAAAACCATGAATTCTGTTAGCTCAACTTATCTAAGTTTGAAATATCAAATGTGTACAACATTAGGTCGCTAAGATATTGGAATTCGAACATTTAAGTTTGTGCCAAAAACTCAATTCCTTTAGTTTTTGTTCTAAAGAAATCGCAAAACTTTTACCAGAGATGGAATTTAAAGAATTTGAGCCGCGGTTTAAATCCGCCATGCAAAACCCGGTTTAAATTAAGAGCCGGCTTCAATCTTGAAACATTTGATACAATTTTAAGTGGAACCAACCATATTTAAACCGCGGCTTAAATTTAAACCGCCGCTCAAATTCTTTAAGTTTGGCCACTGGCCTAAGGCAATTTAGGAAAAAACATCATCCTGTGTCCGAATTTAATGAATTAAAGCCGCGTCTCAAATCCCCCAAAAACCGGTTTCAATTGAGCGCCGGCTTAAATCTTGAAAAATTTAATACAATTTTAAGTGGAACCAACCATATTTGAGCCGAGGCTTAGATTTAAGCCGCGCCTCAAATTCCTTAAATTCAGCCTCAGGTCTCAGGTTATTTTGGAGGGAAAAAAAAACTCTTAGGTTATCTCGAAGAAAACCCCAATTGGCAGTTAGACTCTCATCCAGCAAACTCACTCGTAGACGAAATGAATTGTATTAACAAACATTGCAAATTATAGCCGTTAATAAGATTAAAATAAGACAGAGTTTGTCGAATTTTAAAAAAAGATTTTGAAAAATCTTTTTTTTAAGATCTAGATATTTATTTATGTATCGGCATTTTATAAAAATTTTAAAAATTGTTTAACAGAAAAAAATCTATTTTACGATAGTTATCATGTACATTCATTTGTAACATAATTAAGGAGACAACTATTAGTTTTACGATACATTTTTTTCGTTTTTCCGTTTTTTTTGGACGGCATAAGTTCAGAAGTAAAGAAAAAAAACTACATTGTATAAAATAATTTAACATTCTTGCATGAATATAAACATTACTTTGTGAAGTAAACATTTGAAATACAGAGCATAAGTTCAAGTGAAAAAAACTGCATTATAAATTAGAGGGTAGCGTACTTTAGAGTTATTTGACAGTGTCTGTCGTTTCATAAATATAGAATGTTACAAGTAACAGTGTGCATGCCTTCGCATAAGGCATGCACACTAAAAAAAATGAAAAATCTTAATTTATAGTTAATATGCAGGGATTTGAGATATGATGTATTTATGTTACATGTAGCTGACCGAACTGTAACAATTGGAGAAATGAAACAAATAAAAAATCTAAAATTTTCTCCACACATAGTAAACATTTCGACGCAGACCGTTTTCTAAAATTCTACGGGCAAAGCCGGGTACAATAATCATGTTCTTGATTTAAACTATTTAAAAGATCAAGGTTAATCGCACACTTTTTGAAATGCTAATAACTTAGAACAAGTACAGATAGATGCAAAAATACTAAATGCATGCGAACTATATTCTCATAAACATTTCAAGCTTGTGTGCAAGACTTGTTTTTTTATCTTATTTCACGTAGGTTGAAAGAATTAGATGGTGGTCAGTTTTATCTAAAGCTGTTTTAAATTTTGCTTTGAGGGGTGGGGGAGGGTACGATTGCATACTTTAGAAAATTATATAGGTTTTATAATAGGTATTGTATACAAACACATAAGTTAGACATTTACAACTGTACTGTAGGAATAATTTGAGGAAAATTTGATAAGTTTGAGGAGGGCTTTTGACGTTTCGGAAAAATAAGCCAATGACAATCATGAAAAATGAGATGGGGGGGGGGGGGATAAGATATAGGCCAAATGAAGTCGGCCAGGGTAGTCGTTTTATTTTGGGATCGGTGGCAACCTAGAAACATTAGCAAGCTTCTATAGAGTGTCCGAGTAAACATGGGAATTGAGCAAAAATTTCAAAATGGTCTTTTTGTAAATGACTTTTAATTTAATACCTTTAACCCTTTTCATAATAAAACTTTAGCAGACATTCTCATATAATGACTTTAGAAATCAGGTATTAAACTGATCCTTCTTAACAAAGACGATCTCGTATTCTTCACTCAATTCTCATGTTTATTGGGACACCCTGTATATAATCTAGTGTGCAAATATGTTAAGAGTTTGAAGCATTGACAAATTAAACGTGTTGTCAGGAAAATATTTAAACACCTTGAAAAGCCGGTAATCACAAACTCAATCTAAAGTGTATTCAATGCAAATAAAATGGTGCAAATTATTCTTGACTCCGTTTATCTATGTTTTTAAAGTAGACAAAACAAAACATGAATTAGTGAAATAGTAGAAATGAATTTTTCAGGATTTATTCGGATGATACTAGAAAACCATATTAGTCATAAAACCATTATTACTTAAGCTCTTTAATCTTGAGAGGGGGATTGGGTGGTGAGTAAAACTAACTACAATGAAGTTATCGGAATATTCTTCGTCACTGAAGCCCAATAAAAAAGTATAGAATAGCAGAAACGAAAAATTTACATTTAAGGAGTGAACATGGCCGGGTTCTAAAGATAACTTTTAATCAGGACCTCTAGTTTATCGTGTGGGGGGATTTGATTGAAAATACGGGAAAGATGAATATTTTTGAATAAAGATTATCTGAAATGCATTTCTGAAGACTATCAGCTGCTGACAAATGCATTTTAGAGAAATATTACCTAAGAGGATTAGAATTACAAAGTTTGCAGCAACATCTGCTTAACCATTTTATTAACAGTGATAATAGGAATAGGAATGGGAATAATACCAAGTTCTTCCTTCAGATATTTATAAAGTTTTATCCACGAAAGATCAGACTGTAAATGCGACCAGAAACTCTTTAACAGTTTCAAGATTAAAATAAGTTTTTGCCTTGAATAAAGCTAGTGTTTTTTCATAGCTTTTTTATTGATTTTGCGAAAAAAGTAAGAAGCTTAAAGTAGCGGGGAATTATAAATGTAAAGAAACAGGCAGTTGATATTCCATTGCTGCCTTCACTAAAGTCTCATCCTTTGAGGGTAACCCTGTACTTCTTGGGGAAATATCCGCCTTTGAGTGTAACCATTGATGGTAATAGCTATGAATAGCTAATTATCAATAATTATCCATTACCCATATTTTTACTCTGAGGGGGGGGGGAAATTAGAAGTTTAAGCACTAAAGTATTCAACCTACGCTATTATACATTAAAAACCTAAGTATGCCATTTTGCAAATAGGCATCAGATAAGATTTCTCGTTGGAACAATTCTAAATTTGCAAATCCACACGTCGACATTGAAATGTCTCTTTGTTCCTGTTTGATTCTATCATAAACTTGTTTCACAGATATCCAGACTGCTATGAAAATTTGCTCCAATTTTCAAGACTGGGTCGAACTTAAAGTGTCGCATCACCTTGGTCTTTGAGATTACCTCACAACTCACTTATACTTTTTGACGGGCGAGACATTTACAATTTAAAACTATTAAACATTTTATCTCTAGTTGTAAAGAACCAATTGGAAAATTTCTCATCAATTTTTACGTAAAATCTCGACACCTTTAGGTCGGCGCTACGACATCTTCTCTATTTTCATTTGCTCTATAGCCATTTGCTCTAGTTCCATTTGCTCTATCAAGTCATTTGCTCTATACGTCATTTGCTCTATATTCAATCTGTTCTATACCTCATTTGCTCTATGACTAAACACGTCATTTGCTCTATAACCTAAAAATACACTATAAATTAGCGTTTATTGGAATTCCTGAGCGTAACTTGACTATGAAATACGGGAATTTTTTTGTTGGAAAATTCGCAAATTGCAGTTTTAATCAGTTCTTCAAAGTTCATCATGACAGAGAGACTACTCAATAATAAGAGGGGTAAAAAACCTAATATGTGGTGAAAACTACATTTATTCTACTCTAAAACAAACAGGCTGTCTATCCGTACTGGAGATGTCTTGAATATAGAAGGCAGAATTGTTCTGCCGTGGTTAAAACCTTCATAATAATAAAATAAAATCTCCAGGAAGTTGGCGGAAAAATGAAACTGTAGGAAGAATTGTAATATGTAAAATTGTAAAAATATGTTTATGGAGCAAATGACGTGCTTACTCATAGAGCAAATGTTGAGTAAAGCATTTAAACCATCACAGTCATAAAAATGTATATAGAGCAAATGACGTGTTATGTCATAGATCAATTGACGTATAGAGCAGATGACATATAGAGCAAACGTCGTAATCTATGAGCTATAGAGCAAATGGTTAATAGAGCAAATGGAACTAGAGCAAATGGCCATAGAGCAAATGGAATTAGAGCAGATGTCGTAGCGTCCTTTAGGTCACCATGATTTTACTTTGTTTTGAGATTTCCATGAAAACAGAGATAATTCATGTTGAACCGGAAAGTACTATTTTCTAAATGGGGTTCTTGGAGTACAACTTCCAAATATATAAATACACACAGACATATTTCTACGCATAAGAAAGCCAGACTACTATACTTACTACAAAACTACTGAAATTTACTTTTCTCTTCTTCCTTTTCCTAATCAAAGCAAGGAATAAACTGGATAATCATTTCTAATTTTTGTTGCCAATGATATTTTTTCCTCCATCAGAACAGTTTCATGTACATCCTGGTTTTGTAAAAATAATCTAAGTTATCTGTGATCAAATTTTGTCGTTTTCCTCCTTTCAAGAAAAATATCTTATTTAACCATTTAATCATTAAATTATTTATTTATTTAATTATTTAATATTTTTTATATTTTTCAGAAAAGCAGAAGAGAACATGAATAGAATAGGTGAGATAAATAAAGAAAAAGTTTTTAAAATATTAAATAATTAAACTGGACCCTGGAGGATCAAATAAGAAAATATTCTTATTTTGTTTTAAGGAAAACAAATATAAAGTTTCTTCTTAGTATACAGTGAGAATTAGAAAATTCTGGAAAAGGAGGAGAAATTTTATTATAGTGATTTTTATAAATAGACCCTAAAAGTGTTACACAACAATTTTGCAATGTAAAATCATTTTACTTAAAAAGTAATTTACTTACTGACTAATACAACAAATGTCGTCTTTCCATTCAGACATCTTTTGTTTCTCACTGAATATACACTAAAATACAGGCCTTTAGCAACATAATTCAGTACAGTTTGAATAGTAATTATAGGATAAAGATATGTATATTTGTTGAAACTTAGCGGGGCGTCGACAATTAGGTTGGCTAGTTAGTTAATTGATTACGTGGGGGGGGGGGGGTTAGAAGGTAGATTTATGGTCAACAATATTATTTACGTTTTTCAAGAAAAATTCAAATAATATAAAATAATTTAAAAGATAAAAAGGGGTAAACTGCAAAATAAACACTATCTTTTTATTTAACATTTTTTTAAAGCTACCACAACAAACAAACAAAAAATATTTGGTTATAAAAGTTTTTCTCCAGTTTTTCAGTTTTTATTTGTTGAAAATAATAAATGATTGCATCATTTTAGTCTGAAGGATGAAACTTTGTGGCTGCAACTGAAGCGGAATTTTTCTGTAATTCTTTTTCTTTCATTTTAGGTTCCCTCCAACTGTTGACCTTTATTTCAATCAATTGGTGAACCTTTACTCGATCAGAAATACTTGGTTTAAATAGATTACTAAATTCAATCCTTAAATCGTCATGTTCAATTCAATTCAATTCAATATAAGTTATATATTTCTGAAGGAAAATTAGTATAACAATTTTTACGATAACATATATAACATCATATAATAGCTCCTTCAGCAGGAGAGCTCAATAGCTCGGAGCTTCAACTTTCAGAACTGTTCAAAGGCTCGTCCTTTGTAGGTTACCCTGTATGATAGTAAACTACAAGGTACCACTGCAAACCACACAGAAGGGAAAGAAAAATGTATGCCATATCACTTTGTGACCTCGTAGCTCCTCTAGTTTCGTTCTTTTCCACAATTATGAGAAAAGCATATTTATTCGGTTACATTTAACAAATTAAAAACGTTATTGTTCTGTTAAAAACTCTTCAATTAAAGAAATTACTCGTAGTCGGCGTGGAACAGACGATCTCTTTGAGCCTGTTCTACGTTGACTACGCGTAACTCTTTTGGGCTTCTGTCTCAGGGTTATTGTGAACGAAGCACACATAAATCCTAAAAAGCCGACATCTAGTGTTCGGTCTGTTATTTTCATCTATGGTGTCCAACATTGGATTGCAAGCTATATTTTGATGGCATTGATTAAAAAAGTCGTTTTTTTAAAGCCTGCACACATCCAAAAAGATTTCAAAATATAAGTATTTTAGATTTTAGATTAAATCATTGTCCTTCATAAAAATTGCAATAAAAGTATTTCCTACTTTAGAACTATAGAGCTTATAAACAGTGTATGCAGGTGTAGGAGATAAATTACTCACTTAACCAGGAAACTGAGAAGGATATGTATGTGTAGATGCCATGTATTAATCTCAAGTGATATGTCTATATATCTATCTATCTATCTATTTCCATTCCAGACTCATTAAGCTTATCTATAAAAACTAATTCACGTCTACAGTATGAAGGATAAAATATAAAAATGAATGAATTTTTTATAACGATTAACCGGAATTGAATTATTGCAATCCCATTACCCCCCGCCCCAAAAACCTGTAGTTTCTATATTATTAGTCATTCTATGATTTTTAAACTCGAAGTACGTTTATTAAAGAGGAACAAGATTTGATATACAGAGTGTCCGGGAAAAAACGTTGTTAACGGTACAGGTTACTGCACAGCTTGGTTTTTATATTCTGGGATATCTTTATTTTAGAAATCTTTAAGTTCTGGCAGTATAAAGTGACAGTTTGGCTGAGTAAAGTTTGTAAATAGCTAAATTCGTAAATGTTTGTATGTCGACCATGTTGACAGTGCAGACCAAGATGTGCACCCTCTCATGCAAAATTCTAGCAGTATTTTGCCAGCTTCTAATTTAAACTTAAGCTTGAGAAAAGGCTAAAAAAAATATAAGTAAGTTGATAATGTTAAACCAAAGGCCAAGGAGTTGCGACACTTTAAAGTCCAACTTTTAATGTTGTCTATATTTCAGTGAATTTGATATCTTTAAAGTCTTAACAGAGTAAAATTCTTTAAAAATATCTAAATCCCAGTATAATTATACTAGAAAACCTAGAGAATCTGCTAAAGAGTAATATTGGATATATATTATAGAGTGAGAACCAGAAAATTGTAATGTAGGAAGACGACATTTAAGCATAAACGGAGAGCATTTGAATATAATAGAAGAAATAGACCTGTTTACACTGTACGTTTGCTAAGCCTCATGTTAATTAAACCATTTACAGTCATAACTTGAGTCTAAAAGTCTACTTCAGAGTTTTCTGGTTATCAGCTGAGTTAATGAAAAGTTTCCATTGACCTGAAGTGTTGCGTACATTTTGAAACTCTCCGAAAATATAAACCCAAATATTATCGGGAAATAACTAACAGTCCCTTTAAAGTATAAAGGTGTGACACCCTGTGTTGGCAAAGTGTTTAATTTAGAATTGCATTAGAGCGCCTTGAACTAGAAATTCCAGATTATTCTATAAATATCTCCATCTTTTCAGTTGTTGACCAGTGCCTGTTCACCAACCAACAATTAAACATGAATACAATGTTATCCTTGACTCTACTTTTTGGAGTAGTTTCTCAGTTACATGCAGCTCCTCAATATGCTGCTCCCCAGTATGCTGCTGCTGAATATCCTGATGAAAAACCGTTGTATCGTTATGAATACTCGGTAAACGATAATGAGAACGGACCACTGACCTTCAACGCTGTAGAGAACAGGGATGGGACAGATGCCTCCGGATCCTACTCCGTCTTACTTCCTGACTCCAGGATACAAACTGTAACCTATACAGTAGATCCTGTTAATGGGTTTCTAGCTCAAGTTACTTACTCCGGAGAAGCAAGATTTGATCCTGTCCCAGTATATAAACCAGCTGCTTCCTATTCTCCACCTCCGTCATATTCTGCAGCTCCGTCTTATCCCGCTGCTCCTTCTTATTCTTCTGCTCGTACTTATTCTGCTGCTCCTTCTTACACTTCAGCTCATTCCAATTTTGTTAGATCCTCATATTCCGCTGCTCCTACTTATTTAGCTGCTTCTGTTTATAAATCTAACATTGCTTATGCAACTCCTGAATCTGTTGAATCTCCTGCTCCTGAGGAGGTTGATTCTTCTGTAAATGTTGAATCTCTAGCTCCTGTCGAAGCTCCTGCTCCTACCGAAGCTCCTGCTGATGCCCCTGTTTCTGAATATCCCTCTGATCCAACCCAATTCTTAGAAAACATCCTATACAGAGAGAATTAGAGAGGAGATGTCATTCCTAGAAGATTTTATGTATGATTTAGTACTCCATTTCAACAGTTCAATAACACCGTATACAGTACAGCTGTTTGACATACTGTACCAGTCGGTAAGAAGAATAGTTCAGCTATACAACTATGTAAGATGTAATTTTTATTTATTTATTTATTTATTTATTTATTTATTCAGTCATTTATGTTTTTAATATTGTAAAAAAGTTACCATTTCAATAAAAATCCTTTTTCAAATTTTCAATTTTGTGACATAATTTATATTCATAAAGTCTTAGTATATCTGTTTGTTTGTTTGGTTGTCCGATCATAACTCATGATATCCCTCAGTCTGATTTTGAAATTCAATTAGTGGATTGACTTGTTTAAGTTGTAGAAAGAGAAGTCAAGACAAAGCTAGGTTCCCAAGATATTGTCTAAATAAACTTTAAGTTACTTCATAACATAATAACATCGGGCACAAGAATTAGATTCAACTTGTTTTATAGGTCTCACTGCAACATTATTTGTGCACTTAACCTGACACCATCACCGTGAATTTTTGTTTGCTTTTCATGAATAGTAATTTAAAGGATTTTTTGTCAACATTTTTTTTAAAATTTATTTGGTAGAATACAGGGCGAAAAAAAGTCTGGTATGTGAAAAAAAAATCTAAAATAGCCCATGAACACTTGTCACAAACTCTAATTTTAAAATCCCGACAGGAATTGATAAAAAATATATACATATACTATCTTTGGTTATTTTAAAACCAACCAGCTGTCTGACCGTTCTCTACGAAACTTTTTACGAAATTTTGTTTGTTAAATTTGTTCACAGCTAACGAAAAAGAATGGAGTGTGGATAAATTTTCAAGTGACACGCCATTTATATGTCCGATTTACGATGATATTCGTCAGAGTTTTCTTTGATCCAGAATAAATAAAATATCCTTGAGATATTAAAGATTAATAATTTCCAACTGTGTCTTTCGCAATTCTGTACAGAAACTGTGGGGAAAATTGTTAAAATTGAACACTTTCCCTAACCGCATGCAACTTCAAAAATTGTGTAATTACCCAAGCGGTAAGTCTTGGCCGAACCGCTTGGCCCTCATTGCAGCATGCAACGCCTCAGAAGGCCTTACCAACCTTTGATATGTTGCCGCTTGGTAAATTGTACATTTGGGAAGTTGCCGCTTGGTATATTGTCACTTTGGAATTCACCCTTTGGAAAATACTTTTGGGAAAATACCAAATGACTTTGAATATGATTTACAAAATGTTTAAGCTGGAGAGTTCTGTTCCTGGCTCCGTGAACTACCTGGAGAAGATCGAACTGTAAACAATATTGGAGAAGCACACCTTAGGTTGGTCAGATCAATACTTTAGAAATACAAGGACAGTCCCTTTAAAGGGAGTGTTTTCAACAAATGAAAGGGGATTGGCTGAATCTGAATAAAATTTGAATTTGATTGTTATTTATTTTGATACACTACACTTCTCTATTGCAGGGGATTATTTGATACAGCGCAATGTTCTAATCCTATAATTTAGGGGATTATTTGATACAGCATAATCTTCTAATCCTATAATTTAGGGGATTATGTGATACCGCGCAATCTTCTAATTCTATATTTTAGTGGATTATTTGATACCGCACAATGTTCTAATCCTATATTTTAGGGGATTATTTGATACAGTACAATCTTCTAATCCTATATTTTAGGGGATAATTTGATACAGCGCAATGTTCTAATCCTATAATTTAGGGGATTATTTGATACAACATAATCTTCTAATTCTATATTTTAGGGGATTATTTGATACCACGCAATCTTACAATTCTATATTTTAGGGGATTATTTGATACAGCACAATCTTCTAATCCTATATTTTAGGGGATTATTTGATACAGTACAATCTTCTAATCCTATATTTTAGGGGATTATTTGATACAGCACAATCTTCTAATCCTATATTTTAGGGGATTATTTGATACAGTACAAACTTCTAATCCTATATTTTAGGGGATTATTTGATACAGCGCAATCTTCTAATCCTATATTTTAGGGGATTATTTGATACAGTACAAACTTCTAATCCTATATTTTAGGGGATTATTTGATACAGCGCAATCTTCTAATCCTTTATTTTAGGGGATTATTTGATACAGCACAATCTTCTAATCCTATATTTTAGGGGATTATTTGATACAGTACAATCTTCTAATCCTCTATTTTAGGGGATTATTTGATACAGCACAATCTTCTAATCCTGGTCGAACCAAGCTAGCTGAAGGTCTTAGGTTAGCGGAAAAAATCAAAATATTTTCTTTATCTATGGTAAAAGTGTTTTTCTCAAGACTAGTATTCTAATAACATTATTTCTATCTTTTAATATCTTTAATAGTCAGTATTTTTTTTAAATTTTTATATAGCTTCAATCTACGAAATTTAAAAATGTATCTTTAATGAAAAAAAAAGAATGAAATGCGTTAAAAAATGTCTCATCTATAAATTTTTTTTATGAAAATTTCAATCAATTTTAAATCTCAAATAAATGAATTTAGTTCTGTCTCTGCAATGTTTTCTCTATGATTTTGTTTTCTATGAAATTTTGAACTTTACTATACTACACGACGACGACGACTTTCATTGCGTTTTTTACTAAATATGTCTGTAATTAAATGCTCATACGTTAAACCTTAAATATTCCAGTTCTATCATTTGCACAATCCTCATTACTTTAGATATCTTAATTTAAAAATAATTTACAATTTTATCAAATATATTTTTTCTTAGAGCTTGGGCCAAGTTCGGAGCAACTGTCACAGGTAAAATAAATTTTTAAAGAGTTAAACAACTTTATAAGGGGGCAATTTTTAACCTTGAACAGACGACGGTTTAACTAAATATCAGGAATGTCACTTCATGGAGGGGCACTTGAAAATACCTTTAAGTTTGTTTGTATATTTATGAATAGATAATAAGGAAGATTAAGAACTATTGGATTGGCAAAAACTTAAAGGTATTTTCAAGTGCCCCTCCATGAAGTGACATTCCTGATATTTAGTTAAACCGTCGTCTGTTCAAGGTTAAAAATTGCCCCCTTATAAAGTTGTTTAACTCTTTAAAAATGACTGGTTTAAGCTAATTACAGAAACAATGAGGAAAATAAACAGAATTCGACCCCTTGATAGCAAAACGTCGATATCTTTCTCGTTGTTATTCAGTCTAAGATTTCCAGGGTACTGCTGTGAATTAGACATGACACTTATGGTTAAATGGTTACTTAAGTTTCGTATTCTGCCCCTTTTTTTACACTGACCTACCATTTTTTACACTGACCTACCTTGTTTACACTGCACCTACCTTTTTAACACTGACCTACCTTTTTTACACTGACCTACCTTTTTACACTGACCTACCTTTTTTACACTGACCTACCTTTTTTACACTGACCTACCTTTTTTACACTGACCTACCTTATTTACACTGACCTACCTTTTTTCCACTGACCTACCTTTTTACACTGACCTACCTTTTTACACTTACCTACCTTTTTTACAATAACCTACCTTTTTACACTGACCTACTTTTTTACACCGACCTACCTTTTTACACTGACCTACCTTTTTACACTGACCTACCTTTTCACACTAACCTACCTTTTTTACACTAACCTATCTTTTTACACTGACCTATCTTTTTTACACTGACCTATCTTTTTTACACCGACCTACCTTTTTATACCGACCTGTTTTACACTGACCTACCTTTTTACACTGACCTAACTTTTTCACACTGACCTAACTTTTTACACTTGCCTACCTTTTAACATTGTCCTACTTTTTTTAAAATGACCTACCTTTTCACACTAACCTACCTTTTTTACACTAACCTACCTTTTTACACTGACCTACCTTTTAACATTGACCTACCTTTTTACATTAACCTACCTTTTTACATTGACCTACCTTTTTACATTGACCTACCTTTTTACATTGACCTACCTTTTTACATTGACCCACCTTTTTACATTGACCTACCTTTTTACATCAACCTACCTTTTTACATTGACCTACCTTTTTACATTGACCTACCTTTTTACATTGACCTACCTTTTTACACTGACCTACCTATGAACCTTGCCCTGCCCTATCCAATTAATCAAAAAAAATACTTCGAGGCGATAGTGTTAAAAAATAAGTATTCTAGGGCAAACAACTAGAGGGGTGTCAAACATCCACCTCCTCCCCCCCCCCTCCAGTCTGTTTAGGGATATGGTAGGTCTACTGCAACCTTGTCCCTGACTTGTTTAGGAGGAGGTGGTCCAGGAATAGCTGAGACAGTGTTGCCTCTGATAAACCAGAAAAGGTTTGCAGAGAAGATTCTAGGACGAAAAACTGGAAGTCTCTCAAGTAGAAAGGTATTGCACAATTTTTCAGATTAAAAAAATTTTTCAGATTAAAAAAACTTTTCAGATTAAAAAAAAATGAGTTTTTTTCGACAAGCTATACTTTTATAATATCTAAATCTTTACAACCAGAAGTGGTAAACCTTGATGTTTCAAACTCATGAATTCTGCTACATAAAAGTCTAATTTTGATATTTCAAAGTTTTACTTCATCAGACTGCAGGGATATATGGATTAGAACATTTGAGTTCGTAGCTAAAACAACGGAGTTTAGTTGTTTAAATGCAGAAAAGGGGAGGGGGCGAGTGCCTTTGAGGTTGTTTCCCCCCCACCCCCACCCTCCTGAAAAATTAATTTATCGTCAAACAGGCAGAAACAGGAGGCGGAGCAAGAAAACTAAAACGCAGGAAGGAAAGTAAAAGATCTCGAAGACTTCAGTATGGAATCTGGTATCTTCATCCGCAAAAATGGCAGGTTAGTTTATTCTATATTTTTAAAAGTGCTTTTTTGGTATCTTGAATCATTTTTATCCAGAGCTGGATTCTTTGAAGGATTATTGAGAAAATAAGTTGAACTCATTCTGTCAATTCAAAAGTTTCAGGCTCTTTTTATTGTCTTTCACACTATATACATAGAGTTGTTTCTTGTTTTAAGGAACGACACGTAAGGTTGATTGCTACCAGAGGAGGACTGAATATACAAGATAAATCAAAGGTATAATTAGTTATAGTTGTTAGTTATATTGGTTAAAATTCATCATGGACATTTTCATGTAAACAGATTTTATCAAAAGAATATTTCTATCCAAGACCTGCACCCAATCTATTTATTTTTCATTTTCAATAACTAAAAAACTTATGTATATTTGTATAAAAAAGGGAGGAATGAAGCTGTTAATGATAACTTGCCAAAATCTCTTATTTTCTAATCCCATTATCTTTTCTGCCTGTTGCAATAAACCTTTTATAAAATTTAGACTTTGTCCTGCAGCATTTTTGAAATTTTAATCCATAACATCAGGTTGCTTAGAAAGAAGAATATGAAAATCTGAGTTTTTGAGGAGTTCCTTTAAAAATAAAGTATCACAGGAGATGTATGTACTTTTATGTACTATCCTTTTTATCTCCTGAAATTTAAAGATAACCTCCCATCACTCGTGCAAGCCAATCCAACCCTTGTCATTTAATTAAATCCTTGTACCTACATTTAATGTTATACCTTTCTTAATCATTCAGATTGGCTTAAGAGCCTGTCTTCCTGGACCTGTTGATATGTTGGGAGGTACACAACCTGTACACCAACTACAGGTGAAGTACATTACAGTACAGTAAAGTACAGTACGGTAAAGAACAGTACAGTACAGTACAGTACAGTACAGTACAGTACAGTACAGTACAGTACAGTACAGTACCGTACAGTACAGTACAGTACAGTACAGTACAGTACAGTACAATAAAGTACAGTACAGTACAGTACATAAATATACGTTACTAGGAGGTGGAAGGTCATCAATAACTTCTTTATCTGATACAATCCGTGTTGTTTTTAACATTTGAGATATTGAGCCTACTATGATTGATTTTGGTTAAAATTAAACATTGTTTAGGCAACTGTTGCGTTTGGAGAATTCCTTGGGTTGAGAGGCATTCGGAAACCTAGATTTGTTCAGCATATTCTACAGTAATATGTGTTCGGAAACCTAGATATATTCTGCATATTTTATAGTAATATGTGTCCAGAAACCTAGATTGTTCAACATATTCTACAACTATGTTCAGAAACCTAAATTTGTTCAGGATATTCTATAGTAAAATGTTTTAAGAAACCTAAATTTGTTCAGCATATTCTACAGTAATATGTGTTCAGAAACCTAGATTGTTCAACATACTCTACAAATATGTTCAGAAGCCTAAATTTGTTCAGGATATTCTAAAGTAAAATGTTTTAAGAAACCTAAATTTGTTTAGCATTTTCTACAGTAATATATAAAGAACCAAAGTAGCAGAACAAAAACAATAATTGTCTAGTCCTACATAGAACTAAAGTAGCAGAACAAAAACAATAATTGTCTAGTCCTATATAGAACTAAAGTAGCAGAACAAAAACAACAATTGTCTAGTCCTATATAACTAAAGTAGCAGAACAAAAACAACAATTGTCTAGTCCTATATAGAACTAAAGTAGCAGAACAAAAACAATAATTGTCTAGTCCTACATAGAACAAAAATAATAATTGTCTAGTCCTATATATAGAACTAAAGTAGCAGAAGAAAAACAATAATTGTCAAGTCATATAATGATCTAAAGTAGCAGAACCAAAAACAATAATTGTCTAGCCTTATATATAACTAAAGTAGCAGAACAAAAACAATAATTGTCTAGTCTTATATAGAACTAAAGTAGCAGAACAAAACCAATAATTGTTTAGTCCTACATATAACTAAAGAGACAACTGTACAGAATTTATTCAGTTTTTTACTTTATCATAGTTTTCCGCAATTTCACACCACTTTTACTCTATGTAAAAACATTTGATGGACCATTTGTTTAACCTGTAAGTCGTCACATGAAATAAACTTAGATCGTCATTAAGTCTATAGTCCTTTCTGGGTATCCGTGTATGAATTATTTTGTGGTTTTAGAGAGAACTTATATCTAATATATATCCAATATATATCCAATATATATCCAATATATATCCAATATATATCCAATATATATCCAATATATATCCAATATATATCCAATATATATCCAATAAATATCTAATTTATATCCAATATATCCAGTAGAAATTTTAAGTTATTTAAAAAGGAAATAGAAAATTTCTGACATAAACATTTTAGTAAAAACCATTCTGTTTAACTGAAACACACGAAAAACTGTTTCAGCAGCAAAATGTTTTGTCCGTTCAATATATTGAATACTTCTCTTTTTCTAAGCTCCTTCAAGCATGTATACCATGTAAAACTTTTGAAGGATTGAAATAAACTGTTGTTGCTAATAGAATTTTAATTTTTTTATTAAATAAGTTTAAAAATAAAATAAGTATCTACGAAATTATGATTAAAATTGTTTTAACTACCTCGCATATGCGTGTTCTGCCGAAATAGCTGCATACTTCAGTATGCCCATTGACTACGGGTTTTCAGCAAAAGCAAAATTTTGCGCAAAAATGCGCAAATAAATTGAATCTTTGCAACAAACTCGAATGTTCTATTACTCATATCTGTGCAACCCAATATTGCAGACCTTTGATACAATTCAAACTATGAATTCTGTTAGATCAGATAATCTAAGTTTGAAATATCTGGATGCAAAGATTTAGGGATTCTAAATTTTGAGTTTGTGGCAAAACCTCAATTCTTTTAGTTTTACCATTTTGATAATTCTGCTGATATGGGACCATTTAGCATTAGAAGTTGTATTATATTAATATATTATTATATATTGATATAATAATAATTCTATGTTGATACCGACCTAGCACTAAATTTTTCTTGTTTGGAATTTTATTTTATTTTTACATACAAATATTTTTGCATTTTATCATTTTATAAATTAGCGATAAACATGAACCCTGCAAAAAATGGATTTTTGTAAAACAATGTTTAGCGCGGTTTTTTATATAAATAACCTTCATCTCAACTGAGCTGGGAACTATTGTACTGTGGGTATTGAGATCAGTGTTAATTTTCGATCTTTAGTTAATCTGCAGATTAATTTAATCTTTAATCGATATCCCGCATGGTAATTGAATTCAGTCGGGGGTTGATAGGAGCTTTGAGTTTATAAATAAGAATCCATAGTTTTTCATGCATAATTTTGATCCTCAAATTAAAACTGACCAAAATGGATATCGAGTTTAAGCTCTGATCTTCTTAAGTTATAACCCCGTCCCTCTTATTGAAATAATTGTGATAATTATAGCTATGCCTTACTGCTTTTGAATTTTTAATTCATAATTTTAAAATTTTGTTTCTATTCCTCAATTCTTCTTTCTTTCTAAAACCTCATCAGTTTTGTGTCTAAGTATTTTTCTTAGTGGATTCTTTACCCTTTTGTTTCTGCATCACCAATAAAAAGATTAATTGCATATGAAAATTCTGAATTCTTGTACAGTATGTCATAAGACCTGATTTTAGTCACGAGTGTAGAAACATAGATGAACGGAAGCTAAAGTGAAAGATAGTTTACAAGTGGATAGATAGATGAGGATAGATCGATAAATATACAGTGATAGATAGATAAATAGATGATGATAGATAGATAGGGGAGGATGGGAAAGATCCCGTGGTCTCGAGACCATCCCACGGACTCCGAACCTTGGACGGGACGGGTTGGTTCCGGTGGGACGGTTTAGTTCCCAATTCCTCGACAGAGGGGACACAGGTCGTCTGTACTGAAACGCACAGGTGATACATCTAAACAAAGATGGCCGACCATAATTAAAAACAAAATGCGACAGAGTTAATTACTTTATAACTTTATAAAATCAAAAATTTATTAAATTAACATTTGATTAACAAATTGTCTGAGCATCATTAAATGTAAGATTCACGTGAATATCTTGTTCTCAGATTAATATTAATATTAATAAATCGATATAGAGTTTTCTCGTTTATTATTAATCATACAGTACAGTAGACTTAATATTTTTATGTACTAGGCTTCCAGGGCGCTTCGTATCCATCTTTAATTTCGAGTGTGAACATGTTCTCTTTGTGTATCTAAATTGTAAAATATAAACAAACAAAAAAGTTCGTGAATTAAAAAATTTGGATATTTAAATCAAAGTCGAATTTTGTCGGAGGCTAATTTTTAAACTTTTGATCATCCATAAACCTTCCCTGGGGTCACGTGAGGTCCCACACAAAATTCGGGTCTGATCGATTTAGCCGTTTTGACGATTATTGGATACAAATAAACAAACGAACAAACAGACAAGCAAAGTATAAAGAGATTTGACTTGCTTGTAGGTTTGTCTGTCTTTCTATAGTCAGTAAACCTTAAAACGCCTGAACCAAACTCAAATATGTTGTTGTATCTCATATCAAGACAAGGTTTATGATTTGTATATTCAATTTTTCATAGCTCATAAATTAAACAGTTAACTTTTAAAGAGGAATATTAGTTTCCAGACAAAGTTGGGTTCCCAAGCTAGCATACACATATTTGGCTTTTATGTTGGGTTCTGAACCAAGTACAAAGCGCAAAGCGCCAAGGAAGCTTTTTAAAAAAATGTAATAATGGAAATTATTAAACCAAATGAAATAATCTTGATGTATTCTTTAACATAATTTTATAAAAGTAATCAATCATTGAATTTAAAGATTAGTTTATATTGGTAACCCTTTATCCTTCAATGCGTCTTTTCAATCAAGAAAATTAAATTTATTCTTATTTGATTTACGACACCGAACCCCCCATCTTGTTACATCACAACATGTATTCACCCTTTTTAAAACAGTGATATTCTAAATAATCAGAAATACAGTAAACTGATTGATGACTTCAAAGTCGTCTTTGACTTTAGAATTATATTGCGGCATTCGACATTGGTAACCTGATTTTACCAATATTTTCTTCATGAAACAATAATTACAGATTAGACCTATTTCTGCTATTTCCAAAATGCAGTCTGTCATTTTTTTGGTTTTCTGATTCCCGGAGATATTAAGGATTTTGTTCAGAATGAGACATTTCATGGTTTTATTTAGTTAATTGAAATTTGAAATTATTATTTATCTTTTTTATTTTTATTGAACATAAACTTTGTTAAAAATTCTATTGATCGAATATCTTCCTTTGTACTAAAAATTAATAACTTTATCAAATAAGTTTAATCAAAAATATTTATAATTTATTACCCTGTAAAGTTAAATTTTAAACATTTTTCTATTTCCCAAAAAGATATTTACAATTAAAAGGACAAATTAGTTTTTTTTCTCTAGATTTTGTACAATCATGAAATCAATTAAACTTTCGATTTTGTAATATTTTTAAAAATAATTTCTTTTATTATTTCTAAGTTTTTGTTGTCGCATGTTTTGGATTTTTTAACTCTTATATCTGGCTTTAATCTACTTAAATATAAATATCATTCAAATATTACACAAAACGTAATTTTAAAAAATATAATATCCTTGTTTGCATCTTCCTTATCTTCATTTGATCTTAAAATAATGACAATATAGGACATGCAAGTATTTAACATTACATCTTTTTTCTCTAAAAATACATGAGACCTTTTATATTTGGCTACGTCAAAATATAAACAATCAATTGTTTTTTTTCAGTTAATGTCAAAATCAAACAATTTATAATTTTATCCCGTACGTACTCTTATTTCCAATTATCATTATTCCTGGGATAACATTTTTTTTCTAGTTAAATTTTGCGGATTGGCATTATCGCGTTTGTCATCATAAACTACAGAACAATATGTTTTCACTACTTAGTTTGTCATCATACATAGAAACTTGATTATTTATGTTGTAACTTGAAAAAGAAGTTTTATAACATATTATTTAAATAAAATATATTGGAAATCTTAGTATGGCTTCGGAGGTACAAAACTTAGCTAATAGAATTATAATAAACACTTGAAAAAGAAAATTGAAGTACAGAAAAACCAATAAAAATTAATAACATTATAATAATCAGTTTGAAAATGCCATATCATTGGTTTATGTTTCCACTGAACAGAGCTTTTTTATAGGTTTTAACCCAGTTTTTGTAACAAACTGAATCGTTATCTTCCCTATATCTTTGCAACCTGATGGTGCAAACCTTTTATTTTAAAAAATAAGACCATTTGATCTAACTGAATATAACTAGTTTGAAATAGTAAAGGTATACAACATCGGGTTGCAAATATGTAAAGGTTATAAAATAAGAGTTTTTGCAAAACACCCTGGATCGGACTAAATCTTTTAAATTTAAGGATTATGTCGTTTTATACTTTTTCATTTAAAAAGTAAATGCAAACAAAAAAGGAAAAAAAGTATGTTTAAAAGATAACATTTCTCTTGATCCGGCCAACAGGCTGACCCAAGACCGGATTTTAAGAATTTGAGCCAGGTATAGACCTGGCTGAACTGCCTACCGCTGGTTCACCGATTTCCTTAATTTTTAACTTTATATCGGTACGTGGTTCAAATTTGAAACGGCAGACAGAATTTGTGTTGCTTACGAGTTGATGTTGGTCCAACCAGCAATAAAGTAAACAAAGCAAATCTTAATATTTTATTTTGAAAATATATTTATGACTGGTTTGACATACGAAGCTGAAAAGCAATATAAGATTAGAAAAGAAACAAACTCAAATCATGATATCCAAAAAAATTTCAATTTACTATTCAGCAAACAGAACTGTTATTAAAGTTGACTTTAAAAGTCGGATTTAATTACTAATCATGAACGTGTGGCATCCACAAATCGATAATAAAAAAATTGGTAGAAAAAGTGCTGGCCAAGTTTGAATTAGTTATAAACTTGAAACAAAAAGTCTACTTTTGCTTGCTGTGTAATTAAAGAATATTTAAAATTTACAAATACTGTTCTTTGAAACCTGTTTCTGTCATGAAGATTCAGAACGAACTATTTAAGTTTATGAATAAAAAGTAGGGTCTTGTTAACGAACTGATTTTCCAACAGATTAATAAAAAAACATTTGTCTTCTTTTTAAACGTTTTTTTTCCAAAGTAATTTTTTTAACAATATGTATAAAATAAAATAGATCATGGTCGAAGCAATTAACCAGGGTGCTCACACGTCTGCAGGCAGCCTGTCACAGTTCTTGCTTTACATCCTTTTCTCCACTACACTTCTTGTTCTCCAATTGTCTTCCTTGTGGTGCAATTTCCAACATACTTGGATTTCCTATAATAACCAAAATATTTCCTAGAATTTTGTTTGGACATATTTTTCCTAGTTCTAGTTTTGCACACATGGCTTGGTTTTATATTTCTATGAATTTTGTTTACATTTTGTCCTCTTTAACCCCCAAATATTGTATTCTGGTTTCTTACCAACAGTAAGCAGTTCTTGACCTAGCATGCAATAAAGAAATTAATACAAAACTTCTAGGAAAAAATGACATAATAAATATGTTTGGCAACTTTTCTTTTTCAGTTTAATTTAGTGAAAAAATAAAGTTCAAACGTTTTTCTAGATTAAAGTGGAATATAAATATTTTATCCTGGTATTGTTGAAAACCAGATTTTTATAGTTTTTCGATAACATTTAAAGAAAACAAAACCGTAATCATGCTTTTTCTCCTCAATATTTTGAACAAACAAAGTTGTCAATTAAAAAGAATATGATTCAAGAAAATATTATAAAACATAAAATATTTTTTAATCTAAAATACTAATTTTTCCAGTTTAAAATAAATAAATAAAAAATCTTGTAAAATCGGGCCTTTCCAGAGTTACTTGGGATCGAGCATTGATCTCCATGAAAGAAAATAGAATATATATTAGAGTGGAATTTACTAGAAAAAAGTGTAAAACGGCCATTTTGTTGTACTGTTTCCATACTGCAGGTGTACTTCACATATTTGTGCTATATAACCTTTTGGGCCCTGGAATATCATTTTATAGAAAATCTAAAATTAATGTTAAAAGAAAACCAAATTATGAATTCATAATTGACCAATGATCATTTCACATAGACTCTATGCCTTTTACTTTACAAACGATGATTTTCCGTTATAACTATAAATCAAATGATGTTTTTTATTCACAACAGCTTTAAAAACAGCTTTAAAAAATTCCAAATTGAAATGGATAGTCTAGGGAACATGCTGTATTAATGTACTCTACTGCATATAATTTGTGAACATTTACATGATTTGTACACTTTGAACTCCCTTTCAGGCTGAAAGGGACTGACAAAATTAATACCGAGGGATTTTCTAAATTAACTCTAATATATATTCTATTCTCTTTGATCTCCATATTATTGATGTAATTCATGTACGGCCTGGTTGTCATGCCCGGCCCTGCAGAGGAAACTTAAATGAAGGGATTAAACATCGATCTTCATTTTTAAAAGAGCCCATTTTAGATATCGATATCAAGCGTTCGAGATTAACAATACTCCAAACAAAAGTTCAGACATCAAGACTTCAAAATTATTAAAAAGTTTTTTATCTAAAGCTTTAATCAGATATATCTACAAACTTTTATTTAAAGAAGAGCGTGAAGAACCTGTGCACTTGTGCTTCAAATTCTAGTTTTTAAATACATAAAATGTGAACAGGTTGACCCAGGATGGGGGCTGAATCTATTCTGAGAGAGCGTCAACGTAGGAGCGACGAAAGTGTTCTCGCTAAAATAGAACATGAGGTTTGTAAATATTTGAAAATGTGCTTATGTACCAATATTAGAAACTAAAGATAAATGTACATTAAAATAGAACATGAGGTTTGTAAATATTTGAAAATGTGCTGATGTACCAATATTAGAAACTTAGATAAAATGTACATTAAAATAGAACATGAGGTTTGTAAATATTTAAGAATGTGCTGATGTACCAATATTAGAAACTTAGATAAAATGTACATTAAAATAGAACATGAGGTTTGTAAATATTTAAGAATGTGCTGATGTACCAATATTAGAAACTTAAGATAAAATGTACATTAAAATAGAACATGAGGTTTGTAAATATTTGAAAATGTGCTTATGTACCAATATTAGAAACTTAAGATAAATGTACATTAAAATAGAACATGAGGTTTGTAAATATTTGAAGATGTGCTTATGTACCAATATTAGAAACTTAAGATAAATGTACATTAAAATGAAACTGTAGATTTTATTTCTAAAGACTTTTTCTAAAGAAACTAATTCACATTATACGCTTATATTAAAATTTACTATTCTAATTGAGTTTCTCTATGAAAATGAAAATGATTTATCCATCAGACGGGCAAGATGAAAGTTGTTAGAATTAAACACTTTTCAAAGGAAAAAAAAATACGATATCTCACTTTTAATTGCTCGGATAAAGTTTTAAATTGTACCGTAGCGACTCTGACCTTTAACTATGTAAATGGTGGGTAACTTTATATTAAATCTACAGAAGGGACAATGCTCTCCGTGCTTTGGTTGTGTGCGGGATATGTGCGCCTAAATATTAAAAGAACATCGAAAAATGAATATTCCAAAATATTTTAAAAGACGAACTATTTGAAGAAAACAAAATTGATGAAACATATGTCACTCTTAAGACCGAAAAAAAGATCCTGCTGTTTTTTTGTGTAGAAAATTTAGCGTCCTGTAAAAACTCGTTTTTTGGCTTTAACTGAAAATAAATAAGAATAAACGTGGAAAGTATTCAGCGGCTTGAAATGCATCTTTTGAGAACTATATCGATATATGTTGGAAAATTCGATCCTACTAGTGATTTTTTTGATACATTCTTTCCTTAAATGACTTTCATTACTTTTTTTTTGCGAAGTTCTTAAAATATATAAACTCAGGTGTATCTCTAGGACCCTAAGGTTGGTTTCAAAATTGACCCTCCCTAAATTTTACAGTCACTCTGAGCTGTGCTAGATTTGTATAATAATTATATGCTTCTTAATTAAAAAATCTTTTTTTTCCAAAAAACAAATTTTATAATTAAAAACCCTGTGTCTAGGTTAAGAAGGACATCAAGCTGATGTCGAAGGAGACTGGGTTAAAACCCTGGATGATCATGTCAATCATTGGGTTGGTCGTCGTCGTTGCTGCAGCCGCCGCAGCCTTCTGTGTCTGGAGGTTTCTCAGGTATTATTATCATCTTTGTTATTGTTATCATCATTATTACTATACTTTAATTATTACTATTATCAATGTAATTAATTTTACTGTCATTATTATTTGTAAGAGTGCTAGAAATAGTATAGTATTATTATTTTAATTATTTATATCATTATTAATCAGTAATTTTAGTAATTAGAGTAGCATTTTTCTTGTTGAGATCAATATTTTTGTACAGAAGAACACTTTCTTCACATTTTTTAATAGTTTGAGTTAAACTCTGATCTCTGAAATCTGAACCTGTATTAATTCTTGACTAATAAGAAGCTCCGTCCTTATAAAGGTTATCATGCAGCGTTGGCGACAAATGAATTGAGTATTTGCCATAAACTCAAATTTTCTTATTCTTATTTCTGTGTAACTTACATTATTTGTTCTAACAATATTCATATTTTGAAATATCTAAAGTCAATGACATTGGGCTGCAAAGATGTAGTGATTAGAAACACAAAGTTTATGGCAAAGACTAAATTTTTTTGGTTTTAGAAAGAACCATTTTTTTTATTTTACGAAGTGCAACATCAAAATAGACTTCATGACTGTTAAATAGTTTAGAAAAAGATACAAATAAAGCAAAATTGTGTCGTTTTTGTTAAAACTATTTTAATATGGGGGGGGGGGAGAGGACTATATAGAACAAATAAATGAAAATAGGGATTTTTATTAAACCATAAAAACATATTTATTCATGTTTATTACAGTGTACACTGCAGAGAGATATGTTTATAATTCACACTGTAAATATTAATTCATTAAAATATATTTCTACACTGTAAATATGAATTCATAAATTTATATGTCTACACAGTAAATATGAATTCATAAATTTATATGTCTACACTGTAAATATGAGTTCATAAATTTATATGTCTACACTGTAAATATGAATTCATAAATCTAAATGTCTACACTGTAAATATGAATTCATAAATCTATGTCTACACTGTAAATATGAATTCATAAATCTATATGTCTACACTGTAAATGTGAATTCATAAATCTATATGTCTACACTGTAAATGTGAATTCATAAATCTATATGTCTACACTGTAAATATGAATTCATAAATCAATATGTCTACACTGTAAATATGAATTCATAAATCTATATGTCTACACTGTAAATGTGAATTCATAAATCTATATGTCTACACTGTAAATATGAATTCATAAATCTATATGTCTACACTGTAAATATGAATTCATAAATCTATATGTCTACACTGCAAATATGAATTCATAAATCTATATGTCTACACTGTAAATGTGAATTCATAAATCTATATGTCTACACTGTAAACATGAATTTATAAATCTATATGTCTACACTGTAAATGTGAATTCATAAATCTATATGTCTACACTGTAAACATGAATTCATAAATCTATATGTCTACACTGTAAATGTGAATTCATAAATCTATATGTCTACACTGTAAACATGAATTTATAAATCTACATCTACATACACTATAATTTTTTAATCCCTATATCTTTGCAACCTGATTTCGTAGACCTTTCATATTTTAATTGAATACTTTAGTTCAATAATTCTACGTTTGGAATATCACCATCAGATTGCAAGGATATAGGGATTGTACAATTTTAGAACTCAGTTTCTTAATCACCTTTTTATAATAAGTTATCTACAAATTGAAATGTCACGTTTGACGTAACAACTGTACTAAATGTATCTCCATTAGTACCATCTATTGTACTTTATAATCTGTTTGATCAGTACAAAATATTACAAAGTTGGGAGATTTTTTTTGGATGAGTTTTTGTTTACCGAGAAGTTTAAACGAATATGAATTTTCTTGATTTAAAAATTATTCAATTTTTCGTTTATCCACGCTGGGATTATATGATGAACCAATTTTAATCCTATCCCTGCTGGGGTAATTGAAAACCAGGATACACTGGGGGCCGGGGGGTTCAATTTAACCCCCCATCCCTCTAAATCCCGTGTTTGATGTCCAAATATGACAAATGATACATCATTGGAAAGATTTTATGCTTTACTTTAAGAATCTGCCAAAAAATTGCAAATTTAAAAAAAAAATTTGCAAAATACATTTTTTTAAATGTTTGCAAAAAAAATGTCCAAAAAAATGTAAAAAATACATTTTGAAAAGCCCTTGCGAGCCATGCCATTGTAAATATGCAAAAAAGTTAGCAAAATTTTAAATAACCTGATGTGTAGTAATTAAGAAAAACTAAAAATGTGAAAATTTCTTTTGACGGGTTGTATGCAAATTATTTGGAAAAATTTCTTGGCAAAACTTGTGCAATCTAAAAATCAAAATCTAAAAACTAAAAGTGGGTCAAAACAAAGATTTAGTTTGCTACAAGAAAAATAGTTTTTCAGGATATGTGCCTGAGAACTCGTGCAGTTCGTATAAAAGCCCGGTTTAAGACTTAAAGGGAGGGCTATGGGTATTTAGGAAAAGTCAGCCTCAGACCAGAGCTGGGAACTTTTGAATGGCGGATATCGGGATTAATGCTTAATCCACTCTTTTTCTTAATCTCGAGATTAAATTATGCTTGTTCTCTTCTTGTTATTAATCTCCAGATTAATTATGCGGTCGGGATTAAGGATATCTCATTCTAAAGTTTTCAGCTCAGTACTTTTTGAGTTATGTTAAAAAAAACTACAGGGGGGTCAAATTGACCCTCCCCCCCCCCCAGCAGGAATATTGTTAAATCAGAAAATAAATAAAGTTCATGCCTCGGGTTAGGAATATATATTGCTTCTATTTGGGATTTGCAAATATACGAAATATATATCTCACAGTAAGGAAAATAAGTTTTTACTTGAAGATTTATTTTTCCACAAATTTGAGGAAAAATCTTCCTTTTTCTTTTTTTAAATGTAAAGTATGTTTTAATCATAGAAAACATTTTACATTAAATTCTCTTTAATCTTAATTTTATTATGAATCAATCTTTTCGTCGAATGTCTAAAAATGCAAAATTATTCTGTATGCCTTGTGACGCCAAAGATTCCTTCAATTCAATTCTTTTTTATTATGGTTAATAAAAATTCAGGAATTCATTCTTCAGATTAATATTTCCTCAAACTTTTCAATTTCATTTCTACTCAACCTACAGGGTTCTTTTAATATTCTCCATTTTAAAAATTATGGTAAGCTCAAAAAAACATTACTTCTCCATTTTTGTTTTAATATTTTAAAATCGAAGTTTGAGATGAACAGCCTATCAGCAAATATTCAAATTTTATTCAGGGTTTCTGTCATATCTTTAAATTTAGAATTTGAAGTATAAATAACCCTGTATTTTTGGGTTAAGTAATTTAAACTTTTTCTAAGATTTAATGCGATTGAACGTTTTTATTTTCGATTGAAAATTTCTCTGAATCTTTCAATTAAGTTTGAGAGTGTACAGAAGGAGGATTTTTATTGAGAGATTCAAAAACATCCCAATAAACTTCTAGAATAGAATATGTCACACAAAGTCTTGTCTTTAGATTGTTAAAGAACATATTATTGATTCTAAACGGTGAACCCGGACCCCTGATTTTCTAAAGTAAAGTAAACCCAATTCCTGTTTTTTTTGCACACTTAAACCCGGATCCCGGATTCTAAACAGTGAACCCGGATCCTGCTCAGTCATTACTGGAACCCGGATTCTGTACATTTTATTTGTATTCTAGATAAGACGTTGAAAAAGATACAAATACTATTAACCATTTGAAAAATTTTAAAATGAATGTAAAAGGTATTCTGCTGATTATGTCTCAACGTCAAAGTGCATTTGTGTACTGTGGAGTTGGTGTTTGTATTATTTGTGTACTGTGGAGTTGGTTTTGGTAATATTTATGTACTGTGGAGTTGGTGTTTGTATTTGTTTACTGTGGAGTTGGTGTTAGTATTTGTGTACTGTGGAGTTGGTGTTAGTATTTGTGTACTGTGGAGTTGGTTTTTGTATTTGTGTACTGTGGAGTTGGTGTTAGTATTTGTGTACAGTAGTGTTGGTGTTTGTATTTGTGTACTGTGGAGTTGGTGTTTGTATTTGTGTACTGTGGAGTTGGTGTTAATATTTGTGTACTGTGGAGTTGGTGTTAGTATTTGTGTACTGTGGAGTTGGTTTTTGTAATTGTGTACTGTGGAGTTGGTGTTAGTATTTGTGTACTGTAGTGTTGGTGTTTGTATTTGTGTACTCTGGAGTTGGTGTTTGTATTTGTGTACTGTGGAGTTGGTTTTTAAACTTAAATTCCGTTTAATTAAAACTGAAATCCAGTTTTTTATAGCTTCAAACCTAGTTTTAAAGCTTTAAACCCAGTTTTTAAAGCATTATATCCAGTGTTTTTAGGCTTTAAATCAAGTTTTTAAAGCTTTGAATTCAGTTTTTAGGCTTTAAAACCCGTTTTTAAGGGTATAAATCCAGTTTTAAAATAAACTTTTAGTGTACAAGAAGAATAAATCTACTCTGTATTATCAATGTATATATATATTTATGTATGTATATACAGGAAGAATAGCTGATTGTGGTCTGTATATTGTATGCATAAATGTATTTATGTACAGGAAGAAGAGGAAGAATGAGAAGGACAAGCAGAGGGAGCTGGACGAGCAGAAGTTGGTTGACGAGGAGGAGGATATGGCGAATGAAGACGACGCTGCCAAGGTATTGAACCATCCCTTTAATATTTGTTAGAACATCAGGTCCTTTAATATTTGGAAGTATATTATTTATAACACTATTATTTTGGTTAGCGTTGCCCGTGAAATTAAAAAAATCAAACTTTGAAAAAAAATTTGATCTAAAAAAAATTCTATATCTAATATTTTAGCCTCAAATAATTTCAGACAATTTGGTCCAGCCGTTTGGCCAGCTATAGCTAACATATATATACAAATGTATATATGTGAATATGAGCAAAGAGCTTTATTATATAGAGATAGATAGATGACATAATCTAAAAAGCATAAGAAAAGCACATAGAGCCATAACAATAGTGCTATAGGTAATTTCATAAAATGTTTGTTTTTTTTTGTCTTGACGCAATCGTTTTTTTTTGGCTTTTTAGCAAGGTAAACATAAAAATGAAAAGTTAATTTAGATTTTATCTTTATTTAAACTGGAAACGATTTTCTAGAAATGATTTTTTGAGAAAATCTAGGAACCAATAAACCTTTATAGCACCGTGCTATAATATGCAGCTAGCCAATGTAACATTATTGCACGAAGATTATTTTTGGCAAGTCATTATGAAATTTACAATGAAGTGGCCATGAGTGATAAATTCCACAATAGTTTCATAAAATTAGTTTTTAGGAAACTCAGTTATACAATAATTACTATCTATCTTAGAATTTCAAAATAAAGGATTATCAGGATTATTTTTAAAAGTAATGTTTTTAAACGTGGAATTGAAAACAGATAAAGTAAATGGTGTAGGACGGATATTTTCATAATATATCCTTGCCAAGAATTTCTTCTCAAACGACGATGCATCAAAACCTTTTCTCAAGACTTTTAACGTTGTCGAACATTTTCTCTCAGCCAAGAACCGTAGACAAAGATAATTTTAGCTTCATGAAATGTAAAATTCAAAAACCTGAAAAATCTAAGCATCGCTATTCTTTTTCGTTAGATAAAAACTTTAATTTTGTATTTATTTGAAATCCAGAACGTTCTGGCAAATATAGAATTAATGTTGAAACATATGAAGGACTCGTTGAATGTTTTTAATCTGGTAAGAATACATGTAAAATAAGTATAAAACCTTATTCCACTCTCTATCCACGAAACAGAAAGAAAAAGTCAAATTTATGGAATATTATTGGTTCAACTCTGTGATCTTGTGGCTCCTATAGTTTTAGTTTTGTTTTACACAGAAAAGCAAATTTATTTGGTTACATATTAAAAAGACATTTAAGATCGTAAAATTTACTTTATTTTGACGTGAAGACTTAATGTAAACAATATTCAGGGTCCTGCTAAAGAATACCTGGGAAAACTTCAATACGAACTCAAATATGATTTTAACACACAAACCCTCTCCGTTACAGTTTGCCAGGTAATACAAGTAATGAAAAAGGACTTTAGATTGACCCCTGATTTAAAGATTGGCATGACCGATTACCAATGGTACCCTTTAAACCTTTGATTTATTTACTTAATCTAAAAATTGTGATTGGCGAATTTGTGCATCACAGATACTGGGCTGGAGAAAATACAACGATATCTTCCACGTCATTATTCAGATAAGGAAAATTAAAGTGTACATTGTAAACGGAGCATATGTCAACCTTTTAATCAAAAGTAACTTGAAATTACGTCTGCAATTCCTTTAGACAAACTAGGCTTATATCAATAGGTTTTGTTGTTGTAATACTTATACCGCTCTTGTTCTTAGTTCATTTTATCGAAGGGTTTTCGATTAAATGCACTAAAATATTACCATAAGCTCTAATTTTAATTGTGATCTTGCCAGGCTAAATATACTGAATACATATACCAGAGATAAGAGTGTTGTCGGAAAGCAGCATGATTCTCAATAACGAACAAATAGACAACAGAATAACCCACAAATCAAAACTGATAATGCAGAGAAACTCTTTATTTCCTAAAAAATGAAATGGATAATAACATATAAATTATTACATTGTTTTATAATTTTATAATGAAAAGATTCTTACGATCTATTAAATGATAAGTAGGTTAAAACCGTCGGGGAGTCCTAAGACGTTTTTTATATATTGAAACTTCTGAAAAGAATGACAATTAATTATTAACAAAAGTCACTAATTCTTTATATGAAAATATTCTGTTCACAATAATAAAAGTGTTTAGACTCCGTTACCGGAGAACAAAGAAAACGGGGCTAAAAATTATTTGGTTTGGTGTCTCCGAGAGGGGATTTTAAGTTAAAGACGACATTACACGGATGGACGGAGAGATCCTATGGTTAATGGTTGACAAAGAGAGTTACAGAGATCGATTAACACCTATAATATGCGATATTTTCCATAGCATTGTACAAGTACTGTACACGGACCAATCAGGAGACATCTGTATTCAGGGATATTTAAGGATCCTTTGAATAGGAAATGCAAAATCTTTGAAAATATACAATATTCATAAACGTTAAGTTTTATGTTTAAAATTGGAGTATTTCTTTAAAAGTTATAAAACTTAACCCCTGAATTTAACAAGAGCCGTCAGATGTCAGTCAAAAAAACATTACATGGAACCGTAGCATGGCGTGGCGAGACACTATAGGCCTGCTCAGCCTATCCAGGTAGAGTGTATGAGCAGTCTGTGTAGTCTGTTGTATATACTGTACGCGTTGTACCGGCACGGATAATGCAACTGTTAGACAAGCTTATGCTGTGCATGCAATTGAAAAAAACTGATCTAACAAAAATGCAATTCATAGTTTAAACTTTTTAAGAGGTCCACAAATAAGAGGTTCAACGATAAAAGAATTAGAATTTAGAATTTCTGTTTCAAGCTAAATTAATTTATAATTAGAAATAAAAATGTGTTAGTTCATAAAGGCTTATAGGGTGTAAAATGGTCGGAAAGGTGGTTTTAAACAAATTATATACATTGGTCCCTTTTATAATAGTATAGCACTACAACAAGATTTTTAAGTACAATATTACTACTCTGCCTGTGTTCTTTGATAAGATTGTACAGTTTTCACTTTTAATCCCATTTAATTAAAAAATTTTATTCTCATATTTTGACATATTTAAACATATTATAAAATAATAGATACCACCTGCAGTACCGAGATGATAATCATATTTGTAAATAATTTGATATGTACTTATATATTGATAAAGATATATACAGATACATATATTTATATATTAATATATATATATATATATATATATATATTGATATTCAATATAAGATGCGGAATTTTTATTCAATATTATTTTTATATTTGGTCAGGATATAGATAATATATATATACATCTATAAAAAAGGAAGAAAAAGTATTTAGATTTGAAAAAAATATGAGACATGCTATTCACTTCATATACTTCAGATATTAAAGTTTTCTTTTCTTTTTTCTAAAATTTGCTGACATATGAAATATTGTAATCTGGTCTGATATAAAGAATCTACCAAATATTATAATCTGGTCTGGTGTAAAGAGTCTACAAAATATTATATTCTGGTCTGGTGTAAAAAGTCTACCAAATGTTGTAATCTGGTCTGGTGTGAAGAATCTACCAAATGTTATAATCTGGTCTGGTATAAAGAATCTACCAAATATAATAATCTGGTCTGGTATAAAGAATCTACCAAATATTATAATCTGGTCTGGTGTAAAGAATCTACCAAATGTTATAATCTGGTCTGGTTTAAAGAATCTACCAAATATAATAATCTGGTCTGGTGTAAAGAGTCTACCAAATATTATAGTCTGGTCTGGTGTGAAGAATCTACCAAATGTTATAATCTGGTCTGGTGTAAAGAATCTACCAAATGTTATAATCTGGTCTGGTGTAAAGAATCTACCAAATATAATAATCTGGTCTGGTGTGAAGAATCTACCTAATATAATGATCTGGTCTGGTGTAAAGAGTCTACCAAATATTTTAATCTGGTCTGGGGTGAAGAATCTACCAAATGTTATAATCTGGTCTGGTTTAAAGAATCTACCAAATATAATAATCTGGTCTGGTGTAAAGAGTCTACCAAATATTTTAATCTGGTCTGGTTTAAAGAATCTACCAAATGTTATAATCTGGTCTGGTGTGAAGAATCTACCAAATATTATAATCTGGTCTGGTGTAAAGAATCTACCAAATATTATAATCTGGTCTGGTGTAAAGAATCTACCAAATATAATAATCTGGTCTGGTGTGAAGAATCTACCAAATGTTATAATCTGGTCTGGTGTGAAGAATCTACCAAATGTTATAATCTGGTCTGGTGTGAAGAATCTACCAAATGTTATATTCTGGTCTGTTGTAAAGAATCTACCAAATATAATAATCTGGTCTGGTGTAAAATAAAAAGAGTATAAAATATTGTAATCTGATCTGGTGTGAAGAATCTAAAAAATGTTATAATCTGGTCTGATGTAAAGAATCTACCAATTTATAATAATCTGGTCTGGTGTAAAGAGTCTATGAAATATTATAATCTGATCTTGTGTAAAGAATCTACAAATATTATAATCTGGTCTGGTGTAAAGAATATTGTCCAGTGGGCGCAATGAATCTATCAAATTGTAGTCTGGTATATTCTGGTGTTTGAAATCTAACAAATAGTATAATCTGGTATGATTTGGTCTGGTCAAGTCTGGTCTGGTCTGGTTCTGTCTATAAAATATTATAATCTGGTCTGGTCTGGTCTGGTCTGGTTTGGTCTGGTTTGGTCTGGTTGGGTCTGATCTGATCTGATCTGGTCTGGTCTGGTCTGGTCTAGTTTGGTCTGGTTTGGTCTGGCCTGGTCTGGTGTTGTATAAGGAATCTATGAAGGTTAAAGGGAAAGCTGAAGTGTTCTTATTCTACTTATCTACTTACGTTGCAACATACTTACCACCATACTTTAGGATATACCCACGGAAGGGAAATCTGAGGGAAAGGGAAAAATAGAAATGGGAAAACGGGGGGGGGGGGGATAAAAAACATTCAGCATTTAGATTTATAACCAGGGGTCTGAAAATAATTATCTGATTGAACAAAAAATAACCATGAGAATAAAAACAAAGATATTATGAACTATAATTATAATTATATTATAATTAATTATAATAGGATTCAGAAACCTACATACCTTTTATAATAGAACCTGCTGTGGAAAATATCGCGTATCATAGGTTTCAGTTGATCTCTGTTCAGGGAGAATCTTTTTGCTAAAAATACAAACAAAGGTTGTTTTATTTCTGCAGTTCAATCTGCAGTACAAAATAAGGTACACGACTAAACTCAAAGAATTTTAATGTAAAGATTGATATTCAAGAGGTGTACGCATTTTTAGTACTCCAGCATACTCTGGGCGGTAAAGTAAACACAAGACGGATGTTAAAGCCGGACATGGGAACCATCTTTCACATTAAAAATCAATGAAATATTCTGGTCATAAGAAACTATTATGTGAATTAACAAAATTTTAAAATACTTTTATCCTCCTCGGATACTAAAGTAACACTGATGCATTCATTTTTGTTTACAAACACAGCCCAGAGAGAACTGGTTTCAATATATACGCAATATGTACAGCAATTAACTTTCCTTGCCTTATTAGCTTGATTAAATTTATGGTTTTTTCACACTTCTAAATTTCTGATTGCAATCAAGGCTCGAATTTTTGGAAAAGAATTGAATAAAAAATATAAAAAAGAATAAAAGAAATAAAATTGTGTCTGGCATCCAGCAGAATACAATGGGGAAAAAAATTACTACATTACATCGTACAAAAGAATAAAATAGAAAAAGTCAGACCAAAAAATAGAATATTGACGGGACTGTAGTCGTACTTTCAAATCCATAGTAAATCCTTGTTTCGCCCCTTATTTTAATATTTTTTTGAATTTTTATTACTATTTTAGGAGACAATAGTTCCAAACCGCGATTTGGCCCAATTTCAACCCTCAGTGTTATTAATTGGGCTATACATCTATTTTGAAACTAACGACCCCTGTATTTAGGCAATGGAGCTTCCTGCTATGGACATGGGAGGGGTGTCGGATCCTTACGTCAAGGTAAGCAAACTTCATGAATATATTTCAAAGTTTGAATTTATAAAATTAAATATTTCTGATCGTTTCTGTTGCTGTTTTTATTTTTTGCAATTTGAATATTATTTCTGCATCTTTTACTTCGAAGATTTGTGGCTTTTATCATAATTTCAATAATTAACTTTTCTTGTTTCTTTAAACTACATTTTGCTTTAATTTTTTAATTTAATTTGAATTTGAATATTATTACTGCCTCTTATACTCTAGATATTGGCAGATTTTTTTCATATATTTAATAACTGCAATGTAAGCATTTTTTCTCATTTTGTATCTGCCTTAAGGAATCTTTTTTTTAGATTATCCTATAGCATTAGCTGGATAAATATGTTGCATGTAACAATTTTTAAAACAAAATTTAAAAATAAACTTTATTATTCATGAACAGTTTAATTTTGGCACAAAACCATTAACATCTAATGGGACTGTAAGCATAAAGTGGCCCGCATGCAAAAATGGCAATTTCCGATTCACAGCGATACCATTGAAACCTTTATCTATCCTATAATAATGTGGAAGCTGTTGTCTATATTTTAGTATTTAACTTTGATAATTCTTATGTTTCTCTGCAGTAAAAATGCGCAAGTCACTTTTGTAGGGAAGACACATTAGAAAATAATCAGATTTCAAAAAACTTTAACATGGATATCTCTAATTCATACTTGATCTGACAAAGCTTTTAAGGCAAGGTAGTAGGTACTGTTGTGAATCGGGCATTATCATCTTTGCATGGAGGCTCACTTTAAATTACTCTTACAGTCCCTTTTAAAATTAAATAATTTAGCAATCTTGAGCTGAAAAAAGTATGGCTGGCTAACTCAGTGCTGATTGTAAAAAAGTATTCAAAGCCTGCTATTCTTTTATTGAAGAAACCGGTTCTTAAACATTTCTGCAATGATCGAGTTGATAAAAAGTTTAAGAAACTAAATCAGCTGATTAAACTAAATATTTCTTATGGTTTAATGGAATAAAAGAATAAAGATGAATAATGTCACAGAGAACTTTTTATTTATCTCGAAAATAATTTACACGATTAACCTCAGTTGAATAGATTACGAGATTAATTATCCTATAATAATCTATCTCAGATCAACTATAAACCACCAGAATTCATCGTAAAATAAATATTTTTTAGAGATTTTGTGGAAATTATATTTATTTTGGAATTAAGAAATGAACTTTTTGATTATTGTCTATGTCTTCTGATTTAATTAACCCTATCCCCGCTGGGGTACTTGAAAACCAGGATACGCTGGGGGGGGGTCAATTTGACCCCCCCCTCTAAATCCCATGTTTTATGTCCAAATATGACAAATGATACATCATTAGAAAGCTCTTGTGCTCTACTTTTAGAATCTGCAAAAAAATTTGCAAATTTGCGAAAATTGAATTTTTTATCGCAAAATCCAGTTCTATAGTAAAAATGTTTGCAAAAAAAAATTTGTCCAAAAAATGACAAATTATACATTTTTGAAAAGCCCTTGACCATGCCATTTCAAATATGCAAAAATTTTTGCAAAATTTTAAATAACCTGATTTTTAATCAAGAAAAACTAAAAATGTGCAAATTTCCTTTGACAGGTTTTTTGCAAAAAATTTGCAATTTTTTTTTCGCAAAACTTGTGCAATCCGTTTCCTTATGTCATAGGCTTTCCAAAAAGCTAAATTTTATCAAAATCTGAAAAATGAAAGTGGGTCAAAACAAAGATTTAGTTTGCTACAGGCAAAAGCAGTCATTCAGGCAGTGTGCCTGAGGACTCAGGCAGTTAGTTTTAAAGCCCGGTTCTAGGCCTAAAGGGAGGGCTTTGGGTATGTAAGAAAAGTCAGAAAATTTCAACAGCCTCAGACCAATACTTTTTGAGTTATGTAAAAAAAACTACAGGGGGGGGTCAAATTGACCCCCCCCCAGCGGGAATAGGGTTAAATATATTTTGTTTTTCTTGTAAAAACTTTTTTATCACAAAATGATTCCTGTTAATGTCTCTTTTTTCCTATTCAGTCCAATTACTGGTTCGTGAGTTAAGTACCCCCTGACTCTACTATATTAGTACTTGATATTTTCTCTTTTATCTATGTATCTATTCCTTTTTATTTTTTATAACAGAATTCTTATAGCTAGAAATTTTTCGAGAATATAATTTATTACTCATATTTAGCTGCGTCAGTAGTAGTACCCATTAATAGAATGAGATAACCGGAGTTAAACTATAATATTTTCACAATTAGTTAAGCAATGCCCGATTCACTGAGGTATTTTTGAATCCTTTATCTGATCAATAAAGTAGAAGATACTTTTGTTTTTTAGGTTTAAAAGCGTCTAAATCTGATATTTCTTACATGTTTTCCTGCAGTAGAAATACGCAAGTGACTTTTGCTTTAGAGAAACCACAATTTAGAATAATCATTTTTAAACATTGATCTGATCGTATTTAATTAGACAAAGCTTTTAAGGGTACCGTGGTTAATCGGACATTGCCTTCTTTGTCTGGAGGGGTCACTTAACAAACTACGCTTACAGTCCCTTTAATAGAAAATCACTAATAATTCAATATTATCCAAGATGTGTAGGCTCTGACGCTAAAATCGAGCAGCAATTTGCTAATTACTCTTTTTAAACTTACGCACGAAACAAATTTTGAAATGTACATGTCTATAAGACTAAACAAATGTTGGTGAGGTAAAACCAAAGACCAAGTCGTTGTCTAGATTTCAAGGCGACCTTGATATAAGATTTTATTAACAAATAAACTTTTATCGTGGAAAACTTTGTAAATCAAAGTTTTCTCTGTCTGCTTTTCTCATCTTACTTTTTCAGTTGAATTATCTTTTTTCTTTAAATCCCAAACTCAATTATTTATCATAAAAACAATCTCACGAAATATAAAAAAGTAGGGGGGGGGGGGAAAGTAAGATTTAATGCTTTAAAATCAAAATATGTTTTTTATAACTTTATTATTTCTTTAGCATGGAAAATAGAAATAGATAATTTATTAATAGTCAAACTATGTATTGAGTAATCTCTAATTGTTCGATCATAACTCTGAGACCCCTTTATCACTTGACTCACATTTTGATTGAGGAACTTAATTGAACCACAGAAGTGCTGCTCTGTTGAGTGATTTTTTTTAATGTAGAAAGTCTCCCTTAGATTTTTTAAAAATAACTAAAAACATTTATCACTTGAATTTCTTCGCTTGTTGTTAGTAAAATTATATTTTTTAGGTGTTCCTTGTTCCAGAGATAAAGGGAATGAAGAAGTTTGAGACTAAAGTTCACAGAAAAACTCTGAACCCATTTTTCAACGAAACTTTTCAGGTTGGTGTCAGACACATATAAACTCAATTTTCCAACTTTCATTTGTACATTTCGGCAATTTTTTTCTCATGTCAATGTCAAAAAATATTCCTTGATTTGAAGTTAATTTTGTTTGTTTCTATCTTTAAAGGGATGTTTTCAGATTTGATAATTTGTTTAAATTATACATTCCGATAAATGTACCACCGCTTAATTTCTTCTGGAATTTTAGGGCTTAGGACTATCAACCCTTATGCATCTAGTACATGCAATGTACAGGATTTTTCTGCAGATATATTAACAACATCCTAAGCTAATCAGTGACAGAAACTTCCAGAGTTCATATTAAACCTTTATATTTCAAAGATTGTTTTCTAGTTGTTCTATAAATCAATGCTCAGTTAGAATTACCTAAAATGGCCATCTTAGAATTTCTCGAGATAAAATAAACGATTAAAAATTAACAATCCTTTCCTGTTAAACTTTTGCTTTCCTTGTGTTTAAGGCACAAACCCTGAAACAATTAAAATGGTAAATTTAAATAAAGAATAAAAGTTTTAAAAAAATAATTATTTTATATCAATGTGGAAAAATTGTATCTTTATTGAACGAAAATCCATGTTTTGGTTTTTGAAACTATATTGATCAGATTAATGTTTCAAGGGTATAGTTATAGATCGGACACTTCAAGTTAAGAGGAGAGTCCCTTTGAATTCTATGAATTTAAAACAAAATATGGAAATGTTTTAACAATTTATTTTTAGTTTAAGAATCTACCATATGCTGATACTTTCGATAAGACTCTGATGTTCACTATATTTGACTATGACAGGTTCTCTAAGCACGACCGTATAGGGGAGGTGAGACAGTTTTTATAAAAAAAATAAGATTATTTTGTATATACAGTATACACACACACAACACGCAAAATATATAAATTCATTTCGCACTTATTCACATAGTATCTTAATTATCTTTTTTTTTACTTTCTCCAAGGCCGGGATAATTAACTATTTTCCTACAGAACATATAAAGGATGAACCTTCAATTAGTTTTTGAAAAAATCTAAAATTCTGATTATATAGAAATTTTTATATTCTACAAAAAATCATTGAACATTTTAGTGTTTAAAGAAAAAGCAAAGCAAAGCTGGATAAAATTTATTATGTTTCAAATTGTCCTAAAGCCCTGATTTATTGCCCTCTCTTCACCTTGCTCACCACAAAATCAAGAAAATATTTTTCAGAAAAAAAATGTTGAAAAAAAGTTTGATTCTAATTTATACAATTCTTTTGTAACAAATTCTTAACAAAGGAACTGATCATTCGCCACAAACTCTATTTTCTGATTTCTATATCTTTGCAACTTGGTGGTGTCAAGCTTTGATATTTCCAAGGTTATAATGTTATTGAAAACGGTTCTCTCTGGGCGGAATTTGTAAACAAGAATAGATGCGTCAGTGTTCGTTTAGTATCCGAGGAGGCTAAAAGCATTAAATTTTGATAATTCACATAATGGTTTCCTATGACTAGAATATTTCATTGATTTTTTTGGTGAAAGATGGATCCCATGTCAGGCTTCGACATCCGTCTTGTGTTTACCTTTCCGCTAAGAGACAGTACACTGCAGTACAAATTATGTGTACACTTCTGAAATAACTTTCCTTGCCTTACAATCCTTGAATATTTCAAGCTTTGATAGTTTAGTTTTTATGTATTAAAGGTCTGTGTCGTCAGGTTGCCAGGATATAATGACTAGAAAAATGATGCGTGTGACAAGTGCTTGGTTCCTTATATATCAAAATAGTGAAGGAACAATATTTCAATAAGTCAAAATTTTCAAAAATACAGAAATAATACATTTCAAATTAAATAACCATTGACAAATTTTATTGCAGTTTTTTTATTTATTCATTCATTGATTCACAAGCATCTACAATAATTTAATTTCAAAAAATTGTATTCTACCTAAAAGAATTGAGTCTTTGCCACAAACTCTGGATTTTAAATCCCTAAATCAAAGCAATGTTGTAGACCTTAGATATTTCAAACTATGACTTCTGTTATATCAAACATATTAGAAAATTGGGATTTGTTGCAAAGACTCAATTCCTTTCTGATCACTTGCTTTGAAGGTCTCAGAGACAGATGGACATTTTTATCAATAATTTATAATTAATTTTATTTTAAACCCCCCCCCCCTAACCAAATTGTTGGAATTTCATTATTTTCCTTAATAAAATAAGTATATTAATCCTTATTCTTAATATATTTGATGAATACCCAAAATATCATTTATTACTTTAGTTAATCTGAAATGTCAGCAGTGCATTTTCTGATTTATATTACCAATCTATCTTGATCAAAAAACAAGTATTTTTTGGAAGAACCCGTAGAGTCTTTCTTTAAAAGGATTAAAAAATAAACATAATTCTCTTCTTTTGAATAAATGAGTTTAATGTATAAAAAGTTCAGAAAAGACTACATTTGTTTATTGTACAAAATGTTATATTTGATATCTTGAATATGTTTCTTGAGCTTGGACCAGGCAAGATATAAGAACTGAAAGAAATCATCGAGGAGGAAAGATATGTTTTATACATTTTTCTTAATCTTACTTCCTATTTATTAATATAAGAAATGTTGGGAATGTTTTTTGATCAAACACAATATCCATAAATCTTATCAGTTGGGAAATATGATTATTGCCTATTGTAAAAAAAAGAAAAAAGTGAGTGAGGGATTTGAATAAAGTCACTAAATATTATTTCACTTTTTTTACTTCACACTTTATTCTAGGTTGAAGAAGATGGTTTAAGTGAGTCAATTTATTATCTTATCTTATTTTTCTTTAACAAGGATCATCAAGACAATTTCGCATGAAAAAAAGAAACAAAGAATGGTAAAATACAGAAAATATTTGCACAGACAAAAATATTTCTGTATTTTAAGCATTCTAAGTTACCCTCTGACCCTCTAACGTCAGTGTGAACTTGTGAACTGATGCCATGGTTAAAGAAGCTTGAACTAGTTTTAGGGCCACGTGCACGGGAGCCTTCAGTGACTGGATGCCGCACTTTATTTCAATATTTCTGTTTTTGAGACACGCTGAAATATTGAAGACGACCCTTTTCTATGATATTTAGACATTTCAGTTTAAAGAAGAATGATAAGACACAACTTCTTTAGTTTTTACAATTTTTTGTTAAAATTATGATAAAATAATTCAAATATAATTAATCTTGAAAGATGCGAAGTGTAAAGTCCTGTATTGTGCTGCATGCTTTTATATCAAACAGTTTTATCCAAAATCAATGCAGTTTGCCATGGTTAAAAAGATTATAATTCCCCTCTCCCATTGCATTATACTTTTGGCATTATTATTTTATGACTTGCGCATCGAGTTATCATCTGCATGTTTATTTTGAGCATGATTTATACTCCGGCTTTTTGCCCTCCCCACCCCTTCTTAAGCATTGATCCACATTTTATGCAGACATTCGGGTTATAAAAATTGCTTTCAATGGATATCAAGATCAAGCAATTGTGTTATCTCAACTGGAATTGACAGGTTTGAGACGAACTCTGATATCCGGCTGGATCAATCAGATTCTTTTCCACAAATATCAGATACAGACGTATCTAAAATATTTGATTGACGGTTATAGATATTTGTTTTTAATGTGAAAACTTTTAATTTTATTTCCATATTACGAATAAAAATTAAACTGAAGTCTTGATTTCAATTAACCCTTGATTTGAAGTATCTTGTCGGGTTAACAATAGCAAACCCATTACAACTTTGCCCGAATTAGGGTAAAAACTTTATCCATATCATCCATATATGTGTAGCTTAAAATCGAATGTTTTCAATTATAATTTCTTTATATAAAAGTCGTAAAGAATAAAACAAGAAAGATTACGAGCATTGTTACTCAAATAATGCTGCTCTTGCTAAAAACGCATTTTCTGCGAAATCCATCATTACTATCTTTATTATTAGGTTGCTTTTGTCTTTTTGTAAACAATTCGATTCTGAGTGATCAAAGACATCATTAGTTCCGGAAAGAAAATACAATTTCTTATAATTAGAGAAGTAACAAGTTCATTATGGAAAGGATACAAAATATAAACAGTAAGGCGGAAGTAGGAAGATGACATGTGTCTCATGTTCATTTGACAAATTATTTAACTTGAGTTTTCTGTTTGTAACGCGTATAATATTTTATAAAAATTATATTAATAAACGAATGGGGAAAACAATTAAATTTAATTTTTAAGTAATTATACATTTTTTATTTTGGAATGTAATTTATAATATTTTTCAAATTCCCTAGCGTTCAAACTTTCGCACAATCAAACTGTGTACAGTGTACTGTGTACAGTGTACTGTGCACTGTATACTGTGTACTGTGTACAGTGTACTGTGCACTGTATACTGTGTACAGTGTAATGTGTACTGTATACTGTGTACAGTGTACTGTATGCAGTGTACTGTGTACAGTGTACTGTGTACAGTGTACTGTGTACAGTGTACTGTGTACAGTGTACTGTGTACAGTGTACTGTGTACAGTGTATTGTGTACAGTGTACTGTGTACAGTGTACTGTGTACTGTGTACTGTGTACAGTGTACTGTGTACTGTGTAATGTGTACAATGTAATGAAGTGGGAGGTTCTAAGGATAATTTATCTCCTGCTGCTTGATGAAGAAAAGTATTAGGAACTAATAGAGAAGAAAATCCATTAGAGGACTCCAGCTGGAGTTCTAAACCTTTCAAGATCAAACTTTTCTACATTTTCTACTAGTTGGAGTTAACCCGGGCACAACAAAAACAATAATAATACTAATAATAATAATAGTACTGATTATTTCAAACTAGGCAACAGACTACCGACAAACAATTAGTAGTCTGTAAAAGGAGCTGTAGCGTAATTTCAAGGGATCCTTAATACAAAGATGGCAAAGCCCAATTCACAACAGTACCCTTACAAGTTGTGGCTGAACAAAAGTGCCTTGCGCATTTCTACTGCAGGAAAACAAATAGGAACTTTTAAACCTAGAAAAACGAATCTTCCACATCATTAAACAGATGACGATTTTAAGAACGTAAGTGTTTTTTATAAACATCATAGATCATCAAAAATGGTTTTTTAATGTAGGGACTAAAATCTTTTTTTATGTGGAGATTTCCTTACAAATCTCTTGTTTAACGCTTTAAATTTACTCATTTTCAAACAGAATATTATAACGTTTTAAGTTCTTCGCTTCAAGTCAGTTTGATATTATTTAAGAAATCTGCTGCAAAGTTTCTCTATTGATGAAGAAAAATATAAAAAAAAATTGAAAGAGAGACCCCTGGATTATTACTTGATCTAATTATCACATTCTATAGAAATATAGTAAAGAAAGTAGAAAGAAGAGAAGGGGGGGGGGATAGTCAGAAAAATTGAATTAATCATGTGTTTTATATAAGAGATGATAAAAAATAGTTTATAAAAGGTCAAATTTACAGGTTTTTTTCCAACGTTTTTTTATTGAAAATTCTTGTAATTTAAATAATAACATAATTAACTTTATTCCCCAAGACACCCAGAAAATGAACAAGAATGATAAAGAGTGAGTTTTAATACAAGGATGAGAAATAAGTTTTTACTAAAGAAGATTGTATGTACAGTGATAACCAGAAAACTATGGAATATGAAGACGACATTAAATCAATACTAAAGTGCATTCGATGTTGTTACAAAGCGAATACCTTAACTAGTTAGTTATTAAATCACTTATTATATGAACTAGGTCTGTTTACACTGCACAATTATTGTGTCTCATGTTCATTGAAATGTTATAATAAATGGAGTCTAAAAGTCGACTTCCTATTTCAGAGTTTTCTTGTTATCACTGTAGGATTCTAGATAAATGGATGTATGCAATAAATTCCCTGTCATGTTTCATTCTCCAGATTCTAAAACCCTTCTCATTCTATACTTTTCCTCATTCAAATCTCATTTTCCTATTCTATAGTCCCCTTCCCATTCTATTTTCTTTCCCCATTCTTATCCCCTCTTCCCATTCTATTTTCTTTTCCAATTCTTATCTCCTCTTCCCATTCTATTTTCTTTCCCCACTTAAATCTCACTTTCCCATTCTATTGTCCTCTTCACATTCTATTTTCTTTTCCCATTCTTATCTCCCCTTCCCATCCTTTTTTCTTTTCCCATTCTAATCTCCTCTTTTTATTCTAATCTCTTCTCCCCAATCTAATCTCCTCTCTCCAATCTAATCTCCTCTCTCCAATCTAATCTCTTCTCCCCATTCTAATCTCATCTTCCCATTATAATCTCATTTTAACATTCTAATCTCTTCTTCCATTCTAATCTCCTCTTTTCATTCTAATCTCATTTTATCATTCTAATCTCATATTATCATTCTAATCTCATTTTATCATTCTAATTTCCTCTTTTCAGTATAATCTCATCTTATCATTCTATTCTCCTCTTCTCATTCTAATCTCATCTTCCCATTATAATCTCACTTTAACGTTTTAACCTCTTCTTCCATTCTAATTTACTCTTTCCATTATAATCTCATCTTATCATTCTAATCTCCTCTTTTCATTCTAATCTTATCTTTCCTTGCTAATCTCATCTTATTATTCTAGTCTCATCTTATTATTCTATTCTAATCTCATCCTATTATTCTAATCTCATCTTATTATTCTAATATAATCCTATTAATCTATAATCTCATCTTATTATTCTAACATCTCCTTCATATTCCATTCTCCTCCTAACATTCTAATCTCTTTTGTTCATTCTAATCTCCTCAAACTCGAATCTCTTATTCCTCTCGTAATAATCTCATCTCACCATTCTAATCTCTTCTGTTCATTCTAATCTCCTTAAACTCGAATATTTCTTATTCCTCTTGTAATAATCTCATCTCACCATTCTAATCTCTGTTCAATTAAATTACAAATTTATAATTAATCAAATAAAAAAACGATTTGCAGAAGCCGTCTAAGTTTTCAAAGCTGATTTCCTTTACTGCTGTTTTTAGAGAGAAAACAAGTTCATGAATGTTATATTTTTATCTATATTCTTTCCAGCTGACTAGATATTTAGTAGATCGTTATTCTATTTTATATTGTTTTTTTTGCTTCTCATAAATCTCCAGAGCTGGGAACTTTTGAATGGTGGATATTCTTAATCTCCAGATTAAATAATGCTTGTTCTCCTCTTGTTATTAATCTCCTGATCAACTAATCGACCTAACCGACCGGGAGTTAGGATATCCTATACTACAATTTTAAGCTCTGATCACTTAAATACTTTTTATATTTCGCAATTTTTATGAAAGATTTTTAGTATGACAATGATTTGAATTGAAATTTGTATGCATTCCTAAACCGTTACATTATCTATATTTGATTTTGTAATTATTAATTTTTATTGATGAATTTTTAATATTACTACTTAACTTGATCCAGCTCAAGCAATAAGTCCGTTAGTTCTAATACAGAATGAATATTCTTTTTACTCTTTTTAATCTATTTTTTTAGCATGCTTTTAGAGATATAATACAGGATTTTATACTATCGTATTCATTCATTAGTTTTACATTTTATGCGCGCTTTTTTCCCAAGATCATTTAAATAAACAAATTTTTCAGAGGCGTATACAGGAATTTCTCCAGTGGGGGCTTAATTTTTTTTCTCTTTCAGTGGGAAGGCGTCCCCTGGAAATAATATATGTCATTGATTCCGAGGGTCTGAGCCCTCAAAGCCCCCCTCTATGTATATGCCTCTGATCTTCTTTAAAAATGGTTCAAATCAATTTGAAAGAATTTTTAAAATTGTCTGAATGAAAATGTACAGCAAAGCATATTTGAATGAATAAATGTTTAGATAAAGCTGCCACTATGCCAAGTGGATCTAGCCCAGCCGGTCAATGAGTGGAAGGATGTTGAATCTAACAAGGAAGACGACCAATATCTCGGAGATATTTGCTTCTCTCTGAGATACGTGCCAACCAGCGGGAAGGTAGAGTACAGATCGTGCTTTGGAGACGATTTTGATCAGATTTTATTAGATTTTGTTTCCATTTTTGGCTTCTAGAGCTTAACAATAGATTAATCTGTAGAAGACAATGTATGAAGTTGCAGAAAATTAAAATTGAATCTGGAGAAAACCGAGTGGAACATCTTTTTAATTCTTACAGTAGTTGTTTTGTTATAAAAAAAACATTTATAGGACTAAATAAACAATTGTCTGGCTTTGCATTGGATGAAATTAAAACTTAACATGGATATTCATAAGACTTTGTAACAAAAAACAAACAGTTATTTTAGTTTAGATTCAAGAATATGGTGAAAAAAATTCTTGTTATGTTGTTGACGATCTAGGAAAGTTATTTTATTTGTTATCAGAAATCGGTATTTTAGTTGACTATTGAAATCCCTATTCTAGTTGACATTGAAATCCTTAATCTAGTTGATAATTGGAATCCCTATTCTAGTTTACAATTCAAATCCTTAATCTAGTTTACAATTGAAATCCTTAATCTAGTTAACAATTGGAATCCTTAATCTAGTTTACAATTGAAATCCTTAATCTAGTTTACAATTGGAATCCTTAATCTAGTTTACAATTGGAATCCTTAATCTAGTTTACAATTGGAATCCTTAATCTAGTTAACAATTGAAATCCTTAATCTAGTTTACAATTGAAATCCTTAATCTAGTTTACAATTGGAATCCAAATCCTAGTGTACAATTGAAATCCTTAATCTAGTTTACAATTAAAATCCTTAATCTAGTTTACAATTGGAATCCCAATTCTAGTTGACTATTGGAATCCCTAATCTAGTTTACAATTGGAATCCTTAATCTAGTTTACAATTGGAATCCTTAATCTAGTTAACATTTGAAATCCTTAATCTAGTTTACAATTGAAATCCTTAATCTAGTTTACAATTGGAATCCAAATCCTAGTGTACAATTGAAATCCTTAATCTAGTTTACAATTAAAATCCTTAATCTAGTTTACAATTGGAATCCCAATTCTAGTTGACTATTGGAATCCCTAATCTAGTTTACAATTGGAATCCTTAATCTAGTTTACAATTGGAATCCTTAATCTAGTTAACATTTGAAATCCTTAATCTAGTTTACAATTGAAATCCTTAATCTAGTTTACAATTGGAATCCAAATCCTAGTGTATAATTGAAATCCTTAATCTAGTTTACAATTGAAATCCTTAATCTAATTTACAATTGGAATCCCAATCCTAGTTTACAATTAAAATCCTTAATCTAGTTGACAATTGGAATCCCAATCCTAGTTGACTATTGCAATCCCTATAGAAGTTGACTATTTAAATCCCTTTTCTAAGTGACCATTTAAATCCTTATTCTAGTTGACTATTGGAATATATATTCTAGTTGACTATTGGAATATATATTCTTGTTGACTATTGGAATTCTCATTCTAGTTGACTATTGGAATATATATTTTAGTTGACTATTGGAATCCCTATTCTAGTTGACTATTGGAATTTATATTCTAGTTGACTATTGGAATATATATTCTAGTTGACTAATGGAATATATATTCTAGCTAGCTATTGGAATCCCTATTCTAGTTGACTATTGGAATCCTGGAATGCAAACGATTGAAGAAAATGGACATTACTGGAGCTTCGGATCCCTATGTTAAAATAAAACTACTTGATTCAAAGGTAGGGCTCAAGCCTCAAACTATTCGTAAGGTAAGGATCAAAATATTCGATACTAAAGTAGGGGACAAAACTTTTTTATTCAAAGGTATAGAATTAAACTACTCGATTTAAAATTAATGATCTAACTTCTAGATTCAACAGGTAGAAATAAAAATACTCGATTCAAAAGTAGGAATCAAACTACTCGATTCAAAAGTAGGAATCAAACTACTCGATTCAAAAGTAGGAATTAAACTAATCGATTCTAAAGTAGGAATCAATACTACTCTTTTAAAAGTAGGAATCAAACGACTCGATTCAAAAATAGGGACCAAACTTCTCGATTCAAAATTAGGAATCAAATTACTCGATTCAAAATTAGGGATCAAACTTCTTAATTCAAAATTAGGAATCAAACATCTCGATTTAAAAGTTAGGAATCAAAATACTCGATTCCAAGGTATAGAATCAAACTACTCAATTCCAAAGTATAGAAACAACTACTCGATTCAAAGTATTGAATCAAACTACTCGATTCAAAGGTATAAAATCAAACTACTCGATTCCAAGGTAAAAAATCAAACTATCCGATTCCAAGGTTTAAAATCAAACTACTTGATTCAAAGGTACAGAATCAAACTACTTGATTCAAAGGTACAGAATTAAACTACTATATTACAAGATTTGATTATAAGATAGGGATAAAACCACTCAATTAAAATGTATAAACTACTCGATTGAAAGGTAGGGATTTCTCTATTGAAGTTGAAATAAACTAAAGTTTACAATGCACTGAATAAATTATGAATTTAGTTTTCACAATCTGAAGAGTGAAGTTTGACTGAAAACTACTAAATTTTAATCATTCATGAATTTTCAACAATTTCCCGAGGAATCCCGGCTAATTGAGTCTAAATCTGAATAGGATGAAAATCAAAACTTTATCAGAATTTTACAAGGATAAAAGAGTATTTTTTTTATTATCTACCTTTTTCATTGAACTTAACTAAAATTAAACATCACATTAGTTGATTTATTAGCAATTGAAAATAATGAATTTTAAAGAGTTAAACATACAGTGATAACCAGAAAACTCTAGAAGAGGAAGAAGACTTTTAGACTCAATTTATGACTTAATATAGTGAAAATGAACATGAAAACCCCAATTGAGCAATGTGAAATGGCCCAATTCACTTAAAAAGTAATTTTATTAGTTCCTAATAAAATTATTTGCTTTGTAACCACATAAATCACAATTATTTGTTGCTTAAATGTCGTCTTCCTATTCTACAGTTTTCTTATTATCACTGTAGTAATTTTTTCTTGGTTAAACAAAGCTTTTATAAATCAGTCGGACAAACAAACGCCCAAACATACGGACATCTCAACAACTATTGCCAATGTTTTTGCTTAAAAAATGCACCTTGAGATTGAGATTTGTAATTGCTCCATTTCATTAAAGCAGCACATTTTTCTTAAGAATTAGTGTTATATGGAAAGTTCTTAAAATCTAAAATTTCAAATTGCAGTTTTGATGAAAATTAATGGATATATTTATTATAAACAAGCCTGGGAACCCAGCTTTGACTGGAATATAAGTCGACCGACCAACTCAACTTAGAATTTTTAAACCAAGCCAAGAACATTCCCGTGGTTTTATTGAGTTCCTTGATCAAAATTTGAGGCAATTCGGACAATGGGTTATGATCGGACTTACAAACGAAGAGACAGAGAGACAAATAGAGATCACAATTTTAATATTATCATACATCTATAGTTATACTTGGTAAGCAAGCCCCCCCCCCATGTGGGATATTTTCTTCTCTTCAAAAAAGAAACCCAATTCTAAATCTGGACGACCACAAATAAAAAGAATTATCTTCACTCAAACTAAAATATATTCTTCCATGTCTACACAAACCAAACTTTTAGATAAAATAAGATTGTGCTTTCCTGCAGAGAGTTTATTCTAGTTCTAATCTCTACCCGGAGAACTTTGAAGAGAAACTTGGTCCTGTTAACTTTTTGAGTAAACTATTTAAAACTCAGGTCCAGGAGAAAGGACAGCTTCGTCATAACATTCTCCTTATTTTCTATTGTAAAGTCAGCACTTTTTCTTGACCTTTAATTTTGGAAGTTACTTAACTTTATTTTCACTGTGACTATAGGTGTTGCTATAACTTCAACATATTAAACTAATTATCATGATAGGCAGTTTAAAGCCTAACTTAGTGAAGGTGCCAAACTTAGAAGATGCAAGTTTTATAATGAAGAGGTGGCTCGGAAGAGAAAATGAGAACGTGGCTCAGATGCAGTAATTTTGCATAATCATGAGACTGATTATAATGATAATTATGTACAGTCCTTCCTTCCGTCACATACAAAACTCTAAACATTTTCTAGATTCGACAATTTAACAAATTTTATTTTCAGTTTTCAAAAAAATGATATATTGAGATTCTGCTATCAGGGTTGCAAAGAGACTGAATTATTTATGTACTAATGCATTAATTGTACGTCAATTGTTATTTTAGAATTTATATTTTTATCAGCTCTAGTTTCTAACGTATCATTTCAGAATTTATATTTTTATCAGCTCTAGCTTCTAACGTATCATTTTAGAATTTATATTTCTATCTGCTCTAGTTTCTAATGTGTGAACTTTAGGGGAAAAGGATTGGAAAGAAGAAGAAGACGACCGTGAAGACCGCGAATTTGAACCCATACTACAATGAGTCCTTTGTCTTCGTCGTGGAAGAGAATACTCTAAAAAAGGTATTTTAGATCATGAGTAGATTGGTTAGCTCAGGTGTAGATTGGTTAGCTCATGAGTAGATTGGTTAGTTCATGAGTAGATTGGTTAGCTCATGAGTAGATTGGTTAGCTCAGGTGTAGATTGGTTAGCTCAGGAGTAGATTGGTTAGCTCATGAGTAGATTGGTTAGCTCATGAGTAGATTGGTTAGTTCATGAGTAGATTGGTTAGCTCATGAGTAGATTGGTTAGCTCAGATGTAGATTGGTTAGCTCAGGAGTAGATTGGTTGGCTCAGGTGTAGATTGGTTAGCTCATGAGTAGATTGGTTAGCTCATGAGTAGATTGGTTAGCTCAGTTGTAGATTGGTTAGCTCAGGTGTAGATTGGTTAGCTCAGGAGTAGATTGGTTAGCTCAGGAGTAGATTGGTTAGTTCATGAGTAGATTGGTTAGCTCATGAGTAGATTGGTAAGTTCATGAGTAGATTGGTTAGCTCATTAGTAGATAGGTTAGTTCATGGGTAGGTTGGTATGTTCGTGAGTAGATTGGTTAGTTCATGAGTAGATTGGTTAGCTCAGGAGTACATTGGTTAGCTCAGGTGTAGATTGGTTAGCTCAGGAGTAGATTGGTTAGCTCAGGTGTAGATTGGTTAGCTCATGAGTAGATTGTAGATTGGTTAGCTCAGGTGTAGATTGGTTAGCTCAGGAGTAGATTGGTTAGCTCATGAGTAGATTGGTTGACTCAGGAGTAGATTGGTTAACTCAGGAGTAGATTGGTAAGCTCAGGAGTAGATTGGTTAGCTCAGGAGTAGATTGGTTGACTCAGGAGTAGATTGGTTAGCTCAGGAGTAGATTGGTAAGCTCTGGAGTAGATTGGTTAGCTCAGGAGTAGATTGGTTAGCTCAGGATTAGATTGGTTAGCTCAGGAGTAGACTGGTTAGCTCAGGAGTAGATTGGTTAGCTCAGGAGAAGAATATTGATTAATATTTGTATATTCAGGTATATCTAGGAGAAGACTATTGGTTAATATTTCAGTATCTATGTATATCTAGGAGAAGAATATTGGTTAATATTTGAGTATCTATGTATATCTAAGAGAAGAATATTGGATAAATATTGTATATCTAGGTATATCTAGGAGAAGAATATTGGTTAATATTTGAGTATCAATGTATATCTAGGAGAAGAATATTGGTTAATATTTGAGTATCTATGTATATCTAGGAGAAGACTATTGGTTAATATTGTATATCTAGGAGAAGAATATTGGTTAATATTGTATATCTAGGTATATCTAGGAGAAGAATATATAAATATATTTGTATATCTAGGTTAACCTGGATATAACAGTATTGGATTATGACAGGATCGGAGGATCGGATCCTATTGGAAAAGTTACTTTAGGACACAATAGGTCAGTTGAAAATTACAAATCTAACTTATTTCTAACATTTCAGTTTAAGACTATATTGTCTAATGATAAAAACTGGATTTAAATGATAAAATTTAGGAAAAAACGGGATCAAAATGTTTATGTCTAGGAAAAGCTGGAAAAGCACAACTGGGTCAAAATAAAAATGTTTATAAATAATGTGGATAAATGGATTAAAATTTAAATGTTTATGGAAAACACTGGATTAAAATAATAATGTTTATGAAAAAACTGGGTTAAAATAATAATCTTTATGAAAAAACTGGATAAAAATAATAATGTTTCGGAAAAAACTGGATTAAAATAATGTTTATGAAAAAATTGGAAAAAAACTTACTTAAAATAATAATGATTAGGAAAAAACTAGAAAAGAACTGGATCTAAATATTAATGTTTAGGAAAAAACTGGAAAAGAACTAGATCAAAATATTAATGTTTAGGAAAAAACTGGAAAAGAAACACTGGATTGAGATGATTGAGAATCCCCGCAGACCGATCATTCACTGGCACGTTCTGAAGGTAACAAATTATTCCATAAATTTATAAAATATTTTTGAAATTTGTGTTCAATATTTTAGTGACTGTAAGGTTTCTTAATTGTTGCTAAAACCAGATTTATTATTTAATCAAAAATAATACAGTTGAGACACATTCTATTTACATACTTTCTATAGGCATTACAAGAAATCTGTGGAATAAATATAGTCTTTTTCATTTCTTTTAATTAAGAAATGTCGGTATGCAATCTCTTAAAATGTTCAGAACATTGAACTCTTGTATTGTATTATGAATATTGAGATCAAGAAGATCTCTATCTTTTGTTAATCTGCAGATTATTTTAATCTTTATGCGATATGGCATATGGTAATGGTACTTGGGAAAAAAATGAACTGAAGAGATTAAGCATTGATTCTCAATTTAAAAGTTTTTACAGCAATTGCTTACCGCCCTCAGGAGAGAATGGACCTCTCTCACAGCGGTCCCGGCTTTACAGTTTGTAGAATAAAACAAGATTCCATCTTCAGCCTGGTGCAACTGAAAGAAGGAATTTAACCCCTGAAGGGTAAACAAGCCATGCACAACAATACCGGTTTTTACTCGACCAGCTGTAAGGACTGGACTGCTGTGGAAGATTCCTCTCAATTTAATAATCAAAAAAAAAATTTTCTGGATCTCACTGTACTCACTGTATAAAAAATGAAGAAAAAATATGAATCTAGAGAAATATATTATTTTCTTTGTGTATAAAATGTTGTGAATGTACGTGTACACTGCAATAGTGTAGGGAGATGGAATCTGTCAATATTTCTTCCACCTAATTTACATATTCCACAGAGTTGCCAGAATAAACAGAAAAAATAAGAAAATTAATGATTATTATGAATTATGTATTAATGAAAGGTGGGCTAGGGGTTAGGATTTTGTTTTTTGAAAAACATTACAAAACTGACAACCTTTTTGAACCTGTCTGTTTTTTTACTCACAGATGTAAAATAAGCTCCCGTAGTACATTTGAATTTCCGAGCCGGTCAACCTTTCCGGTCACAGTTTGTACTGTATCGCCTGGACATTGGGTAAATAAAGCAGACACTCAATAGGACTAGCCGGTGCAACAAGGTCGACGCGGTCAGAGTTTAGGTTGAGTTTACTTTTACTAAAGGGTCAGAGGTGCGTGAGGGCAAAAGGTCGCAAAGTATAAATTACTCTCTTTCTGAAAATAAATTTCATGTCGACATGCAAAATTCTTTGAATAAGAAGTGCCGTAGGCGTAGCTTTAAGTGCTCTTTCATTTATTGAGTGTCATGTTCCATTCATCATATTTTTAAATTGATAAAATTATCCATTTTTTCCATCTTAAAATTCAGTATTTTCAATTGTGGTTCCCTAGCGTATTTATTCCTGTTTTCTATATAATACAATTCCTTTAATCCCTGTACAAGAACGGTAAAAGATTAAGAACTGGTTTATCGTATTTTGAATGAACAGAAATGAAGATTGAATTAGTCCAAATTTGAATAACAAATTATGATAATAAGGTTCTAAAAATAAAACTTTCCCCCCTCGCCGACTGGTACCAAGGGGAGGGGGATTGATTAGAGAGGGAAACCTTGGCAAATGACGCTTGGTACCAAATTAGTTTGTCTTCGGCCAAAGAATATATAAAAATATATCAATTTCACAATATTATCTTTCAACAAAGAACAGATAAAAATATGTAAATTTAACAGTATTATCTTTCAACTAAAGAAAAGATAAAAATATATTAATTTAACAGTATTATCTTTCAACTAAAGAATAGATAAAATATATCAATTTAACAATATTATCTTTCAACAAAGAACAGATAAAAATATGTAAATTTAACAGTATTATCTTTCAACTAAAGAAAAGATAAAAATATATTAATTTAACAGTATTATCTTTCAACTAAAGAATAGATAAAAATATATTAATTTAACAGTATTATCTTTAAACTAAAGAATAGATGAAAATATATCAATTTATCAGTATTATCTTTCAACTAAAGAATAGATGAAAATATATTAATTTACCAGTATTATCTTTCAACTAAAGAATAAATGAAAATATATTAATTTACCAGTATTATCTTTCAACTAAAGAATAGATGAAAATATATTAATTTACTTGTATTATCTTTCAACTAAAGAATAGATGAAAATATATTAATTTACTTGAATTATCTTTCAACTAAAGAATAGATAAAAATATATTAATTTACCATTATTATCTTTCAACTAAAGAATATATGAAAATATATTAATTTACTAGTATTATCTTATAGCTGAAGAAACTAATATACACCCCCGGGCCTGAGTAAGTGGGTAAAAAGTGTTGCAAAAATTAAAGATAACAATGAAGTTAAGTGATGCAAAATTACTTCAAATATGGTAAAATAAGTGATTTAGCGGCAAAAATAACTGGTTTGCGATAAAAGTCCAAAAAAATGTCCCTACGGAAGGAAATTCAGCACAATAATGACATTGGTTGGGAAAATAATTCATTGGATTTCTCAAAATCATAACAAAATTTAGCCGTCTTCTTATATTTCACAGGTTTTTTCGGTCTTATAGCTTCATATCCCCCCCCCTCCTCCCCTCCTTAATGTTGCCAGCGTGAGCTGAGTTCTCATTGTGCAGAACTTTTCAAACTTAAATTAAATCTAACTTCTGGTTTCGTCATTTTAAAAAAATCTTAAAGCTGAGTTTTCTCTTTTTAAAGGGACAGTCTACGTCAACATTAATTCGGACTCGATTTAAAGAGAAACAATGAAAATATTTAAACTCATCACAATCAGAATGAAATCGTCGTGTTCATATAAATCTATTAAATTCTGTCAATTTTCTCCCTTGTATCTGCTGCTTGTCACTTTTATAGCACATTAATCTCATCGAAGGAGATTATTCATTTGGTGAACCGTCTTGGTTTGCCGTCTGTTTATTCTGTACAAATATCATGTACATTGTACAACTTGCCATGGCTACCTTAAAGCCAGTACGGTACTTCAAAGAATAGCTACATCTGTTTTTGCTTAAAAAGGTATAACGTGTACTGTTTAATATAATTAGGCGTGTAATTCTATATAAAAGAGGAAACATTTTGTAGAAAGTCCCTTTAAAATGTTTAATTCGAAATAACGTTAACAGTCCCTTTATTATTTAGGATCCTGAACCAGGTGAGGAGGATGATGAGGATGAGAAGAAAAAGAAGGACGGGAAGAAGGACGGGAAGAAAGAACCGAAAAAGGAAGATAGCAAGGGAGAGAAGGAAGAGAAGGAGGAGAAGAAATAAAGAGATGTTAACGCAAGCTTATCAATCCAAGTGCCGAACCTTACCAAACGTTGATCTGATCAGGACTAAAAAATACCAACCTTGACAAAATCTGAAATTAAAACCTAAGATCATTCTGAAATCAGGAGAAAAGAAAAAAATCTAAAAAGGCCAAACTCAAACTTGGGCCAAAACCATATAAATGGCTTGTCAGTTGTCTGAGCTTATCTCGTCCAAAAAAGAATATGCCAAAGAACTAAACCAAAAAGCTTGTATTGGCTTATCTTAATGTGTATACTCACAATTCACAGGTTTTCATAAATATCTTTATTTAGAAGACATAGAGACTATTAAACTACAGAACCAACTTATATATTCTTCTGTGTTAAAAAGACAACAAAAAAACAGGGAAGCCTAAAATATTCCTCTCTGCCACTTTGACCAAATAAATTAGTAAAATAGTAGATAATTTATGAACAATTGAACAGGTAAAAAATAGGGAATATTGTTACAAAAGAAAACTCCAGGCACCCTTTCCCAGGAGTAAAAAGAGATGCCAGGGCCCAAACATTGCTCATCTCCCTAATTATAAACCTGTAAATGCAATTAAAAAAACAAACAATAGAAATGATTTTTAAAAAGATGAAAAAGAAAAATGAGTAATGATTTTTTTTTGTAAGATCTGTTTTATTTGTGTATGCTCTAGATATTACTGATATTTAGTTACAGTTACCTAGATTGGTGAAGAGGATAAAAATAATTAGCTATTTATTTTGAAAACATCAAATGTTAAGTTTTAAACATCTTTTTACAGTTAATTTACAATTTTTATTCTTATATTCCTTTTTCATTTTTGGAAACAAAATCATAACTATTTGTTGGTCAAATACTTAATGATGTCTCTACATTTAAAAAGTGTTATTTTTACTGTACAATGCTTAAAATGATTCAAACAAAAAACGTTGTTAAACATGCTAAAAATGCTTTATCATAAAAGTAGTTGATTTTAAAGATTTTTGTATGAGACTGGTATTTATGAATGCGAACATAAAGATTAATTTTTCTTAGAATATTGCGGATCAGCTTTCAGTGAAAGCTAAGGAATAACAATTATTCCTCCACACTTCTTATTAAATTTTATTTTGTCCTTGTTGATGTTTATTTTCAAGCTAATACCGGCAAATTGGTGTGGACAAATGTATTTAAAGAACTCTTTCTTGCTATAAATATAAAAATATAGAAGTTTTGTATTTTCCATCACCTTTTTTTAACAAAAGTTTCTAAATAATTAAAAATAGCCCCCCCCCNTGTGATCATTTTGTGTGGATGTAAATGATAATTGTTGAATTTTGCGACTGAATTTAAGTAAAAAAATCCAAACTTAAAACTGGAAAGTTGACAGTTATAAAGTTTAAACTCCGAGCTCTAGGCTGAATTTGTATGTTTTTTAATAGAATTTATCTGCAGAAACTTCTTATTGTTAGTTTATGAAAAAATTTCTTTCTTTCATGTTGTAACGCAAACACGACATAGTTTACTATATATATAAATATTATAGAATAGAAACATTTTGTATTATTTAATTAATTCCATTCATCCTGGACGAAGAAATTTTATTCATCAGAGATTATTTGCATGTTATTGGAGACCAGCATGATCTTGAATATATCATTAGAGACCTACATTTACAAATCTCATTGGAGAACAAACCAATGTAAAAAATATGGTTCTTTAACAGGGTGTACAAGAAAATCTATCGGGGCTGGATAAAAGAATGTTTATATTAATACCGGATATATTATAAAAACAGGACCGTGGATATAGAAAACATGTATGGATGCTTAAAGGATATTTATTAATAGACTTACTGGGCAATGATAAGGCACCTGAGCTGAAAACTTTAGAATTGTGGATATCGATATCGATGCTTAATCTTCTAAGTTTATTTATCTAAGCTGCAACCAATCAGGCGTCGATTTTTGAAACCAAACCGCCAATCAGAAGCGCGTGCCAATTTTTGGAATTTTGCGCGCGCAATCAATGAGAGAACTCCTATTGGTTTGTAGACAGCTCTGGACAAATAAATATCTCAACTGCAAAATATTCACATTTTAGGCTGAAAGGAATTGAGTTTTAGCCACAAATTCAAATGTTCTAGTCCCTATATCTTTGCAATTCGATGGTGTAAACCTGTGATATTTCTAACTACAACTATTTGATCAAACAGAATTCATAGTTTGAAATATCAAAGATCTACGACATCGAGTCACAAAGATATAGGGGTTAGAAAATCAGAGTTTGTGGCAAAAACTCAATTCCTTTGTCATAACCTAACTTTAGTAACTCAAGATATTTATAAACAGTAAATAAACAGCTGAAGGGGGGAGGTCATAAAATCCCATTCTCAGATCAAGCTAAATTCAATAACTCGTCCTCTTTGATTAAGGAATAGGGCCTTTGCAAACTCTAATTTATTAATCCCTTTTTGCTTTCAACTCAATGCCGTAAACCTCTTAGCTATTAAACTATGAGTTATGTTGGATCTAGTATAATCTAAGATTGAAATATCAAAGGTTTACACCATCAGGTTGCATAGATATATGTATTAGAATATTTGAGTTTGTAGCAAAGACTAAATTCCTTAGTCATCATGCATCTATTCTCTGCTCTGTAAGTATTGATAATTTCTTAGTGTCCGTCCAGGTCTTTGAACGGAAACTTGTATAGCTATTATGTATTAGCTAGTCTAAGACATTTTGAAATAAATATTATAGGAATTCTTTTGTAATTCAACAGAGGTAAGAAGAGAAGATTTAAAATAAATTTAAGTTTTTAACGATTAATGTTAACGACGAAAAAAATAGTTTGAAAGGGATAAAATCATAGATAAAGATAGATTGCGCATAAGACGATATTTTTCATCTTGAAAGATATAAATGTACAGAGATGTTTTAAAGATATAGATTAACTAGGCCGGTTGTGAACATTGGCTGTTCTTATGTCATTGAGTACTTGTGGTGTACATGAGTTCTGTAGAAAGAAATTTAAGTTAGTTTAGTCCTTCTCATGTCCTTCTTCAGTTCTCGTCAATATGATATATTGCTCAGTGAAATATTGTTGTTCAAAAAGTTCCATTCCCGGAGTTATTTTACACTCTATTATGAAATCCATTAAACACCATTTGATTTTAGTTAATTCTTGTTAGCAGTCAGTAAACCAAAAAATATGTTGAAGTTTTTTTTATTTTAATTTATTTTTTATTTTTCAGAATACATTTGATTTTTCTGGAAAAGATTCCAATATTTTACATTTTGATAAATTATGAAAAAAATCAAATATTTATGCAAATTAAAAATTCGAAAGTGCATTCTCTTCTTGCATTTTTAAGGAAAGACTGGTTTACCTTATGTGTTTTATTACTTTTAAGAAAGAGAATATATTGAAATATTAAGGGTAAACTGAAAAAATATCTTTAAGTTTGTTGATTTATAATTTTTGTTTCTGTTTTGTGTTTTCAATAATTCTAAACTTGAAGGGCCGGCTCTATGCATATCCAAGTCAAACCCCTTTTATTTAGCTTTAAATTGTTGCTTTTCAAGTCGTCATTTTTTTGCACTTCTTTAAAAGCTAAACCTTTCGTGGATTTTGCTATTTGAATTGACGGATTTTTAAAATCGAATAATTCGAGATTTTTTCATAAACCTTCCCTGGGCTCTGGTGGTAATGTCATTTTAGGGGCCGATTGGTTCAGCCGTTTTGACGTTCCTTGGATAAAAAAAACAGGCAAATAGGCAAGGCTGATTTACATTTTTAGATTACCTTGATGTTAAAACTTTTGTTAAAAGCTTCTAAATTTAACTTTGAGACTAATCAAAGATTTGATTTGTCCTAAAATAGGAATTTTATTAAAAAGTTTTTCCTAAATCTGAAAATATTTTAAAAGTCAGTCGACCAAACTCAATCTTTTTCTAGAATAAGAGGAGTTTGTGTTAAAATTTAAGATTGCGGGGATCTTGGTGGCACAGGCTTTCTAGAAAGAAAAAACCACTTCTTTTAACTGACGTTTTTTTCTGAACAATTTAAAATTATAAAATTAAACCACCAATCCCAAGATTTCTTTTTCATTTTCTTGGCATTTTCTGGGTGGTTTTTATCTTCAAATTTCAAAAAAGCTGAGCCGATCTGGCCTAAGTTTTGTGAGGAGATGATTATGGCAAGAAAGTAACTGAGTTTTTGCCACAGCAAACTATGATTTTCTAATCCCAATATATTTCCAACTGAAGTCCTTTGGTATTTCAAACAATGAATTCTGTTAGAAAAAAGTTTTATATATCAAAGGTTTACAACATCAGGTTACAGATATAGGGACTAGAAAGTTTGAGTTTTTGACAAAACTTGAGTTTCTTTTCGCCCAAAAAAAAAACACTTTCCATATTATTTTTAAATTTCCCATTTCTAAGAGACTATAACCGTTTCATCTCTCAAACTTTCTGTCTCCCTAACCTTTATTTGAATAGCATCATAAATACAGCGAAAATTTAAGTTTTCCTTCTTTTATCTTTTGAATGGATGAACCTTCATCCCTCACAGCATAAATTTCCCCGCCTTTCATATCTGAAATTCCCCCTGCAGAGCTTGAATAGAGCTGAAACCCCAGTGTTAATCTACTCTAACCACCATTATTATTATTATTTTGTCCTCTTCTAGCTAATGTGTTATAAATCTGGGTCAGTTCGATAGTTTGATAGTCTGATAGTCTGATAGTCCGATAGTCTGATAGTATGGTAGGCTGATAGTATGATAGTCTATATCCGCAAAATTTGAATAAAGAAGCCAATTCAATTTTTCAAATAAAGATGTTTTATTGTATTTAATAGTTTTCTAATTTGCATAAAATATGATGATGAAAACTGAGTTTATGTATTTAATTTATTAGCACTTTATTAGCAGCGATTTTTAAGTAAATTCAGTTTCATTCAATTTATGCAAAATGAACATATATTTTTTACATTAACAATGTTCAATGTAAACTATGCCTTCACTTATGTTGTTAAAGGGACTGTAGGACTAAATTCAAGCTATTTACCGTGCCAGACTATTTTATGTATTTTTTGCATAAATAACTATTAAAAATTACTATAGTTTCTGTGAATAAAATACAAGCTCATGCATTTACTCATCCTTGATCAGGAACAAGTTTCAGGGGAACCATTATCATGTAAATACCACTCAATAATTGTAGTTTAAGAGGAACCATTATCATGTAAATATCACTCAANAACCATTCTCACGTAAATACCACTCAATAATTGATGGGTCACTTAGAAATAACTCTTCATTCACTTTCACAGAAACAGAAGCAACCCCTCGTAATTATCGGTATCACCCTCTACCCCCGTTTCCCTGTCCTAGTTTATATAGCGATTTTAATTTATAGATTGATAGAAAAAAGCTCAAGCTATATATCTAGTCGACGCTGGTAGACGTAGTTCTCTTAAACTTAAACCGGAGCGCAAAAGAAGTGGTTCAGCTACGTCTTCGCAGTTGAACTACTTCTCTCTATTCATTAAATCTAGTCCCTGTTTACTGAGGATTAGAGATTGTATAAAATGAGGAAAAGTTGGCAACTTTTCCACTTTGCCTGGGTACTCTTCCCTAGTATATATACATTATACAAATTCTTATATAACCTTTTACTCCACCCCTCCCTTCCCCATACAATATCCAAGTTACGGATAATATCGGTATTTTTCCAAAAATGAAGAGATTTTAGTATGTTAAATATTATTTTTAGATATATCATTTTATAAAACAGAGTTCAAATGTATCTATTGCTGTTTCTCTTGTTTCTAGTTCTTTTTATCTGCTTGTTTTTAATCATCAAATTGGAATCATCTGCAGATTTAGATTTACTTTTTCCTAGCGTAAAGAAATTTAGATGAAATTAAATTATCATGCAGGTTGAAATAATAAACGATTAGAATTTTCATACAGGATTGTAAAATTAAAACTTTCAAGCCGCCCAAATCTAAATTTTTTGTAACTTAGAACATGCTCAAAAGAGTAAAAAAAATCTTTTTCTATGACAAAAAGTTGCTCAAGAGAGTTAATTTTTTTATCTCAAAATCTGCTTTTATCCCCATATCTTTACAACCCAATGTCGTAGACCTATGACTTATGATTTCTGTTAGATCAATTAATCTAAGTTTGAAATATCAAAAGTATACAATTTTAGGTTACAAATATACAATCTTCATTCCTAATATATTCTTTTCACCCCCCCTTTGAGTCTTTTCCTTTACTATTTGTTTTCTTATTTCTTTTCCTATATCAGTAGCAGTTTCTAACTTGGAGTCTAAATTTAGAAACATCGCCAAATTATCATTCTTCTTTGTGCCGACTTTAACTTTTCCTGGGTTTTTTTCTTCGATCTTCTTTTTGTTTCCTGATCTTCGAATAATCTTATTATCAATTTCAAAGTCAAAATTACCACTTTTATTTTTGTTAGATTTATTTTTATCTTTCTGATCGTCTTTTTTCACATTAGGCAGTATGCTTTCTTCATCTTTTTCTGATGTTTGTTTTTTCTTATTTCCGGATTTTTCGTCGTTGTTCTTTTTCTTTCCTTGTTCTTTTTCACTTTCATTTTCTTTCTCTTTTTCATCAGTATTTTCAATCTGGTTTTTCTTAGGAGTTTCTTCCTTCTTTTTGTCTATATCCGAAATTTTGCTGTCTTTGTCTTTTTCTTTTTTGTAAGGATTTCTTTCTTTCTCGTTTTCATTAGGATTTATTCTTTCTTTCTCGTCTTTATTGGGATCAGAACTTTTTATATTGTCTTTATTAGGACCAGAACTTTCTTTCTTTTCTTGATTTGGATCAGAACTTTCTTTATCGTCTTTATTGGGATCAGAATTTTCTTTATCGTCTTTGTTGGGACCAAAACTTTCTTTCTCGTTTTTATTGGTATCAGAACTTTCTTTCTTGTCTTCATTGGCATCAGAACTATCTCTCTCATTTTTATTGGGATCAGAACTTTCTTTCTCTATTTCATTTGGATCTGAACTTTCTTTCTCGTCTTTTTTGGGATCAGAACTTTCTTTCTCGTTTTTTTTAGGATTCAAACTTTCTTTCTCGTTTTTATTGGGATCAGAACTTGCTCTGTTCTTTTCTTCCTCTTTTTTACTTTCTTTTGTCTTTTCATTCGGATCTAAACTTTGTGTCTCTTTTCCATCTTTTTCAGTTTTTTCTTCTTCTTTTTCGTTATCAGAACTTTCTTTCTCAGTTTCTGCTGTATCCAAATTTTGTTCAACCTGTTCCTTCGGAATTTCTTTCTCCATTTCTCCTTGATCATTTCCATCATCATTGGTTTCCTCCTTTGTTTCTTTCTTTTCTACATCGAACTTAGAACCTTCTGTGTCAAGAAGAGGAAATCCATTTTCGTCTTCTTCATTTCTTCCTTCTTCTGTGTTAGTGGTATCTCCAGTTGTATTTCCAGGAGCAGATTTGGTTACGTTTTCATCAGGTTCAGTTGTAGTCATTATTGGAGAAGTATCGTCAGCAATCTCAGTTTTAGATTCTAAAATTGGTAAAAAAATTATTTACAATTTTTTCTGTAGTTGCGGACGTTAATGTCAATACACACCTATCTAATTAAGTTTTGATTTCTTACAAGATTTCTTCAAATTAATTAGAAGCCGTAAATTGACAACTTCTCTTTATTTCTATGTTTATGTGTTTTCATGCTGTTTGAAAGCTTGGTAGAAATCAAAAATTGGAATCGAAAGTCGTCTTTATTTATATACGATGACGACTGTGTGTTATTAAAAGTTTGTCAGAACAAGCATGATATCTATGAGTCATGATTGTTCGTAACAAAAAATATCCTATTAATCCCATAATGTTAAAAAAGTGGATTAATAAATTGTATTCTAAAAGTATAAATTTAAGATCTTTTAAGTCATTTTAATATAATCCTCTGAAAGTTTTCCATCTAATCTTTGGAGCTTGCATTTACAAATATGGGGGAAGATCAGCGAACTGGACATAGCAATCAAATTATTTCTAAATATAAATTACCCAATACAATTTTGAATTGCTTTTGAAAACTTTATTTTTTGGAAACTTTACTGTAATTTTTTTTTAAACCTTATCGATTTTTTTTATGTATTTATTTTACCTTTTAAAATACTAGGTTCTGGTGTGGTTTCGTTTGAGGTTTCGTTTGAAATGATAAATTTACCATCAACCACTTCATCCACATTATTACCGATCAACATCCTGTTAAATACGGGTAGATTTGTGGTAGGTAGACTAAGTTCAGGTTGATTCGTGGTAGGTAGATTAGCTTTAGGTAGACTTTTAAGGGGTTGAGTATACTCTTCCTGTTCAGAAGTTCATATTAATATTAATTTTAGGTCGACTGAATGAATTGAATTGATTCAAGGAATACCTTTTAAATAAAGGTTTTCCTTGGCATTCCTCTAAAAACTTTTAAAGAACTGTTTTTTATCCTAACTACATACAGGGTTTATCACAAAGGATGAAACTTCAGACACGATTGTACGGAGTGTATTTACCGTCTTTTCCATGATTCCCTGCAACTGTAAAAAAAAATTGTCTTTGCGTATTCATTAAATAAACCATTTAAAGACCGCATTCTAATCAGAAGACTCTATTCAACTTAATCAAGTAATTTTTAAAGAGTTTCAAACACCTTTACTTTTCTTTGGAATTAATGAATGATAAGTTTCTTAAAATATTTGTACACAGTAAAAGCACTTATTTCACCTTGAATTTACTCTTGCAGGGGGGGGGGGGGGCACAGCCATTAATCAAATTAATATTAATCGATTCACATCGTAATTTTTCCAGATATTACACATCAAAGTGTTTACAAATATAATAGTTATATAAATAAACCTAAACTGCCTAACATTAAAAAGTTTTTACTTAAGGCCCCAAAATCTTTGGAGCTTATAGGCTTCATCATAATTTTTCTCCGTAAGAAGACAATATTGTATTAATTTAAATCGAAACTCTATTAGAATTTAGGAATATGTTTGGAATTTCAAAATTTCACACAACAAATGGAAAATTTACTAATTCCATCATCTTGGAATATTTTAGAGTATATTTTAAAGTAAAAAAATTACGACTCGTTGGCTAATATTTATAATTTATATAGTCTGCATACATAAAAAGATTTAAATTTTTCCTTTCATCTATTCGAATTTATCAAATTTTTATATTTTTTATAATTTATATTATTGAAAATATGAGCTTCTGTCCTGTTCTCCTTTTGTATCATTTCCCTTAACAGATGTCCCTGTTTCGGAGAAATTTTCCTGTTTCCTCTGTCTTTCCTGTTTCTCTTCATCTGTTTTCTCTCCTGTATACACATGGCCGGGTAAAACATAAGGTGTTAGGTACTTTCCCGAAAGCATTTTCCCAAGGCGACTTTCCAAGTGGCAACATACCCAATGTGCAATATCCCAAGTAGCAACTTTTTTACTTATCCTGCTTTTATAAATGGAACTGGAACTTATCTGTTCTTAAAAATGGATTGCTGCGGAATATCGAATCCAGAGTTGGATATAAAAAGGATATTTGTACTCCTCATATGCATAATGTCGTGCAAAATTTTGAAAATATTGTCGTTTCCTAGGTTCTGAATGGTTTGATATTGATAACATATTTTTATATTGCTGCAGTAGAAACGAGCAAGTAATTTTTGGAAATATTAATTTTCAAAATTTAAAAACATATTTGATTTATGCTTCATCGGACCAAGGTTGTAAGGCGAGGAAAGTTAATTGCAGTTGCGTATACTCTGCGTACATATTGAAACCTGTTCTCTCTGGGCGGTGTTTGTATACAAGAATAGATGCATCAGTGTTACATTAGTATCCGAGGAGGTTAAAAGCATTACATTTTAATAATTTTGATAATTCACATAACAGTTTCCTATAAACAGAATATTTCATTGATTTTTTATGTGAAAGATCGATCCAATGTCAGGCTTCCACATCCGTCTTGTAATTGCATGAACGCCCAGAGACAGTACACTGCAGTACAAAAGACGCGTACACCTCTGAAATAGCTTTCCTTGCATTAACACCTTGCATCGAACAAAGTTCATTAAGTACGGTGTTTAACATTTTTATACAACACGGGCAGCCGTAATACATTTGAATTTCCGAGTCGGGTCGACCTTTCCGGTCCCAGTTTGTACTGTATCTCCCGGACATTGGATAAATGAAGACACTCAATAGGACTAGCCGATGCAACAAGATTGACGCGGTCAGACTTTAGGTTGAATTTACTTTTACTTAAGGGTCAGGGGTGCGTGACAAGGAAGTTGAGTTTTTAGGTAGTGGTTATTTGATAGTTGCTCTCACGATATACTGTCAAATGGCCCTATAGTACCTTGGAACTAAACATTCCTTACTTTTTTAAATAAGAAATATATACGAGGAAGTTTGGTTTTGGCTGGTAGAAATACAGTGTATAAGAGCCGGGTTGCATGAGTTTGGCTGAGTTGACAATTAAAATGCAAAGTTTTGTAAACATTAATTATAATATCTGGCTCAGAGAGCTTCTTCAACTCTTCTATCTTCTTCCCAGAGTTTACAAACTTCAGATTTATGATACAGGGTGTCCCGATAAACATGAAATTCAAAAGACGACATAAAATTGTCGTTGAGTTCCGGCTGAAAAGCTAATAAATGGCATGCGCCTTGATATCATTGCATGGGATACGTCAAAAACTGGAATAGGCCTCAAAGCCTCATTGACTTTTTAAACATGGTCTATCCTTTCTGTATCTTTAAAAATGACTGAGATTTTAGGCAATTGGAAAGTTTTGATTTTATTTAACAAATTGAAACCGTGTTGTGTATCTCGGGACAAATCAGAAAAAAAAACTGTGGACAAAACCAGAAGAAAAACTGTGGACAAAATCAGAAGAAAAAACTGTGGACAAAATCAGAAGAAAAACTGTGGACAAAATCAGAAGAAAAAACTGTGGACAAAACCAGAAAAAAACGTGGACAAAATCAAAAGAAAAACCTGTGGACAAAACCAGAAAAAAAACTGTGGACAAAATCAGAAGGAAAAGTTGTGGACGAAATCAGAAGAAAAAACTGTGGACAAAATCAGAAGAAAAACTGTGGACAAAATCAGAAGAAAACACAGTGGACAAAACCAGAAAAAACGTGGACAAAACCAGAAGAAAAAACCGTGGACAAAATCAGAAGAAAAACTGTGGACAAACCCAGAAAAAAACGTGGACAAAATCAGAAGAAAAAACTGTGGACAAAACCAGAAGAAAAGCTGTGGACAAAATCAGAAGAAAAAACTGTGGACAAAATCAGAAGAAAAACTGTGGACAAAATCAGAAGAAAATACTGTGGACAAAACCAGAAAAAAACGTGGACAAAATCAAAAGAAAAACTGTGGACAAAACCAGAAAAAAAACTGTGGACAAAATCAGAAGGAAAAGTTGTGGACAAAACCAGAAGAAAAAACCGTGGACAAAACCAGAAGAAAAAACCGTGGACAAAATCAGAAGAAAAACTGTGGAGAAAAATCAAAAGAAAAAACTGTGGACAAAACCAGAAGAAAAAACCGTGGACAAAACCAGAAGAAAAAACGTGGAGAAAAATCAGAAGAAAAAACTGTGGACAAAACCAGAAGAAAAAACGGTGGACAAAACCAGAAGAAAAACTGTGGACAAAATCAGATAAAAAACTCTGGAAAAAATCAGAAGAAAAAATTGTGGACAAAATCAGAAGAAAAACTGTGGACAAAATCAGAAGAAAAACTGTGGACAAAATCAGAGGAAAAATCTGTGGACAGCATCAAAAGAAAAAACTGTGGACAAAACCAGAAAAAAAACTGTGGACAAAATCAGAAGAAAAACTGTGGTCAAAATCAGAAGAAAAAACTGTGGACAAAATCAGAAGAAAAAATTGTGGACAAAATCAGAAGAAAAAACTGTGGACAAAATCAGAAGAAAAAACCGTTGACAAAATCAGAAGAAAACACAGTGGACAAAACCAGAAAAAAACGTGGACAAAATCAGAAGAAAAAACCGAGGACAAAACCAGATAAAAACCGTGGAGAAAAATCAGAAGAAAAAAAGCAGGGAAACATATGAAAAAAAACGTGGAATAGAAATCAGAATAACAAAGGTGAGGGAAAATCAGAAGAAAAAACTTCGGGAAAAAAGCATTAAATATTTACCTGCGGAAGAAAAATTCTTTGGGATAAAATTCACTTGATCCGATTTCATCATACTTTTCCTAAATATATATATATTCAATACAATAAATAGTTGTTAATATTTCTTCATATATTATTTAAAAAAAGATAAATTAACTAGGTATTTATGCAATTTCTATAAATTATTCGATCAAGCTTGTGATTGTTTCTCTTTAACAATAATATAACGTTATCTTTTTGTTTGTTGATGTCACAGAATTTTAATTCGGCTAAATGCCCTGTACTGGGAAGGGGTCCAGTCGGCTACCACGCTGGAATTATACTGAATGGATACAACAAAGATCAAAAGGATCAAAGAAACAAGACACACATTGAAACACAATTCGCACTTCACAAAGACAAATATCAGCTTTATAATCTTAATTTGGTGCAAAGTAAGTCTATATATAGAGTGCTGATATATTGGAGCTTGAAATTTGCATATATATTGCAGAAAAGTTTTTGCAATTACAGAGCAGAAAAGCAGTTGAAAACTTTAGTTTATTTTCAGTAAAATCAAAGAGTTCTTGTTTTACAGAAAACTTTTAGGAGATTACCTATTGTTTTGCTCTTGCTCAGAATCTTCTAGTCTAGATTTTTTATGAGCAGGTGGTTTAAAATCAAGTGATGGCGTTTGTGGAGAATCAAATGTTTTTAAACCAGTTTGTGGTGCACTAGCTGTCTGTAGATCAACTTGTGGTATATCTGCTGTTAGTAGACTAACTTGTGGTAAAACAGCTGTTTGTAAAACAGACTGTAGTGCACTAGGTGTTTGTAAACCATCTTGTGGTAAACCAGCTGTTTGTAAAACAGTTTGTGGTGCACTAGAACCAGCTGTTTGTAAAACAGTTTGTGGTGAATTAGCTGTTTGAAGAACAGTTTGTGGTAAACCAGCTGTTTGTAAAACAGTGTATGGTAAACCAGCTGTTTGTAAAATAGTTAGTGGTAAACCAGCTGTTTGTAGAACAGGGTGTGGTAGATCAGCTGTTTGTGCAACGACCTGGAGTCCAGTTTGTTGGAAGCTGACTGGCATCACAGCTGTAGAAAGTCTTGTCGGAAACGATGGTTGAATGCCAGATGTATGTAAGCTTACTGGTTGAAAACCAACTGGGTATTGGATGCCAGTATTTTGTACTCCTTGGATGGCATTTACCTCACCAGTATCTATGTTGCTGGTTACTGGTTGAGTGTCAAGTACTTTAAGTCCTGCCTGTTGATCAGAATAAGTCTGAAACCCAACCATGTTAAGTCCAGGAACTGATTGAACTCCTGTCTGCAGGTTGTTGACCTGCAGGCCAGTCTGAAGGCCTGCTGTTGGAACTGAAACAACCTGGGGGCTTTTAATCACTGGGAAACCAATTGTAACTATTTTAGCGGCTTGTCCAGGGATTTCTACATTGCCATTTTTAATAAGTAGATTTTTATGGTTTACAGCTGTCAGGTTTTCTACTGACAAATTTCCAACTGTGAGGTTGTCAATTGTCAATTTGTCAACTGACAGGTTTCCAGCTGTCAGGTGTCCAGCTGACAGGTTTCCAGCTGTCAGGTTGCCAGCTGTAAAATTTCCAGATGTTAGGTTCCCATCTGTCAGGTTTCCAACTGTTTGGTTTCCAACTGAAGAAACAGATCTATACTAAAGAAAATGTTCAACTTTTTAAGAAAAGGAAAAAACAATTATTTGAAAAAGACTCAGGGTGATCAAACTTTTTCATTTATGCAATTCTTTGTAAAGAATTTAACAGAGATGTACAACCTTCCAATCCTTGATTATATACTAGTGTTCCAATCCTGGATTGTATACTAGTGTTCCAATCCTGGATTGTAGACTAGTGTTCCAATCCTGGATTGTAGACTAGTATTCCATCCTGGATTGTAGACTAGTATTCCAATCCTGAATTGTATACTAGTGTTCCAATCCTGGATTGTAGACTAAGGTTCCAATCCTGGATTGTAGACTAGTGTTCCAATCCTGGATTGTAGACTAGTGTTCCAATCCTTCCAATCCTGGATTGTATACTAGTGTTCCAATCCTTGATTATATACTAGTGTTCCAATCCTGGATTGTAGACTAGTGTTCCAATCCTGGATTGTAGACTAGTGTTCCAATCCTGGATTGTATACTAGTGTTACATTAATGAAATAAAATAAAAACAAAAGTTTAAATGTGATATCAATGTTTCATTGCTTAAATCAGAATATTTTCTTTAACTCTGAAAGCGAAACTGTTTCACTAAATACAAAGAAAATTAGCAAAATTAACATTTTGGCATTCACTTTAACTTTAACATATGAATCCTGCTAAAACTGCTTTTCTTTATTCTTGAAAACAATGCTTTGATGATACCATTATAACTGTAGGGCTTTTCTAATTGGCTGCAATACATTTGTTTTTCCAGGAAAAAAATATTTTTTCTATAAAACAAACAGAATAATAGTTGATATTCGTATAAAATAAATTTTGAATGAAGAAAAGTAGAAGTTTATAACTTTTCTGTCCAAACATTATAAATAAATAATGATGAAAAAACTTTTTCCATCCTCCGTTGTAAAAGGTTCAGATTACAACACAATGAACGTTTATGACACTTAATAGTTTTCTGTTTAAATAAGTTTATATTTTAATATTAATAAATCAATATCAGTTTTTCAGGAGTAATAATAAAGCTGTAAAAGTAAATAAAACATTATAATGATTAAAGAAAATATTCCCAGCAAAATATTATTTATCATTCTTACTTCATTGATTTTAAATAGAATTTGAATTTTACCATCTCTATATAATTTGTACTTCTTGAACCCAAGGCGCAAATATGGGGGGGGGGGCTATAGAGTTTAAGGGAAATGGTATTTACACAATTCAAAGTTTATCCATAAAGTGGAAAGAACTTGATTACTCGCTTCGAATTATAATTTTCCATGCTTTTATCTTGGTGTCGTTAGTAGATTTTAAATTACAAATTCTTCCAGATGTAAGATTAAACTATTTTCATTTTTGCAAGTTCAGGTTGCAAAGATAAAGGCATAGGAAAGTTGTTGGGAATTTATGGAGGAATCGAAAATTTTGTTAGATCAAATAATATAGGTTGCAAAGATACACAAATTTAAGAAAACTTGTGTTTGTGGCAAAGATTCAATAACTTTCCAGTATAAATATAAGCACATAGTAACTCTGATTATATTTACAGATTAAGCGGAGGATTATTGTGAACAGTGTACATCTGTAATCTATATATACAATATTAGAGTCTATGAAAGAAAGTCGCCGGAAAAAAAGTTTCTGAAAAAAAACCTCGAAATAAAAACTTTGGTCAAAATTCCCAATTTTCTTTTGTGAAAAAATGCACAAACAATTCTTCTTGTAAATATGTGAGTTTTTTTCAAAATACCAAAACATTGTGCATGGCTAGAGCTTTTAAAGTTGGGAGACTCCGCCATATCCCTCAAGTTGTATTTGCTCAAACCATTTTTAAAAATATAAAAAGATAAGTGGAAAAGACCAAGTTTGAAGAAAAATACAACACCATTGCTTTCAACTTTAGGTGGGTATAAAAATTAATTTAGACTATTGTTTAATCTATAATAAATATTTAACGTGATTGTTAACAAAGGAGTCGCAATTAGAGAGTCGTGACGCATTGTTTTTTTCAGTTCATTTGTTTATCATTTGTTAACTACCCATCCAGTTTGTGTTTGAGCAAATACAACTTGAGGAGTATACGATGGAGTCTCCCAACCTTAAAACCTTTATAAATAGTTAAACGATGGTCCCTTTAAATGGCATGTATCACATTTTGAAATCACCAACATAAAAAATTATTAAGTTATCTTTTCAGGATAATATTATTTTCACTATTGTTCAAAAAAAAAATGCGGCGTTAATAAAAAGATTGATTCCCATGTTACTTAGGTTGTTTATAAATATTTAGAAAAGAATTAAAATACAATTATTCTGAACGATTAAATCTGATTCAAAATAGCTTGCAGAATTTTTCCTTAAAAATATTATTCTAAAAAATTTCTGGAAAAATAATCTACCATTATTAGGAGATAAATATCATTCATACTTTTTGTGTAAGTTAATATAGACCTCTAAGTGGTGTTTTTTCATGTGGATAAAAACATTATTCACATCCTAATAACTACATATTAAATATTAAATGTAAAAAGATCGTTATAATCTATTTCTAATTCTATCTGCAGGATTGTTAATAAAAAAATAAGAATCCATACATGGCATATATCTTTAATTCTATTTATACAAAATATTTTTTAATTGTATTGATCATAGATAAGTTGTTGAAATACGGGTTTTATTTAGATGTATTAAACAAAAATAGAGGTTTATGTGTTTAAATTTTTAATTTTTAAAGTGCAAAGCTGTAGTCTCTGTTTGTCTGTTTGTTTGTTTTCCCGATCATAACTCAGGAACCCACTTGACCGAGTTGCCTCAAATTTTGATCGGGGAACTCGGGAAAACCACGGGGAATGTTCTTAGCTTAGTTTAAGATGCTAAGTTGAGTGGATCGACTTTTAAAGCGAAAATTTAATTTCCTGTAAAATCGACCCATTGTGCGGGTAAACGGCGGGAGTAATTTTGACTACCATGGCCAACGCTGGGTTCCCAAGCTAGTATTAAATAAAACGTACTTTTCTAGTTTTCTCTCGTGTTTTCTGAATGTCTCTGTATTATAATCAACGATGTGCCTTTAAGTGAATATGCACTCTAGCTTCACCTAACTATTTATTCATCCTCAGCCGATATATCATGTACCTAATTATGTATAAAATATATAATGTATAAAAGCAACAGATGTGTGGCAATCAGAATTATTAAATATATACATATTAAAGGGGTTGGAAATATATATTTTCAATAAACGTAAAACTATTTTCTTAACTCTACAGGGGTTTGGTCCATCACCATCACCGAATTTGAAAAAGTTTAGTTTGAATTAAATGTTATAAAATATGTAGTTGCATAATTTTCCTGTTCTAATGTACTTAATGTACTTTAAAAACAAATGGTGAAAACATATTTTTCTCCAGCTAAAGAGAGCCTTCTAGTTTCCATTTTTAAGTGAAAAATATAAATACTTTTTATTTTAAAAGATAGATAATTTATTATGTGGAAATACAATATACATTATACATACAATATACATTATACATACAATATACATTATACATACAATATACATTATACATACAATATCTGAGACATCTGAGAACAATTTTAATGCAGCACATAAAAGCTAGAATTGTTAAAAGAAAAGGGGCCGTGTTACCGTGTAGCGCCCAAAAAGTAAACTTATAATAAAAAACATTAACAATGTTAACCTTTTTCTTATAAAAGTTTGAAAAGAACGTGGCCGACTTGTAAAAACTCACTTAAATAATAAATATCTAAGTCTACCAATAAAATTTAATTTTCTCAACAAAAAGAGCAGTTCTTTTCTCAATCTCATACTTATACTTTTAATTGTGATTCAAAAATAAAGGTATTCAAAAATGGAAGCGTTCAAACGATAGGTTAAAGAAACTGAGTTATTGCCACAAACTCAAATGTTTTCATCCCAATATATTTGTGACCGGTAAACCTTTGATATTTCAAACGTTGACTATTTTATCCAACAGAATTCATAGTTTGAAATATCAAATCAAAATCGGGATGCAAAGATAAAGGGATTAAAAAATCAGAGCTTGTGGCAAAAACTCAAACTTGGAGAGGATCCAATTTTGAAATATGATATAGTCGTTGTTGTAAATACACAACATGTCAACAAAGAGTAGGTCTCAAATGACAGCTTTTCTTTGTTTGCTTGTAAACTCTTACTTTAAAAGTGCTTGTTCGGGATCAAAGCAAATTAATAAAAAGTTTTCTTCATTATATTGATATAATCGCTAACCACTGTACACATATCACAGATTAGTGTTGAGCCTGTAAAAAGTAAAAAAAAATCTTTAATTGTATAATCCGCCTTTGAAAAAAAAGCTCAATGGGAGGTCCTTTTATAATTGGATTAAAGTTTATAATTTAGTTTAAACACAAGATCATTATAATTTTTAATATACTTATTACTTATGTCTTATAAAAGTATAAACTATTTTAGATTTAGATTAGAGCGTCGTATAGTACTTTAAAAATACTTTGTTTCTTGGATCGTCATTTTAGATATTTAAAACGACATTTTTAAACAGAGTTTTTAATCTTTTCAGAATCATGATTTCTAGTCGAAAACGTGCTAGATTATCACAAGCTTAATTAACATTAGTTCTGATAATTTATTATATTATAATACTCTAACCTTTCTCCGATTAAAACAAATACAGAGTCAATTAGTGGCCTCCATCTATTTCTATCTTTATCCTTTGTTTGTTTGTTTGTATCCGATAAACATCAAAACGGCTGAACCGATCGGGCTCAAATTTTTTGTGGGACCTCACATTACCCAGGGAAGGTTTATGAGCCGTGAAAATTGAAAAAAGGCACGAAATTTTTATGGACGTTTATTTGTTTAAAAAATGCTCAATATTAAATTGAAAAATCGGCGAAAGATTGAGTTGTAAAAGAATTTAGAAAAAAGACAACTTGAAGAGCAACATTTAAACGATAAAGAAATTTAGTCTTTGCCACAATATCTGATTTTATAGTTTCTTTATTTTTGCAAACCCATGTAGTATGTCCAGATATTTCAAACTATGAATTCTGTTAGATCAAATAATATAAACCATCAATTTGCAAAAATAATAATAAAAGTTTGTGTCAAAGACGAAGTTCCATGGTTAATAAAAAAAGCCTAATATAAATAAATATGAAAAAATTCCACTCTATAAATATTCTATATTTTGTTGGTTTTATGGAATATTCTTAGATGCCATCTAAAATTTAGCGTTCAAGAGAAGGTTTGGGACGTCGGGAGAAGTTTACTTGAAGAACGAGAATCTAAATACTTTAGAGATTTTATGACTGAACTCCGAGGAATGAACAGAGTTTTTATTGAATTGTGAACTGCAATTCAGTATTTTTTTTAAACAGAGTTTATGTTCAATTCTTTAAAAGGTCTAAATACTCCTCATTGAACAATTTTTTTTCATAAATTATCTTTATTGTTTTTTTATTTTCTTGTGGTTTTTAACAATTTCTTTTATCGATTTTGATGGTTATTATATCGTTAGAACTGACAAGGGTCAACCCAGACCGAAATATATTTTCAATAAATGTGGAACTAACATCTACTTTTTTTACTCTACAGAGGTTTGACCCATCACCAATCACCATCACCGAATTTTAGATGTAAATAAACAATTATTTAGTGTACACTAAAAAAATAATAAGTTTTTTGGAATTATAAAAA